CTTGCAGCTAGGTACCTAGCCGACAGCGCCGTTTGCGGAAACTGTGGCACAGGGAAAGGGTACGGATACGAGGCGATGAAGAAGTTGTTCTTCTGCGAGGAGCGTGACGGGTCGCAGGGTTGCGCAGCAAAGTGAAGTGTAGAGTTGGGTGGCTTGTGGGACGATTATGGAGAACGTTGGCGATGCTGCTTTTGGTGATGGGCAGGCCGTGGTAGAGACCTTGGTGGTGTGAGTATGAATGTGGATATGGGTGTATTGCACGAGTGACGTACGTCCTAAGCGTACATAGTACAATGAGAAAGGATTCTGCCTACTATTTCTGGGGTTAGATATAATCTCGAGTCCAACCAATGCATTCCAAGAACAGTCGGATGGAAGAAGGGGTGTACTGGTTCGGTTCCACCATCACCCCATTATGAGCACATACTTTGGAAAAAAGCCCATCACAGTTGCTTATCACCAGTCTGGAAGAGAAAGCAAGGTTTTTTGCTGCGTTTGTGTATTGGGACTTCGGACTGACTTGTCGGTTTGAGAAGGTGCTTTGTTCACTATGGTAAACCCCCCTGGTCAGTCAAGTCAAGTGGCCGCCGCATCTCATCACTTTCCTCTACTCTGACAGTAAGGTATTCATCTTCTCTGATTGTGAATCAAGCACCCCCTCTCATGCTATCTGTCCATCCCGGAATTCCGCTGCGTCATTTTTGCGATCCTCGTCTCGTTTCTTCACAAAGCTGTCGTTCCAGCCACACAAGCCATCGTTGTGATCCTGCAATCGTGAATGCAATGACCCGCTCTTTCTCCACCTGTGTAAGATATAATGTAGGCCGTGACGCATCATGGAAATAAGCAAGTAAAATAAAACCTACAACTGCCCGCCGCCAATCTTCGCAACATGAGCAACACACCCAAGCATAGCCGGGCTAGTACGGTAACTCACGTCAACCTCCAGCATCTCACGCGTCATATAAAAGCCCGCTTAGGCCTTCAAAAGTCGGGCATGTTAACTCTTCAAGGCTTCAATAACAGACACACCAACCGCCAGTGCAGACACCACCTCTGTCAACGCCTTCGCCGTGTCAAAGCAGTTCCTGTACACTGTTTTCTAGCGGTTCAGTCACTTCATCTACTCCCGTGACAATTACACTATCGCGTTCAACTTCCATAGGTTTCTCATCCCACATTTTGACGTCTACTGGCTCGATTTCTGGCGCAATAGCGTGGGCTCAGCCACAGGTTATTCAACGATTCTAGGCGAAGGCGCCTCTGCCAATATATTGACCGGAGGGGCAACAGCATTGCCCAAGAGACCTGCAAGATCGGTTGTCTTGACACCAAAGTCGGCCTTGTTGTCGAGTTGGAACAAGGTCACTTTGCCTGCCAGTGGCTTCTCCAATGTGAGAGTAGCCACGTTGAACACTGGCCCAGCAGGGGCGGTGGGCTGCAATGCGGGTTGTGGTGCTACCAAATTTTGGAATAGATTCGCCTCTGGTGCTGCGGCTGTTGCCGTGGTTGGTACAGAAGCATGGCATGGACCTTCAGTAGGCCATGTTATGATCCGGCAAAGGAATCCTTTCGTTATGAGCTTGGACAGGGGAATTAAACGTTTCCATCGTCTGGATGGATCCTTGCTAGCCGTCCTTCGTTTCGACCATAGACACATCTTCATCGGTTTCCCTGCCTCCTACATCTGCATCAATGGCCCTGCGTTCATCGGCGATCTTCTTTGCCTCAGCAATGGCTTTTCTAGCCTCTTCCTCTCTGCTGTGGTGGTGTGAACGGTAGGCCGGCACGTCAAAAGTTCTCTTATCGGCTGGGTCGAGCTTGCGACGGGCGGTCCACGGTGGCTTCACTTTGCGTGTAGTGCCCACATCCATATTGTTGGACGTTGAATCAGTAATGGTTGGGGTTGTTTATGGGATTCCGCTATGGGGGTTTGTGTCGAGCAGCGCGCTCGCTATGAGCAATGATATCAAGGTCTGGCCAAAGTGAATATAAAAATACATGAATCCTCTTAAGACGTACAATTTTATACAAACTTGAGGAGCTGTACTGTAACAATATGAAAGTGGATTGAGCAAAGAAACCCAGTGGGATGACTATGGGCTCAGTCAATGTCGCAGCGCAGGTCAAGCTTTCATATGTGCTTTCGTACGTGAAGAGAGAAAGAGAAGGGACCCTGGGCAACGGCATCCTAAATATATTATATTCACATTCTGCAAGATGAGCGTTTAGACAAGCGTTTAGACGAGCGTTTGCGCGTGCCAGCGCATGGGTGTATTGTGGCAAAGCAGGTGCGTTCGGCTCTGGGTGTGTATGCGACCGTGGTAGTCGTGAAGCTTACATTGCTCGAGGAACTGAAATGGCACTGTTGGTTATGGCGGGCGGGTGGAAAGAGTCTAATGTGAGATGGGCGGTGGGTGGCGGGAGTGCAAGGGAAGTGCGTGAGTGTATGTGTGTATTCATGACCGAGACAAACAAGAAGATTCGGCGTCATTTTTCGGGAACACATGGACCGGAGTGAAATGACCGAAAAGTAAATGTAGATTGACCTGGAGGGCGGGAAGAAGTACGCGAATACTACCTGTGAATAGCCCTTTCCCTGCATTCACCTCTGTACACCAACGCTAATCGCATGTCAAAACCAAAAAAAGTCACACCAAACCCAGCTCAATCAATGTCTTTAAGCTCAAGCCCAATAAATATGCCATGAATATCTCTCATGTCTGCAACACGTCCACAACCCCTTCCCAGTTTCCTCTCTCTCTGCACTCCCAGTACCCATCCTTTCCACTCTTCAACCGCCAAATCTCCTCATCTCCCAGAGCCGCCGCCTCCGCTACTCCAATTTTGCTGAACCAGCGTGGTTTCCACTCGTCGCCATGTTCTTCCATGACTCTCCTCCTCGCACGTTGACGTTCTTCCAGCCGGGCCTTGAGAGCTTCCGCACGGTCAACGTCGCCCTCTTCCAGCGCTTTTTGGTCGGGTCGAAGACGCGAGTCTGTTGGAGCCATATGATTCTCTTCAATGGACGTGATTTGGTTTAGCGCTGCAGCAAAGGTGGTGAAGCCATAGTGTTTCTCAGGTTTGTCGACGAGCTCGCCTACTTTCCAGACCGTCGTACCGGTAGGCTGGCCGTTGGATGTCATTTGTAGATCCGTTGTCCATTTTCCGATTGCACCCATGGGCAGCACTGAGCCTGTACCGTCAAAGACTTGGACGGATACTTCTTCGGAGCGACCGGCAAACATGCCTCCAGCTTTGAATGTGCAGACAGCCTTTGCACCTGTGGTTTCGGAGACAACGGTCATGGTTCCAAATGGCTCGAGGTACTTCTCGCCAGCGATGATGTTGCGCAAGTACGAAGTTGCGAGAGTCCAGGAATAGTGCTCACCGGATTCATGAAGGAAGATGCGGACACGACCGTCGGTGTTAATTTCTGCACTCTTGCCCCAGAATTTCTGCACAGGTGTGGGAGACTGGATGAAGGTCCATTCTTGGGCTTCTGCTTGACAAGCCATACGCACAGGTCGATGTACGACCTTTTCTGCGAAGAAGCGATACCCCTTGTCTTCACGCACCAGCTCGTATGTCTCCCCAAGCATTGGGTTGAACGGTTTGCGAATGGCGCGATCCTTGACACGAGAATTGCTAAAGGCGGAAATGGCAAAGGCAGCCATGTAAACGAGGCGCTCGCCATCCTCTGGTGCGGCCTTGACCGCTGAGTCAAGTAGCTCGCTATACTCTAGCTGTTCAGCTAATCGTTGCAGTGCAGACGTGGGCTCATTGGCAGACACTGGCATCGCAATCGTGGACAAGTCTTTGCCGACATTTTTTCTGAAGAAGGCGATGAGACTGGGCGGTTGGACCTTGGGCGGCTGAACATTGGCCCTTCGCTTCACAGGCTGCAGAGGTAGGGGGGCGAGAGACTTGGGCTTGGTAGGGAACAACGCCGGTGTAGCCTCTCTTGACATGCGTGGGCGATCCAGCAAGCCTGTACCTCCCGTGTCCGACGATGACTCTGACTCGCCATCCGAGTCCTGATCCCGTTCGCGCTCCGGTTCGCGCTCATCATCTTCACTGTCTCTCCGAATGCAGAGAAGCTGTGACTTGCTTCCGTCTACGTCTTGAGCATCGAAAAACTCATCGACTGATTCCGCCACCGACTCGAAGCTGTTGCGCGAAGGGAGTGCTGATAGGGGCGCTGCCATTCGCCGTTGCTTGTTCTCGGCGATGAGTTGTGAGAACTCTTGGACAACGGAATCGAGGTCCCTTAGCAAGGCCATGCAATTGTCGTGGATACCGTCTTCTTGAGTATGTGTCGATGTACTGGCGTGACCATTGCGATTTGGTACAGATAATGCACCGTTTGCCAATATATTCGGAGGGAGTGGAGGAACGGGAGGGACAGCGCCGGGTGAAGGAGCGCCAGCCTGCACAGTGGAGCTTCTTCTAAATAGCCCAGCTGGGCTTGAACCGCTCGAGCTACTAGCTTTTCTCTTCCAAAAGGCAGCCTTTTCTTGTGCCCTGGTATCTGGGAAATACTCGCCCGACTCTGCTTCGGAGGGTGTGGGCGATAAGCCCTCATGAGCTTTGGGTCCTAGACTGGAGGTGGTGGCGGTGGTGGCGTTGTACTTTGGATCCGTATTTTGCGCCAATCTTCGCACAGCATCTCGGGTTCCCGCTACTCTGCCTACCAGTGCCTCGACTCGCGCCCATTCCGTTTCCTCTGCTGGGTTCATTACATGTCCGATGCTCTGGAATGGGCTGTCCTTGACCTGCAGTTTTGGGGAAGAAACCATTCCGGCTGTGCGTGACGCCCTTTCGAGCGCGTCTCTCCACATGTTGAAATCCTTTGCATTGTTTGCTTTCAGCTGCCAGATTTCAGCGCCAGAGTCCACTGAGATCTCCCTAGATTCCTCGTTGGCGCCAATGGCAGCCAGCGACAGGGGAATGGCTCCTCGCAGGGCTGAGGAATGGTCATTTCGATAGTAGGAGAGTGTGGACGAGGTGAAGTCGAGGGAGAAGAAGCGCCGTGCGTAGCCCTGATTCCTCTTCCGTTTCTTCTTCTGCAGCACTCCAGTCAGAAACGAGGCACTCGATATGCTGCCTGGTTTGGCGCCATGTTGTGATGGCGGTCCATGGCCGTATGCTTGTGGTAAAGATTCGGAGGATTCGACGGGGCCCATGGAGGGGCTCGACTTGGGGAGACTGGTTGTGCTCGTGGTTGCCACGGCCTGGGCGTAGTGCATGTGGTGTCCAGACTTTGGCGCTGCGTTTGTGGGATATGTCATGAGGACAAAGGTGGCCGTCTTGGAGACGGTCTTGGAGAAGGTGTTGTCGAAGACCAAGCCGTACATGCCACCTTCTCCTGTGGGCACGTCGTAGGTGCCCATGGACACCATGTCCGCCTCGCATTTTCCATGCCAGTGCACCTGCTTCAGGCCAATGGCCGACAGCTTCTCCAGTACTACGGTTCGATCGTTGCGCGAGGTCGAGGCGCCGCGGCTGCGCGTCGTCGGCGGTTCAAGGCCAGGTGTCGAGGGGCCTGCTTCGAAGGTGGCCGAGGCGGGCAGGTGGGGATTGGCGCCCGTGGCAGTGCCTGGATGCTTGAAGATGCCAAAGTTTAGCGACTTCTTGTGTGGCTGAATGCTCCAAGAGATGGTGTGTCCTGCCGACACATTTACCCAGCGGACCAGGTACGACTAGGCCGCTGTCGATTAGCCTCGAACCGTCGCTTCAAAACAACATGAACAGATTGGCCAAGTTACCTTGCTGTGCACTTCAATGTTCTCCATTCCAGCCATGTTTTGGCGTCGTTGTCACACGTGCTGCACGCCTACTTTTGTGTGTTTTTTCGTGTGCAGTCTTTTGTGCGCCGGGTGTCTCTCAGTGTGTCTCGCAGTGAGAGGATGAGAGAGAGAGAGAGAGAGAGAGTGTGTGTGTGTGTGTGCAGGGGAGAGGGAGGGATGTTATGCGGAATGTTTTGCCTCGAAATGTCCAAAGGCCAACGGGTATGTATGGTGTATAGATGCCTGGCCAAGGGTACCTGGGGAGGTAGCGAGAGGGGTAACCTGCGTCGGGACGGTTGTCGTTCAGCGAGCGGACATGGCGGACGAAAAGAAGACGGGTGTCTGGTGCGGATGGTGGTGGAATGCTTGCTGCTTGCTCAGGCTTCACACTGTATAGCTATGAGCAAAGGTAGTGTAGTACCTAGTGAGTGGGTCAAGCGTGAAATGTCCACGGGTTGCGCCTCTCTGCGGATCGGCCTGGCTGTGCTGGGTGGGCGCTTCTTTGCACGTGCAAGATGTGTTTTGTTTCTTGGTCGTACCGTATACTGTTGCTCTCGCTGTCTAAAGAACACGGTCTGTCTGAGAGAGGTGTGAGGTGTGTGTGTGTGTGTGTGTGTGTGTGTGTGTGTGTGTGTGTGTGCAGCCTGCAGGAATATACAGCAGCAAAGACAAGACAAGACAAGCAGTGCTAAGTCGTGTTTGTTAACGGTGGCTGACTGACTGGCTGATGATGTGGCTGACAAGCTTGGAAGGCCGGGAATGTGGCTGGGAACATTGTTGCATCCGAGTATCCCGACCGTGTGCCGGTATATCTTGTAATATACAACGAACAACGTCCGAGAGCACCGTCTTCCTGCCCAGCCTGCCGACGCAGAGTCATGGAAAGAAAATTAATAAAGAAAAGAAACTCGTCATTGCCTATCGTACGGCCGAGCCCGTTTTCTGCCGATGACTCGGACATGCCGATACGACTCCCCATCTGCAATACGAGCACGAGCAGCGAACGTGAACGGGAACGGGATCAGGCTTGTCCCCAATGTTGCAACCTCTTTTTGTTCCATTCTGTGCCTGCAAACCATGTCATTCGCAGAAATCAAAAGAAAATGCACATGTCGCACTCTGAAAGTATATACAGCACTCCTTCAATCCACAGCCTGTACACCGCTTCTTCAGGTCCACACTGATCAACCTGTCCGCACCTTTTCACCAGCCCTAATAGGTAGGCCTCTTCTTCAACAACTTTGCAATCGACGCCGCAGTCGCATTATGCACCGGGAATGTAGGGTGCAAATCATTCAGCCACAAATACTCATTCACCGGATACTCGCAGCTCGGATCCTTTGTATACCAAGTCGGCGTGCCACTGTGAACAAACCCCCAAACTTGTCAGCAAGCAAACTCCCACCATCTTGAACTTCAATCAAAAGGGAAAAACAACAGCAACTTACCCCTTGTACGCCTCACAAAACCCCGTCACATTCTTCAATCCTCTCGTCTGCTCAAACACCCCAGGATTCTTAATCACCGCATCATAGACCCCATACGTATCGTGCACAAACACCGCTGTATCCCTATACTTTGCCTTGAGCTCTCTCGCCATCCCATCTAGCCTCTTATTCCAATCCAAAATCACCTTGCCCTCCTCCCGCACCGCACACCCCCCATCGTCCTTCTCCAGCGTAAGCGGCGCCAAATTCACAGGCGGCGTGCTCAAAAACAAGAAATTCCTCGCCCCAACCGCATACACCTTGTCCACCAGCCCCGCGAACTCGCCGAATATGGCGTCGTAGAGCGTGCTGTTGTTGGCCGCCCAACTGTTCCCCACATCATTGATGCCGATGAAGAAGGCGAAGAGGGAGGATTGCGAGGACCAGGGCGTGGACGGGTCGTGCGATCCATACGTTGGGAGGAATTCCAGTTCGACCTGATCTTTTAGGCTGAGGACGGTGGGCGCATAAGGAGTCACGAGTGCCGAGTCGACGGTTGCACCGCCGTAGGCTAGGTTGTAGGTTAGCAGGCGAGAGGCGTTGTATGTTGTGCTGAGGAAGCCGATCCAGTTGGGTCCATTGGAGGATGTCCAGCCCCTAAGGAAAACATGGTTGTCAGCTATCCGCCCATCTGAAGGTCGGGCTACTAGGTAGCAGAGAAGGTATCATACGGATATCCTGGATTGCCAAATGGATTATTAGCATTAGGCTGGGTGCCATTGACATTGAACCCAGTTTGCGTGTACGAATCCCCACTAGAGACTTGTGTCAGTCCAATCGTACGTTCCTCATTGTTCAACTCGTCGTCCTGTGTTTTGTGTGTCGTGTCATGCAAATCTGCACATGGAACTTCTTACAAGACAAAAAGCTCCCTCACATTCCTCCACCCCGACCACGACGTCGCATTTACCTTCTCATGTCTCCCCGGGTGCGCCAGTCCCGTCCCCGCAAGCACAAGCAACACTCCAAATCCGCGCACCATGACGACAACGACGGGTTGGATCCGGCAAATTCAACGCACCCGAAGTCTTCCGTTTTATCTAGATACTGTATATGTAGGATTGGAAATAAAACGAGGTAGTGATTCTGCAGAGAAGTCTGGACGAGACTGAACAAAACCCAGGGATAAGATGCCAGACGGTATGGCCTCGAGCTCGCACTACGCTAACTAATGAATGTAGGCTACGTGTGTAGTTCGTGCGAAATCCATCAGCATATATATATACATATATTCTCCCCCGCATACACTCTACTACACTCTCCGAGCACAACACCAAACCACAGATAGCTAGTTCGAGCTCTAACTACACGCTAGGTACCAAATGACACCCCATGGTACCCCAACCCAACGCAATATATCTTCCCCCCTCCAAAAGCCGCGGCTCCACTCCCGGCACCGCCGCAAACCAGGACCAGATAAATTCAGCGCGGTCCTCGGAAAAAAGGGCGCGGCGTTTGATGAGGCTGGATGCAACGGCTCCGTGTTGGATTAGGCTTAGACTTGGGTAGGGGCTGGGGCTTGGGCGGGGAGATGGATTATAGGTATGTATATACTCTACAGTAGCGTAAGTAATCGAGGCCCTGGTCTTGGGTCTAGGTTCACGGCCTACGGTTCGGTCTGTTCGATTCACCGTCGGCCGGCCGGCTGGTGGGAGGGCTGGGGGACTCGACGCGTCGCGATTTCTCCGTTGGGGACATGGACAGCGTGCACAGTGTCAATTGGTGCCAGTCGACCATACTGTATAGAATTGTAGGCAAGGCCAGGCCAGGCTGGGCCGTGTAGAGTTTTAGAGTTTACATGTACATCATTCATGTAGAGTATACTCTTCGTTGCGCTCTCCATAAGCCACCGTACATGTATCTTGGACAAATTCGCTCGAGGGGCGGGATTTTTTGATTTTTTTTTAAAAAAAACCCTCAACCAAGAACTACGAGAAGAATTACATGGGACAGACAAGAAATACTGTAAGTATTCAGGGGGTCGCGAATAAATTTGGAATCTCCTTTGGATCGTGGTGAGTTAAGCTACTGATATGTAGGTCTTTTGAGACGGTGATGAAGACTGAATCATATACGTCATGTGTGAGTTTCCTCCCGTGAAGTGGCTAGCTAGCTAAAGCTGAGCAGTATACCTCGATGCCGCTTGCAAGGCTATGCTTAGATCTCGACCCAATTTGCATCATCCTGTGACAACAAGTGCATGGCTTGATCAAAGCAACCAATCTGCCGCCTCTTCAACAGAAAGCTCAATTACACCATAAGTCCATCAAATCATGTGAAACCTTGGTGCAAACTCCTCTAGCCATGGTAACATTCCAACCCCAACGCTAGTGCCAAGCTCAAATCTCAATGTCAACCCCAATATCCAAACTCGCAAGAATATCATCATCCATCTTGGGCTTTTTGAAAGTCGCCAACCCCTTGCGCTCTGTCTTCTTCTTACCCTGCGGCTTCGGCGTGCCTGCCCGCGAACTCCCATCGCCGTCAAAGAGCGCATCCATATCGAGGTTCTTCTGCTTAGCTGCCGCCTCCTCTTCTTGAGCCTTCTTCGCCGCCTCCTCGGCCTTTTTCCGCGCTGCTGCTTTCTTTTGTTCCATCTTCATGTGTCGCTGCTGTTCGAGCTGGACTTTGCGTACGCGCTCTGCATCTGCGAGACGGTTCTTGCGATTCAGTTCGGCAACGCGCGCAGCAGCTGTTTCAGACTGTGTAGCAATCCTGGGTTGAGCGTCGGCATTGCTGCGGTTAAGGAGGTGAGCATATTTCTTGGATTTGGCGATGCGGGCACTGATGTCGGCATCGGTCCAGTGGTGGTTTTGCAGGCTCTTGAGGTCTTCGTACTTGCGTTGGAGGAAGGATTGTGTAGGTATCTTGGCGTTGGTTTCTACAAGAGATTGCCTGTATGTCTCGAGGTCGGTCTCGGTGAAGCGCTGGTTGGACAGGAACTGGAACTGATAGTCCTTCTTGACAGCACCATGTTGCGCTATGACGTATTGATCTGTCGCCACTTTCTTGCCGCCTTTGCCTTCAAATACATAGGGCTTGCCCGTTGTGAAACCTGGAGATATCAGCGGTGGCTCGAACAGTAGCAATCTGTCAACATACCCTTGATCTGCGCCATCTTGTAAAGTGTCCGTCGCGAAGAGTCCTGACCTACGCCGATCCGGCCAAAGGTTCCCGTCATGGCCTCCTCAAAGCCAGGGTAGAAGCAGACCTCTGAAAAGAACCCGCGACCAACACGGACAGACTCAAAGTCACGTATTGAAGCCGGCTGCTCCTCGCGCGCCTTTTCAGGCGCCCGGTCGTCCCAGTCAACATCACTCTCACCATCGGCATCCAGATCCGAGCCACCGCCGCGGCTTGCAGAGCTGGACCGTCGGCGACGCCTATCGTCCTGTCGTTGTCGTTGCTGACCTCGCTGCTCACGCTCGCGCTTGTATGCCTCGAGTTTCTCGTTTTTCCTAGGCTGAACCTTGGGCCGACTGCTCTTATGTGTGGCGTCATCGGGCTCATCCGAATCAGCCTTGCGCTTCCTGCCATTCTGAAGATTTGCGGCGCGCCTTGCAAGCTCAGCCTGGAAGTTGGCTTTGCTCATCTCTTCCGCTCGCTGACCAAGAATCTCTTCTCGGTCTAGCTGCGACATAGCCAGGATTCTGCGCTTGTCGGCTTCGTCAATGTACTTGCCCTCAAGCGGATAGGGCACTTCCGCGCTTCGTACTGGCGCGTCATCGTCACGGTCGGAGTCAGACTCGTCCATGGCATCTGAGCCGAGCGAATTTGGCGACGAGGCTGCAGGCGACGAGCTTGGGCAGGTCAGCTTCATGCTGTAATAACTCAAGGGGGACCAGGGGCTATTTGAAGAGCAAATTGTGGAGTGGAAGATGGATCGCGAGTGTACAAGGCCAGATATAGATAGAGGAGTGAGGAGGTGAGAGAAGAAAGAGACTCACGCTTCACCTTCTTCCACATCTACGTCTTCATCACCGCCAGCGAGGGCAAAGAGCTCGTCGTCGAGTTCGTCAGCCATGGTGTCTGTGATATCGCCGTCTTTTATGGTCTATACACAAGGCGACAGGGGGGGTAGAAATGGATGTCGGAAATGCGGTATTTGACGGTGAGAGGCGCGTTTGAGGGGAGGGGTGGGAGGGCAGAGAGAGAGAGAGAGAGAGGAGGACTGGACTGGGAGAGGCACTGGTTCTAAAAGAGCGGCGCAGGGGCCACGCCGCGTAAAAGTGGGCCTGGAAGTAGCGTGCGCGGTGAGCGCATCATTTGGGGAACATGAACAATAACTCACGTTATTCTACTTTGAGCCTTTCCTATTCACTCCATCCAATCGAACAATCGCAGGATTCTTAATTCACTTGTGTTTATTGTGCTAATAGTCGCCCATTTCATGTCACCATCTGCAATGCTGCCATCCAAGATCACAGCATGTCAGTTTATGCGCCAACCCGTCGTAGACTTCCTCGCCCCACCCATCACCACGTCCGCATCACGCTCAAGTCGACGACATGGCAATAGATGTCAAGGTAGACATCAAAGCACATCCGCACCACCCCCACCCCCACCCCAATCCGAACCATACTCTTCACAACCACTCCAAAAGAATACCAATGGCAAACCTATTCGGCCCCTCACCGCCGAACAACAGCAATTCCTCTCCTCCGCCTTGCGCGTCAACCAAACCGGCGAACTCGCTGCCATTCTCATCTACGCCGCTCAAATCCCCGTCCTCACAAAAGCTCACCCTCACCTCCGACCACTGATGAAACACATGTACGACCAAGAGGCAGGCCACTACAAGTACTTCAACCAAATCATAGCCAAACACCGCATTCGCCCCACCGCCATGACACCCGTGTGGACCGCCGCTGCCAGCATGCTGGGCTGGTCGACTGCGCTGCTTGGTCGGGAGGCGGCCATGGCGTGCACAGAGGCCGTTGAGACGGAGATTGGGACGCATTATAATGAGCAGGTTCGCGTACTGTTGGATTGGGCCAAGAAGTGTGAAGAGAGGGGGGAAAGCCTGGGACCCGAGTTGGAAGAGATGGTAGGGGAGCTGAGGAGAATCAGGGACGAGGAATTAGAGCATTTGGATCATGCCGTCGAGAATGATGCCAAGAGTGCAAAGCCCTATGAGCTGTTGACCGAGGTGATCAGGGGTGGTTGCAGAGGCGCGATTTGGGTTAGTGAGAGGGTATAGTATGCGACGAATGAAGAATACAAAATACTGTATAAAATGTATGATCCAGTGTATGTATATATCATGACTATCCAGATAGCTACACTTCAACGGTCAATTCACTTGAAAAGCCCATTATCCTTAATTCAAACCACGTCGAACTGCTGTACTCAAGCACAAACCCAACAAACTCCACCTACTCAAACCCGCCTCCCAAATCTCCAAGCACGCTTCTCATACCCCCAGCCCTCTTCCTCCCACCCTCAACCTTCTTCCTCAACGCTTCCTTCCTCTTCCCTTCTTTCCTTTCCAACAAGGCCCTGCGCTCCGCCTCTCGCGCCTGAGCATGGATGTTACTCTTCCCCGTTCCACCTCTCCGCACGCCCTCAGTCGGTGTCCCCGCACCCGAAGATCGCTGGCTCGTTGTCGAGAGATTGGAGGTGGCTTGACGAATGAGCGATGGTACGCGGAAACCGGGAATAGCTGCGGAACGAGACGGGGCGTGAAACGCCATGTGGCCATCGCCACCTGCTGCTCCTTCTTCCATGGTGGATTGTCGGGAGAGCGAGAGGCGGTCGACAATGGGTTTACGGCTTGCAGCCTTGGGGAGGGCTGCGCCATCGTCTTCCGAGTCTGAGAACTGCGAGTCGGGGATTATGACGCGCGGATCATCGAGCAGTTCTGACACTGAGTTCTGCACGTCAGCGAGGGTCATGGGTTTCCGTACCAGGCTGTCGGGTGCGGCTGTTCGTCGCATGTTTGGTGGTGGTCGGTTCTCCTTTTGTGACGATTCTGGCGATTTGCGCTTCAGTGGGTTGAATGGAGCAGGCATAGCGACAAAATGTGTAGTCTGGGAGTCTGGGATTACTTCATTCATGTCGTCATCTTCCCTGGGAGTCTCCTGGCTCTGGGAATCTGGGACATCAATGCCCATCTCAGCAGGCAGGTCGAGGAAGTCATAGTCACCCTCGTCGGCGAAGTCTGCCAGAGATTTGAAGAAAGCCTGCTTCTTCTGGTCTTCATGCAAAGCTTTGACTCGATCATCGGCTAATAGTGCACGTGTTTGTTGTTGGAATGCTGCTCGCTTCTTCCGTTGGCGCATTTCGGCCTCGTCTTCTGAGTCGGATACGTCGAAACCTGCACCACCCACGTTTCTGCGTAGCCCACCGTTTCGTATCTTCTTGTAAAGTTCGGCAATGTTTCTCGCATCATCCTTCTTAGATGCGTCGCTGTTGCCAGTTAGCATGAGCAATATAAAAAGCTGGACAACTGAGACTTACGCGTATAAAGCAGCGAGCTCCCTTTCATTAACATCGACATTGGCGTGATCAATCATGTCCTTGAGCTCTTGATCTTCTTCACCCTCTTCGTCATCACTAGCACCTCCAATACCCGCATATTCATCTTCGGATTCTTCGGCTTGCTCCATGACGGCATCTTTAGCCATACTAGTTTTCTTGTTGGAGTCGTCAATCGCCTTTTGCTTTTTTGCGCCCTTTTGCAGCTTCGAGAAGGCATCTCTAGGCTTGGGAGGAAGCTGGATATCATCTTCACTCTCTTCCGCTGCATCGGTCAAGTCATCTTCAATGTCCGAGAGCTCGACGGGTGCCTCTCGGCGTCCACGCTGAAGCTTCCCCTGTCTTTGCTTGATCGGGGATTCAGCAATGGTCATCATGACTGTCTCAACGGTAGACACTGGTGGGGCGAGACCTGCAGGGGAACGTGAGAAAGAAAATCCTGCATCCTGTGTAGGCTCAAAGTCTTCCACTTGAGTGCGTGTCAAAGCAGGCGAATTGTTGACCAGCTGACTGATGCCCAGACTAAACTGAGAATCGACGGTAGTCTGTGATCCTTGCTGTGGTGATATCAACGATTGACTGTTGGGTACTACGTCTTCCACTTGGCTAAAGTCTGCACCAGGTTGTGTATCCGGCAAGCTGCGTAAGAAGTCTAGAGAATTCTGCTCAGCTTCGTGCACAGAAGCAGGTGTAGCTTGTGAGTCAGATCCCAGTTCGGCAATTGTGCCTGCGAACATCTGTGTAAGGCCTAAATCAGGGGCTGCGTTGCCGAACCCGAAGGCTGCCATCGCATCGGACTGGGTTGATTGTAGGGTTGGAGAGCCAGCGTTGGGAACTTCGCCATCACTCTCGTCATCATCTTCTATTACCCGTTTGCGAGCCCGGTGGACATGCTGCTTACGCGCAGGTGCAGCGGCATCTTCGTCCTCCACGTCTACATCCTCATCTACATGTTGCAGCTCGTTCTCCACTTCTGAATGATCACTGGCATCAGCGGCATCGTCGACCAAGTCGTTCGACTCAGCCTGATCCTCCTTTTCATCTTCCATGAACTCGTCCTCAGACCCGGACAACTCTACATCGATTTCCTCGTCGGCTTCCTTCATATCCTCTTCGTCGCTTCCAACGTAGTCGGCGTCTTCTTCATCGCTAGATGGAAGATCATCGATAGTCTCGCCGTTTTTCTTCCGCTCATCCTTCTCCATCTTAGCAAGCTGGGCATCCTGTTCGCGTTCCCGTTCCATCTGCGCGACCAAATCTTCGATTTCTTCTTGGCGCTTCTCTCGTTCCTCTTCTGTCTCGATATGGGCACCTCGTGCACGTAATTCGTTAATCTTTGCCTCTCGAGCCTCACATGCTTGATGCCGAGCTTTCTGAGCCAACGAGAACTCCCACTCTGCACGATTAATCGATTTTTGACCGTTCCTTCTGTTCTGTGGAGATTTCATCAATTGGGCAAGAGACCGCAGACGCTGTAATGACGCTGATTCCGGTTGCTTCTTTGTGGGTACTCGATCGAAGACGGGAAATCTGCTCTTCGTTTGTACAGTCTGCGACTCATCGTCGGAGTCTGAAAGCTCCACCATCGTATCCGTGCATGACGTCCTCGCTGAAATTGCAGCATTCTTGACGATCACTGGCTCCGGTTGCTTCATCCAAGGATGTACTGGAAGATGCTGAAACTCTGGTGCTCGTCCCTTGCCTTTGTCCAATTTCGTTAGTATCGGTGTTGCATCTGTGCTTTGCTCAAGATCTGCCATCAGTTCCACAGGAGATTTTTCCTTGTTCTGCGTCTCAAACACTCCTGTTGGGCTTGGCGGTTGTGAGTGCTGTGTCTGAGTAGGCTCTGCATCAGAGGAGGCCAAGGCGGAGCTTGCGTCGGGAGTAGGGAGGCTTTCTGGGCCTTCATTGGATACAGTATAGCCCATTTTCGCGAATAAGTCTTTTGTTGAAAACTTCTTCTTGGTTTTCGCTTGGTGGGTAAGCTGCATATTACGGCTGATGCGCTGCTGATCACGAGCCATCTCTTCCATCGCTTTCTTGCCGGCCTTGCGTGTCGGCCTTGCTTGTTGGGTCAGTCGTCTGCCATTTTCACCATCGGAATCACTGCCTGGCTCTCGATTAGCAAGCCGCCGTGCGATTTTCTTGGCCTGCAACCTCTGTGACTCTTCCTGCTGCTGTCTCGCTAAGCGCTCTGCACGAATGCGTCGGACGCGTTCTTGTAGGTCATTACTACGTGACGGTCGAGTAGAAGTATCACATGCCGAGCCTGCGTCTGCTGAATGTCGCAATTGCTTTGTAGGCGTCGCATTTGGGGTCACAAAGAGACCTGGCGATGATCGACGGGATTGGATGCTTGGAGATGGTGATGCGGGAGGAATTACAGTCTTGCTCCTTTGTGGTATTGAAGCCCTAGCATTGGTACGCACAGGTATTTCGTCTTCCTCTTCAGTGCTCGCGATTTCGGCCATTATGGGGACCTCGTGATCCCGACTGCGAGATTCTTCCCTCTTTTTACTCGCAGCTAATCTCTTTTTCATCCGTTCATAGGCATTCTCACCGTCACTTTGCTCGTCCTCTTCGACAGAGGCTGTAGTTGACTGCAGAGGAGAAATCGCAGGCTTAAATCTCGATTGTGCACTCCGTATCTCCTCATCCGAATCGGATGCGGTGTGATCAGAGTCTGTATCGCTATCTGATGAGCCTACTGAAGGTTTCCGCAGAGCTGCTAATAGCTTTGGTGGTCGAGGAGGGGCCGCAGCGTCGATCGCGCGTAAGGATGGCGAGGCACGCATCGGTTTGGGGGATGTGGTTGCCATACTGTGTCTGGGGGCTTGACTGCTATGCGTCTTGAACCAAAAAAGTGGACTGTGGCTCCTTTTGCTTCGCGTCGATGGTTCGGTGTCGTAGAAGGCCGTGCGATTGGTGGTGTTAATGCTAAAGTAGCAGCTTCAGTGTTCTGGGTAGATTGGCGTGCGGGGAAGATTGATATGAATGACAATCGTGATGACTTGCTGATAGTAGGTATCGTGATTTCCAGTCGAGGACAAGCATGTCAATTGTACATGTCTCCAAGTTGGAAATGCAAATGTACCTTGAGGGCGGGGGGCTTTGGCGTGATGGTCATACGTATTAGCGCGATATTTACGCGACGCGTCGACGCGCCTCCCCTGGACAGGCGTCGCGTCGCTAAGGCCAATCATGACTTCACCTGCACTCGACCACATGTATACACTATCTACTATGGCTAAAAGCCAGCGCAGCCAGCGCACCAAGACTGCCCTTTGAAGCGCAGTACTGTAAACTTCATGTAGCTTTTGGGGTGTGGGTGGGTACTACCCACACCATCGTGCCTTTCTTTATAGCCAGGCGTGTACCGGTATGTTAGGTACCAACCAAAGCCGAAAACACGACCATCGCCAGGCTGCGTATCGACACCGGATCAGCGACAGTAAGCACCCGCAGCTATCACCTCCACCTCACCTACCTTGACGATGTTTTATGGACATCTACTGTGTAGGAACAAACCTGCGACATCGGATCAGGATGCTAAGAGTTATCGTATCATCATGAAAATCCAAAGGCTGGATATCACGAGTCCCCTCGTCATTGGGCTCATCACTACATATACAATCTTTTGAGAATGGCCGACTCCACCCTGGCATTGGTACGAAGTCACTGGGGAAGCTCCTGTGAATGCATCATGCTAGAAGGCTAAAACAGAAACTTTGCCCTGAATACTTCATGCTAGGAGTTCGATCAGATTAGCTCGCGAAATCGCCTAAAGCTTGTTTCGGAACACAGTTTGATTAGGTACCTACCGATCATGGTCAGGTAGCACGGTCAATTGCCTGATTAAGACTGTTCGTTTTCGTCCTTGTCAAGTTTTACTTAGCCAATTTTGATGCGGTGTCGTCATATTCAGCCCCAGCGGCGCTTCTGAAGTTTGTTCCATGGCCTAGGCGTGCCGTGGGCTTGATAGGTACTGTTACGTGCTCGTGCTCCTAAAGCATCGCACTGTTCAGGAGACTCCTTTTCGATCTGTTAGCTAGCCCATCCGATATCATTGGTACTAGGACTGTTAGTAATAAATATATTGCGCTGCATCGCCTCTTTCATGCGTCTCAGGATACTTGGGCCAGTGCGCCAAGAATAGTGCCGACTCTACACGGGCTCGAGTCATGCCAACTACCAACCACTGCCAGTTCTACCTACTGTGTACACAAACGCCTCAGCGAGGGCGCAGTTCATATGACCATGGAATTAGCGCTGCGTGAACTCGTATTTGGCATGGGGTTAGGCCGTGCCAAGCTCTACTAGCTAGCTAAGCGAGGTTAACCAAACATTATGCCGTAAGATTTTGCAACGCGTTCTAAACCTGTTCTAAATATATTCTATACTAGTAACACTATAAGCTACTGCTACTATACCTATTACTAACGCATCCCTCTTATCCTATATAAGCAGATTAAAACGTGTTTAGAACGTGTTCTTAATAGGTTATAGAAGCACTATTAACAGTACCTCGCCCTTAGCTGCGTCCTAGATAATATTAGGGCATAGCCTATGGTTAGCCCTAATAGGGTAGTTAAGATAGAGAGTAGAGAGCGCTACTACTATGCTAAGATTAACAACAAGGGCACCTTGTGCAGAGTAAGAACAGGTTCTAAACGTGTTCTAAACAGGTTCTAATATTCTTAGGCTATTCTAGGTACTAGGGGCACTCTGTGTACCTATGCTAAAAAAGATTATAGGCTTAACATAGCCTACTATAAGGTTAGTAGGGTTAAGAAGACTAGCTAGCCCTCTATAATAGAGGTCCACAAGGCAAAGAGTAAATATGTTATTAACCTATTCTTAACTTATTATACTAATATATGTAGACTTCTATATAAAGGTTATATATGATTACTAGAATGCTCCTTACTATAAGTTATTTAGAATATATTTAAAACTTGTTACTAACGTGTTTTATAGAAGTTCTCTAAGCCTAGCTAGTAGCTGCTATAGGCCCCCCTGTAAATACTAATACCCTCCTAAATATAATTTAGAAGAAGACTTACAGTAGCTGTAATAGTAATAAGGTATAGCCTGCAAGAACCTATTAAAAACACGTTGCTAACTTATTATAGCTTAACTTTGTTGCTATATCTACCCTGCTAAGGATTTAAGGTTATTAGGTTCCTTGTGCTATCTGCGCTCGCGATTATCCTAGCTGTAGTAAGTTGTTTACAATATGTTATTAACCTATTCCTAACGTGTTTTAAGACTGTTACTTTAATACTAGTATAGACCTTGCTAATTCCTGCTAGAATGCCGCCTAGTTCTACTTGCGGTATGCTTTTGTAGAGCCTAGGGAGGATAGGGAGGATAGAGAAGATACTAGAGAGGGGGAGGGAGATAATAATAGTAACAAGTAGGAATACGTTAAGAACGTGTTAAGAACAGGTTCTAATAAATAATATATAATAGCATATAACCTAAAGGGGTAGTAGTAATTGCTAAAATAAACTCTCTACTCTTCTCTTTTTTTTTCTATCTACTAAAAGTAAAGTACTATTTACTTTTATAGGGTCCTTTAATAGTATATAACTTTTTCTTTTAACTTTTATAGGTATTATAAAGCTCTAGTAGTCCCTTAGATTAAAGAAGAATCTAGTATTTATAGGTGTCTAGCTATAACGTATTATTAACATGTTCCAAACGTGTTTTAAGAGACTAGACTTATATCTCCTTTTTGCTACTTTTACTAAATATTATTTATAGTGTAAAGGGGAGTAACTATTTGCTCCTCTTCTTTACTCTCTACTTCCTCTTTAGCCTCTACTCTAGCTACCACTTCTTGTTGTGGACTAGCTATCTTAGAGGGTTCTTGAACCTTAGAGGAGGTACTTAGTGCAGTCTGCTTTACTAGCAGAGAACGTATTGTTAACGTGTTTAGAACATATTCTTAAGCATTTACTATTAAGCTCCTATAGAAGATCCTTGCTTCCGCAATGCCTTGTATTGTAGTTCTGCCACAGTTCACTAGGGCTATTTAAACCTTAGGATAATACCTCTTAAGGTGGTAGATAAGATTACCTCTATTAGAGAAGTAACGCTAAAATAGTTATTAATATATTGTAAATGTGTTCTAACTTGCATGTATATATACTCTACAAAGTTCCTATACCCCTAATCTAGCCTAAATAGCCTAGCAGAAAAGCTTGCTAGGAAATACTATACACCTATTATTTAGGTAGGATATTGCAGGAGAGAATGCCCTAGTATTAGATAGAAGTGACTTAAGCTTAATATATCGCTAGTATAAATCCTACTTAGTGTTAGAACAAGTTTACAACGTGTTCCTAACGCGTTCTATTATATACTAACTTTAAAAGATCTTTGTAGACTATATTAACTAGTTATATCTAATAATATTAGGAAAGATAGATAGTAAAACAGTATTAAACTCTTAAATATAAAAAGTTCTTGTAGAGTGTAAGAAGAAAGAAGAAGAAAGAGAAGAAGAAAGAATATATATTTATCTACTTATATGTGCTTACGTAATAGACTAGAATATATTAAGAACTAGTTAGGAACTAGTTACTATATTTATAGACTAACCCTACCTTATATAAAAAGTAGCTATCTCTTTCTTAAGTTTAAACTGTGCCTTTTGCAATTTAAATAGTGCCTTTTTCTATGCAAGTTCTTCCTTATCTACCTCTAGCTTTTCTTTTCTCTCCTTTAGAGCCTAATTACTAAGAAGAGCCTTTTGTTATAAAGTTTGTAGTTATAGACTAATAATAAGTTAGGAACGTGTTATAAACGTGTTTCGCGAAGCATACCTTTAGGTTGCTGTTAGTAGAGGAGAAGAGCCTAGTAGTAGAGAAGATAGAAAAGGGGCTGGTGAACTTCTTTCTAATACCGCTCTACTACTTACCCTCTAGCTTTAGGCTTTTAAGCGTGCTCTTTTATTTCTTATTAGGACTAAGATATATCTAGTTAAGTTAGATATAGCAAGACTTACTTTATTGTTATCTAGAGTGTTATTATTGTCGCGGGACGCGTTCTAAACACGTTCTAAACACGTTTTAATTAGCGAATGTGCATAACGCTAGCGTAAGACTTACTTTCTCCCCTCTAAAGCTTTTTAAGGTACCTTTGCTTAAGCCTATTAGGAGTTCTATAGTTATAGCGTATTCTAAACTTGCTCTAGGCTTTAAACTCTTTTATATCCTGCAGATCTATCTAGTATATACTACATAATGTTACTTATATAATTCTAACAGGTTAAGAATAGGTTATAAACTTACTTCTAAGTAGCCTTAAGAATACTTACATGCTTACTAGTTTTATATCCTTTCTAGCCTGCTTACTTAGCTACATTTAAATAAGATTCTAGTTTTTCCTATACCTCTTTTAATATTTTACTATAGCATTGCACAATCCTAGTAGCAATTACTAGGTTTTTCTTATAGATTGCCTAGTTTTAGGCATCTTTAGAGGGTTCGTGTTCTAATTATGTGAGAACAAGTTAGGAACACGTTTAGAACAGGTTTAGAATGTGTTTACTTATATAAGAGGAGGTTAGCAAGCTAAAAGTATTCCTCTGCTATTAATGCCTGTAGTAATTCACTTAGACGTAAAGAGGTAGTATTATCTAGCTCTCTTTTATATGCTTTGTAAATACTTCTTTGTAGATATACTTAACAAAATCTTATACAAGATTAAAGTTGCTAGCGCTAGTTATGCTTGTAGGGATTAATTAACTAGAGATAGCGCCTAAGTCCTAGAAACAAGTTAGAAACACGTTACAAACATATTGCGGTGCGCTGTGAAACTTGCTTATTATCTACTTGTTACACATGTTAATAGTAGTCCTATAGAATCCCTATAAGTAAATATGCCTCTATAACACTTATCTTTTTATAAGTGCTTTACACTTCTAAAAGAAGTTAGTAATAGCAACTTAATATATCTTAGTTGTGTCCTTATCTATAATAATTTAGCTAAGTATAATAACTGTAATATGTTAGAAACGTGTTACAAACCTATTCTTAATGCGTACGCTTCTTTTCCTGCAGGTAGAAGATTACTATTAGAATCTCTGCCTATACCCTATACAACCTTTTATATAATATATCTATCTAGAACGTGTCTTAATCTAATAGAATTAATACCTACTCTTTAAAAAGGTAAATAATTAAGTTGCCTAAGCTTAATATAAAGATTTGCTATATGTACGCCTGTAGTAACGTGTTAGCAACGTGTTCTAAACCTGTTCTCTTACACCACGTATAGTTTTAGGATCCTAATGCTTTATCCTCTACTTATAGTGTACTCCTCTAAGGCTACTCTTAAATAGGAACTATAGAAGCTTTTCACGCTTTATAATACGCGAGATTTTATCTTTATTTGCAAAGCTAATATGCATTTCTTTAATAGAATAGAAACCTTTAAGTTAGAGATAGGTTTAGAGCTAGGTTAAGTTTAGGAACTAGGCTATAACAAGTTAGGAACACGTTTGTAACAGGTTGCAAATAACTTACATTGCGTAAGCTGCGGAGTAAGCATAGGCTACAACACCTTTACTACTTCCTTAATATTACTATTAGATAGTGTTAAGGGAGGAGAAGGTATATGTGTATATATACTAAAAGAAATAATAGCAAAAAAAGGTATTGCTACTATATCTATTAGTATAATTACTTAGAAGGTAACTTTACACAGGATTTTAAACAGAGATCCTTGCCCTTGTAGATAATTAACGCCTAGAATATATTAGGAACGTGTTAGGAATAGGTTGCAATATACCTACCACACTTCTTTATCTAGCTTAACTATGGCTTAACCACAGAATATAAAGCAGGACTACTAGAAAGATTTAATATCTCCCTAGTTAGAAGACCTTGTAGATATGTAGAGTCTACCTCTAGTAGTACCTAACTAAAATAATGTTTTTTCCTAGTAGCAGATATTAGGCTATAGTTCTAATAGCTAATGTATAGTTAAGCCTGTTCCACAATTTACTAACTTGTTATTAACACGTTTTAAACATGTTTAAGTTTCACTCCCTACCTAATTTACTATAGTCCTTATTACAGGACAACAAGACACCTAGTAGTCCTTATAAATCCTTAAAGAGAAGCGCTTAATAAGGCTATAATAATAGCTTCTTGTTTATAGTTCTCTTTATAGAATTTTCTTAGGTACTACACTTTTTAAGGTTTAGATCTAATTATACAATGCGTTATTAACAACGTGATAAGAACACGTTTGTAACGTGTTCTTAAGATACTTACACGCTTTTACCCTAGAGTATTAGTATTTATACTAGCTTGCTAGCTAGCTGTTAAAGAATAGTAAAGTTATAGGCCTATTAAGATAGACAGACTAGCAGGAGTATTGTACCTACTAGAATTAGAATAATTTAAGAATGTGTTCTTAACGTGTTACCTGTGTAGCCTGCACAAGCACCTCTTCTCTTATTAGGTAAGAGCTATCTTTATGTTGCTAAACTAGTATTATATACCTATACCCTTAGCTATGTAATTAAGGGTATACTAGGAGAATAGCTACATGCTTAATAATTGCTAGTGTAAGTAGTAGTCCTTAACTATTACTACAAGTAAGGTATACATTGTGCCCCTATAACGTGTTACTAACCTATTCTAAACTTGTTCTATTTACTTTTACTTACTTCCTTAACGCTACTGCTACTATCCTCCTCTAGCACTTTATACGGTTGCCTAAATTTATCTCTAATATTACTATCTAGTTTAGATACGTTGTCTAGTACTACTGTACTAAACTCTAGTATAGTATTTAGGAACGCCTGTATATTATTAAGAATAGGTTTAGAATATATTTAAAAAAGATAGTAACAAAAACTGCGTTTACTTGCTTAAATTACCCTAATTTATACTTAACCATAGGCTAGTTTATATAACCATGAAAATTTGCCGCTGTGACGTGGACTTGAACCTACAGGGATATTCTAACCACTCGGAGTAAAGCCCAAGTCGCCCGACGCTAAACCCATGGTCATATGACATGCCACCACCGCCTCAGCCTTACGGCCTCTCTCCACTCTTTGTATCGGCATGACAAAACCGAACTCGTTCGGTCCGCGGTAGAATACACTGCGAGTGTTGCAAGCTCGATACAGTACCTATATCAGCTTCCAGCATAAAGAACACCCTGGAATGCAATTTCCCTCCAAGTCTCGAAGTCCACTGCTCGTGTTTCGTTTGGCTGTGCGCGGGGCCTGCGCCACCTGCTGTGATGGACATTGTACAGCATGTACACAGGCTGTGCTCGGTGCTGCATCCTTTGAAAACTTTCATCGGTCATGCTTGAACGACAATCCATACATCCGTCAAGTTCCCAAGCTTCAGGCCTGTGCTCTGCGTCCAGAAAGCACATTTTTGTACCGCACACGCCCGAGGCTTTGCGCTTTCGCTCCGATGCTCGCGTGTACCCTGTACAGCTGGAAGGGTGTCGGTACGGTTCAAAGGCTACACGGAAGATTTATCGTGCGTCGCATTTGGCGGAGCACGCCTGTACAGTACATAGGCACAGGACAGTATGGCCAGTTTCGAATTATGTAGACGGTGGCGAGGTTGGTTGATAAAGGAGACTGGCTCCCTGAGCTCTTTTTCTGCCTGGGCTGACCATGCGGTTGTACGGAATCTTTCTTAAAATAGCCCAGACGTCTAGGTATCTACTGTGTTAGGTATTTGGTTGTCAAGAAACGTTGATGCCTAGGTCCCCTTTCCCCAGAGTCGAAGCTGCCCGCTGGGCAGATCATACAAGGAAGCGTTGGATGTCGAACCTTTCGAAACCTGGGAGGGTTCCATAGAACGAGCATTGATTCGACGCGATTCCGATCTGCAACGGTCCTTTGGTAATTTCGCATCCCCACGATGACGACAAGCTTGAGCCTAAGACGCACGCCAACTTACCCACATACGATAGTACGTACTCTACAGTCATCGTACACGGTTTACACACACACAGTAAGCGGAACCCAACGCATCGTGGCATCGGCACGTGACAGGCCCCACATGAACTCAAGCGACGCGCTGATCAACAGCTAGCAACCGGGCCCATGTCCATTATCGCCAACTTCGTCCCTTTTGCGGAGAATTGCGAGGTTCTGCCGATGCTCACCCTCCGAGGCGAGGCTGCTTACCACGACGCGTCGTGGTCCCGTCTGAGCTGTCTTCAGATCCCCCTTTGCTGGTGGATGAGGATCCGAGGAAGAGAACAAAAGGTACAGACGCCTCAGGCACGCAGGCTGAGACGTTTCATCGATGGATTGTTGGTCGTCCACGGCTCCTTCACGATGACGATATGTGGATGGTGGGGTGATAAAGTTGGTATTAGGCCATGGCTGACGGCAAGCGAAGGCCCCAGAGGCTCTTTACCCTTCGACCCAGCAAGCAGTTTGTAAGTCTCACCTACTCGCCCTTCTCAGAACCGCGTCTAGTGCTGTTTCATGTTGACAGCCCCTGAGCTAACCCGCCATTCAAGCCCTGCATCGCCATCGGAGCTCATCCGCTCAGCCACTATATTCTCCTGCCCAAGTTGCGTCCAGGAAGGCCTCCTGGACGACGAGGACGAAAAGCCAGCGGAGGTGGTGCTGGTGGATACAGCGCGTTGCAGACTCCCGCTGCTAAAATTATGTAGCCTTGCGCGGATGGAGATTACCGCGTACATGTCTATGCGTGTCTGCATGCCAAGGCACCTGAGGGCCCTTTCGTGGTCTCCTCTTGAAACCAGTGAAACAGTCCACGGTTGTTGCTCTGCTAAACATACGCTATCCGTGCCCGCCCGGGAAATTGGACGATCAGTGTCTTCCTGACGGCCCAAGATCCGGGCTTGTACTCTGTGAACCATTATTATTGAACAAAACCGCGGCGCCTTCTCCAAAACCATCCATTTCGCGCGTATCCACCTCCCTTTCGTAGCGACAAAACCGCTGTCCGCCCAACACGGCTCGTAAACCACAATCTCCGGCATGATACTGGCTTCCACACGCGACTTTCGATAACATGGAGATTGATGAACATCAACAGTACCAATATGGTACCCCTCGACAGGGCAACCTTTTCAAACGTCCGCGTCGCAGTCTACAAAGCTCTACTACAACCTTGGGCAGTGTCACCGAAAGCGTAACATCATCGCCACGACATTCTGGCCAGGGCCAGGTCGCGCCTCAATTATTCGATCACATCAATGCCTTGAAGCACCTCGACGATCAACAAATACTCATGCTCTTGCACACGGCGCGTGGAGGAGGTCAGTGTACGCGCATTCCCGACCACGCATTTACTGATGTGTCTTCAGATGGCTTGCGTCTTTCGGGTGCCGACAGGTCGTCCATGTCGACGGTCGGAAGCCGTGCTTCTTCATACTTGAGTGTGCCCTCTAGCAGAGTACCCAGCATGCTATCTGATCCTCGTTCATCTGTCGCATCGACCGACTCGTCCTTCACGCAATACAGCGCAGCATCCTCGCGTCTATCTACCGCATCCTCTCGTCTATCTACCGCATCCTCTCGTCTCTCTACCATTTCCACTGCTTCCACACCTGCGCCCAAGAATTTCGCATGCACATTCTGTGACAAGGCCTTGAAGTCGAAGCCGTACTGGAAGTCGCATGAAGAAGAGTTTCACGAACAACGACTCACGTGGCGTTGTCCAGACTGTGAACAGATCTTCCACGCCGGGAAACGCTTCCGGGAGCACCACACCAAACTCCATGTAAGTTGGATAACGTGATTGTATACTCCTTGTACTAATGCCAACAAGGGTTGTGAGCACTGTAAGCAACCACGGGAGAGTGGACAGCCCACAAGTCGAAAAGCCTCGCCTTGCGTCAAGAAGTATGAGATTGTCATGCATGACAAGGATGCTTGGGGTTGCGGTTTCTGTGCAAGTCTATTGACTACCTGGGAAGAGAGGTGCGAACACATTGCATCGCATTTCGAAGAGAAAGGTGCTACCAAGTGGAATTTCACCAATGTTATTCTTGGCTTGTTGAAGCAGAACGAGGTTGCTCAAGCATGGCAACAGATGATGTCACAACGGCATGGAGATGAACAGAACTGGCCGACACTTTCCTGGGAGTCGAAAAAGTGCAACCGTCTGCGATACAAGCTGGAGACGAAATGGGACACAAGGGCCTTCGACATCGAAAAACTGGTGCAGGACACCTATGACTTGGCCGAGATTGATGTCAAGGACTTCATCGAGCCAGCAGCTGAAGCCACACCCGAGGCTTCTGAGCCCCCTAATTCCAGCCACGGCGAGATGGTCGAGTTCAAACTGGAAACGTCCGATTACGGCTCCGACCAAAGGATGCACAGCTCACATGGGTTACCGCATGAGCATTCCATGATGGATATTGATTCGGTAGAGACATCGCACTCTATGCACCACCAAAGTATGCCGCAGACGCATTGGCCCGTCACTCAGGACATGTCCCAAACCCATATAGGCACCGCTACAGACATGGGGGCATACCAAGGCTTCGACACCAACATGACCACTATGTCAGCAGACTTTTCCCAGCCTTTGGCTCAAAACTTTCCGCAGCAACAGACTTGGCCCGATGCCGGTTTTGCGTCAACACCAGATCTAATGAACTACCAGCAGCCCACAGCCTTTATCAACTATGATCAGCCCAAGGAGATGGTCTCGGTGCCAACATCACAGTATGCCAACTTTGCGCACTACCCACGCCAAAGTCTTCCACCAAACTTCCTCGAACAACAGCAGCAAGCCGGTGCTCCGATGACGCCACCAAACTCGCGACGCTTTGTTCCGAAACTCATCAGTATCTCCCACAACTCCAGCCATCGTGGCTTGCAGCAGGAACACCCGCCGCCTCCGCCACCCAAGGATGAGCATTCGCAGAATCGGTTCTCGCGAATGATCATGAGACGAAGGCCTAGTAACATTTCGCAGCACAGCCTCGTTTCGCAACGAGACATGGGCGGGACTTGGGGTGATGAGCTGACCTGGGGATAAAACCGCGGCAGCACTTTTTTCCCATGCTCGAGTCGGCTGGTCCGGCACCGCACATACACACACTCCTTCACACGAAACAACAAACACCCTCACTGAGAAAGTGAGTCCGAACCTCGCTCTATAGAGCAAGCTACACGCCACCACAACGGAGCCGATTTTTACTCTTTCTTTCCTTACGTTTCATTTGCATGCTTTTTCTCTCGCAAGGTCCATGGGAGGATGTTATACCCCTATATGCAGCGTTTGTTTTGTGACGCATTCTTTGTCGACATAGAGTCTAGAAGTCATGCACCTAATACCCCCCTTTTCTCGTACTTCACCGCTGCTGGATTTCACGGTTGATCAACGTAATGATGCTGGACGGTCTGGCTGGAGAGATACCACATAGAGAATCCGAATACTTGAATGTTTCCTATGTAATATATAATTATGCCTACTATACACAACATGTGTCGCAATCACTTGTGAATGGTTGTCGGCAATGACTTGAACAGAAACTTGCAGGATGCATCGACCAACATCAGCATCTGTGATTATGCACCATTGGCGTCTCCACGCATTGCATTTCAAAGCTACAGCGGAGTGCGGAAGCGCTAACCCACACCTTTGACACGAGCGCAAGGTCCCCCGCAACGTGCGTCATTTCATCTGCCTGCAAATCGACGATCAAATCTCGAGCAAGACGACTCGATCAGGAAGAGTTCTCAATCAGATTTGAAGAAATCTGACATACACATCTGTGGCTCAGAAACCAGAGTTGGTAAGGCCGGGCGCCCTGTTGTACTCTACTCGTCTGCCCCAGCACAAGACGACGTCTCCATTCTCGAACAACTACCTAAAGCCTCCACGCTTGCAGATTACAACCATCTCCACTCGCGTAGACTTTACAGTTGCGACGACAAGCATTGTCCGAATAGCATGCGAAAGGGATATATCGTCGACTGTCTCTGAACCGCAGGGCTTTCACGGAATCAGCATGGCGCACTCAGGGCTAACGCAGGCGGGAGTCATTCTATCTGCTTTCTGTGTACCTCTTGCTACGTATTTTCTTTTTCAGCGGTGGAATCAAGCCCCAAGGAAACCAGCTGGACCCCTCCCGCCACCGACTGAGATTACTGCACTGTTCATTCATCCAATCAAGTCATGCCATGGTATATCCGTGCAGTCAGCCAAAATTTTGCCTACTGGTCTGGATCTTGGTATGTTCGTTCGATTTCTTTAGAGTCACCACTGCGACTTCACCGATATTAACAACGGAGCTGTCCGCATGCTTCAAACAATCTTTCCATTATCGTGTAAAGGAGGCTGTCCTTTGAGCGGCACTAATGTTGGCCAGATCGTCAATGGATGTGGGTAACATATCCCGACTACCAGTTCCTCACGATACGTCAAAACGCTCGAATGACCCTAATTCGCACGGCTTATGACCCTGGATCTGATACTCTGACCGTAACTGCACCAGCACCAGACTTTATTGACGAGAAGCTCGAATTCTCCATCCCCGCCCATCCATCAGAAGAGTGGCTCGAAAGGAACACGACCTCGCACAATGCAACTGTCTGGAGCACCACCACTCCCTCGCGAGTCTACTCTACCGCTCTTACCTCCCCCTTTAACGCCTTCTTCGGCAAAGAAGTCCGCCTGGTATACAAACCCCCCTTCTCCAACCATCCTCGCCCCCTTGTTTCCAATGGCGCCAAAAACGTCCTAGGCCGCGACGCCTCGACCTGTTTCGCAGACCTCATGCCTATCCTCGTATGCAACCAATCCAGCATTGACGAACTCAACACTCGTCTCAAGGCCGTCGATGATCTAATTGTCGAAATTCGCCGTTTCCGCCCCAACATCCTCGTTGCTGGCGATGCTACGGCGCCCTGGGATGAGGATCGCTGGAAGACGCTGAAGATGAGTCCTGTATCTGATAAAGGAGATGTGATTACGCTGGACGTGACTCAACGCTGTGCGAGGTGCCATGTACCGAATGTTGATCCGGAGACGGCAGAGGAGCATAAAAGACAGCCGTGGGATACGCTGATGAAGTATCGGAGGATTGACGAGGGAATCACATACAAGCCTTGCTATGGTATGCTGAGTGTACCGCGGACGACGGGCGAGGTGAGTGTGGGTATGAAGTTTGAGGTTACAGAGGTTACGAGTGAACATCGGTACATTACTGGGTTTTAGTCGGTTGTGGTGGAAATTGTACGAAGGACCCATCACAAGCTGTATACATCCAAAGAGAAACCATTCAAAGAGTCATGTTGGCAGGAGAGAGAGGCTTTCATAATCTGTATTTGCAACAACCCTTGACATTCAGACCCTGGGCTGCTCCTCAGCTAGTCCGATTTTCCCCTGCTCGTCATAAACAATCTCCCTAATCTTCACAGACCGCAGATGATTAACCCCCTTACTCAAACTCGAGTCATGGTAGAATAGATACCACTTCCCTTTGAATTCCGCAATGCTATGGTGTGTCGTCCATCCAACCACCGGCTCCAATATCCTCCCCGTATACGTAAACGGTCCCAGCGGGTTATCCCCAATCGCATAGCACAAATAGTGCGTGTCGCCGGTGGAGTAACTGAAGTAGTACTTCCCCTTGTACTTGTGCATCCATGCCGCCTCGAAGAAGCGCTTGCTATGATCCTCAGCTTGCACCGGCTTGCCGGTGACATCGTCCAATATCACAACGTCCGAGACTTCTGTGGCAAAAGCCTTCATATCCTCTGTGAGTTTGGCGACCTTGGGGCACAGCGCAGGGCCAGATTGGGCTTCCATGGAGTCGTACGCGTCGCGTTTGAATTCACCTGTTTGCCAGCATTGTAGCTGGCCGCCCCAGATGCCACCAAAGTACAAATATGCGCTCCCGTCTTCATCTACGAAACTCGCGGGATCGATGCTAAAACTTCCTTCGATCCATTTTTCCTCTGGTTTGAAGGGTCCTTCTGGCTTATCGCCAACTGCGACTCCGACTCTAAAGATGCCGTCGTGGTCTCGCGCGGGGAAATAGAGATAGTATTTCCCGTTCTTCTCGGCGGCGTCGGGGGCCCAGAGTTGTTTGCTGACCCAAGGTATGTCCGATTGTTGGAGGACGATGCCATGGTCTGTGACAGGCCCGCCTACGGAGTCCATGGAGAAGACGTGGTAGTCATTCATGTCGTATTGGTCGCCATTGTCGTTGTTTTTTATGTTTGTTTCGCGGTCGTGGGAGGGGTAAATGTAAAGTCTGTTGTTGAAGACGTGAGCAGACGGGTCGGCAATGTATATGTGCTCAACAATTGGGGGTTTGTCAGCCATATTTGGTTTATTTTGTAGCTGGAACGAAAGTCTATGAAATGTATAAATTGTGCTGTGGAAAGGTATGGTGAGTTATACGTTCAATTGCTATCTACTGTCTCTGGAGGCTGTAGCATCATCTTTATGGGATGGAGGGGTAGGTACCGGTAGCATGCTGGCCCAACACTGATGGAACTTCGTGCACGCCCATTTAACCGCCGGGACGGCTATCCTAAAGCCAAGAGAAAGTGAAATAGATCCAAAACGGTCATAAGCAATGTCAATTGCGGTGCCATGGAGTCCGTTGCGCGTACAGTAGCATGACGGCACGTTAGGCACGTCTTTAGCCGTTGATTCTTCCGGTGTGGGTACGGTACCGGTACGGTACCACCAGCGTGTGGCTTCGATTCTGCTCCGCTGGGCTGCCGGGCCGTGGACATTGTGGCGAGCTCTGCTGCGCGAAGCGGATTACAAGAACTGATTGTGGAATTTGGCGATTCTTGTGTCGAGACGGTTGAAAAGATGCAATTTTAGTCTCGAAAGTCGAAGATGCTTGGGTGGACTTGTCGCAAGCTCATTCACTCAAAACTTCACAGCCCAGCGGTGATGACGCGCTATCACGTGCCCTTTCTCTCATTTTACCCCAGCTATAATTTACCCTCGGATGAGTAAAGGTGCTCGAATAAGGCTCGAGTGCAAATTACCAATTAGCAACCATGTATCCTACATTCCACCTACTTGGAAATGCTATATACCTACTGCCTTAAAAATACGTCGTTCATCTGTTGTCCTCGAAAAAAATAAACAACTCATCATCTCCAACATAAAATCAACCCCATGTCCAACCAAATTAAAAATTCACGTTAAGTCAAGGACCTCCACCTCACTTTCCCTCCACCTCTGTCTCTCCTTACCCTTCAACACTATGTCGTTGTTTCCATCATTCTTCTGCGGACTATCAACATCCACAAAATCCCAGGCACCAGCGACGCTCTTGCGTAATATGATCTGTCTCTTCTTTTTCTCCCTTGTCTTCCAGGCTGCAGGCGGTGATGTTGAGGAAGTAGCTTTAGGACTGTGTGAGGAGCGCCGTACTTCTGAGGGAAAAGAGGATATCGGTGGGGGTGAGATGGGGGCCGTGGTCACCTTTGACAGCTGGATGGAATGAGCCGGTGAAGAGAGTTCCGTCAAATCCAAAGTATTAGCCTCGGACGTAATATCCTTACTACGCTGCATATGGGGCGAAGTCAGGTCGAGGCTATCGATCTCTGATGGTAACGAGGTGCTCTTTCCCAATCGAGGAGAGGTACGACGTGGTGGCGATGCCCCTGAAGCATCTTTCTGTTTCGCCATGGATGTGGAGCCTGAGCTCCTCGACAGTACCGAACTCGTAGAGCGCTGTGATGCTTTGTGTGAAGCGGTGTCAAGTGGTGGTCGCACTACACGCGGCGGTGTAACCCGTCGCGATTTTGCAGCAATGACATTGCGGCTCGCTGGCATTGGTACATGGCCAGGGGGTGACGAGAGGGTCATGTCCAAGGTGTCGACAAAGCTGATCTTCGACCTTAGCGCTGCAGGTGCAGGTATTGGGGAGGCATCAATTGTGGGGAGAGAGCCGAGCGGTTTCGTGGGCGTAGTTCTCCATACGTCTAAAGTGGTCTGCTTTGACTTTCCTTCTGGTGAAGATGTCGAGGCACTTCGACGGCCTCGTGCGAACTGTTGGGTCCTTGGCTTTCTGGCTGGAATCGGGAATGGCAAAGGAAGCCCAGGTGAGTTTACCAAATCTAATGTACCTATCGTGTTTGAAACCAAAGGTGATGTTGCTAGGCGATCTAGATTTGTGCTGGTCGCGGCTGGGAGCGTCTGGGAGCGTTGCATTGGAGCACGTCTTCTCTTCGTGACGCTTGCAGGCAGATCCTCGAACCCCAGGACTACTGATTCCTTACGCGATTGTTCTGGTGTGGGTAACATTACCGTTTCACGTACTGGTGACGAAGACAGTAAACTGATGACGTTGCTTTGGGAGTCTTTGACGTGCTTCTCCTTCGGTTGGATAAGCTCAGAGTCTTTCTCTTGTGCCTTTGCCAATGCTTGAAGCGCCTTCTCACCAGGCTTTGTAACTTTTGCAAACTGATTAATAGTGGCTTGTGGTGCGGTACCTGTAGTTCTCGTGGCCTTAGCTCTAGTTCTTGCTTTTGAGACCGGCTTGCTGGGTTCCTGAACAGTAGCAGCTCGCTTCGGTTTCAACTTGGCTTGACGTTCTGCCTCCCAATCTTGCACCTTGAGAGGAACGCCAACCTTTACAAAGGTTTCCAAAACCCAAATCCTTGCTGGTGCTTGAGGATCAAACTTTGTAGGCCCTCGCTTCTTGGGTGCATCTTCGTCAGGACCCAAAGGTAGCTCCTCTTCAAAATCAACTGCGCCTATCTGAGAACCGGATGGCAGTGTATCAAATTCACTATCGGGCTCTTCCTTCTCAAGGTCGATGTTAACGAGCTCCCCTGGCGTGAAGCTGACGCGAAGCTCGGTGCTGTTGTCAGTAACAGGATGTTGACGCTTCCCATGTATACCTTTGATCAGCAAATCTTCATCCCCTTGAATTGCTTGTAAGTTAGTCGTAGGTAGTAGCTGCTGCCGTTCTCCTCGTATACGGAGCTGTTGTACGACAAGAGAGGGAGCAAGACTGCGAATGAAGTGCTTCGCGCCCTCCAATTGGATCCAATCGAAGGCATCGTGTGTGAAACTGCGGAGCCCTGCAAAGTCCAAGTCTTGATCCCACTTGATCGATCGTCTTAACTTATCCAATCCGGTCTGGTTAGAAATAGCAGGATGCGTGTAGTATCCCAGGATGTCCAACCGTGGGAAGTCATCTGGGATCTTGAGAGCACCATGCTTGCGTTTGAATAGCTTGCTTTCGTTGGTCTTTAGCTCATGCTGCAGTCGATCCCGCCACCTCGACACAGCTCTCCTATCACTAGTCGAAATTTTGCAGAGGTCACTACCAAAGCCCGCTTTCGCAGCCTCACAGGCAGTCTTTGGGCCGCATCCCGGTATACCTTCGGGCACATAATCTCCACCACTCATCAAGGCAACCAGAATCATGCCTTCACGGTCCAGGCCCGACGGCCCATTTTTGGTCTCGATTGCATCATAAACATTGACGTGCGTCGGCGTATTTCCAGACTTTTCTGGTGACCAGTTGCGTAGTGTAATGCCACTTCCAAACATGAGCGTATCCACGTCTTCGCTCAGAACAGCATCCACAATACCCTCTCGCTGCAACAGCGCACATTCTGCCTCTGCCTCCCCCGGAGCAAGATGTATAGGAAATCCGAACTGCTTCAAGAGTTGTTTTGCCAGGAACTCCGGTATCGAGGCCACGTTTGGTCCGGTACGTTTGTTACGCTTGAAAGGCGGTTTATTTGGCCCATCAAAGACGAACACAGGGTGTATAGAGAGGGCGATGAGTCGCAAAAGACGGTAATAGAAAGTGCGCAAGGCGGGATTGGTGCCACCTATTCACTGTCAGATGGTCTGAGCAGTATGTGCAGAGTTGACAAATTCGCACCTTTGCTAGCCTGAATCTGAAATAGCCATATGGAAGTATCAATAGCGATGCGTAACGGCCTGCCTGTCTCTTCAAACTTGTCTAGGGCAAGCTTAGAGAGGGCTATGCGCTTCCCAGGACCAATCTCCTTGTAGATCCTGGACGAGTTAGCCAAGAATATAATCAAGATGTATAGTTCAATCAAAATTACCCATGAATGCCCATTGCGCTACCATACTCTCCCTCTCCCTCAACGTTGCCAGCCGTTGTGAAGTTGGCGACGCAGCGCGTTCGGGGAGGCGATTACCGTAGATTGTTGCTGGGACGACCACACGTGCCTCTGTCCCACAACCCTCACACGCTTACACACTACATGCGCCATCCCCCCCACCTTTACCCGCAACTACTAACACCATACGCATCCCTAGGAAGAGACTTCAGCATGGCGTCTCGCGGCCGAACTGCGACTGCAAACAATGACCATGACCGCAGCTACGACTCAAGCCCAGATCCGTTGGCCGTGTCCGTCGATGAGAACACAACACAAGTCATCAGACGAAAGGCAACAAATCGAACGCCGCTCACCAAAAACTCGCAGAGCAAACAGAACCGCACACTAGAGATTTCTGAATTGGACTTTGACTCACCAGCCAAGTCGATGGTTCTGAATACGCCGCGCGCAAGCGGCGCAAGCCCTTGGCGTATCAAGGTCACAGTGCAGGCCGAACCTGGAAGCGATGAGGAAAACACCATATCACCTTCTGTGAAGCGAGTTACACGAACAAAGACCACTACCGTCCCTCTCAAAGATCCGGATGCGCAATCTTTGGTCAAACGACCCCGTGGACGACCTAGAAAGTCAGATACTGGTGTCGCTGCTAAGACAAAGCGAAACGGGACACCAGCAAAGAAGGCAGCACGTTCAAAATCACGAGAAGCGAGTGTAGGTGTTGCTGGATCAAGTGCAGCAGATGTGGACACGGACGTACCCCCGAAGAGGCGAAGAGGCCGCCCAAGGAAGAGCATTCAGCCACCGACCGAGGATGAAGAACCTATTGTAATACAGGATGCCTCATCAGACGACCAGATGTTTGCAGACCTTACCTCAGTACCTACTGCCAGACCAAAGACGACAAAGTTGAAGAAGAATGCTCGTCTTGCGATCCTAACGTCACACGCTGTGCCAGATGACAACGCAGACGTCACACAACAAGAAGAAATGCCAATTGCCGGTACGCCGTCAAACAGTTCGGATGGGCAACTTCGCGCACGCAAGGGAACACAGCATGCTAAGAAAATGATAACAATGTCAGAAACGGCGACTGGTGGTTCTGACGAGGATAGTGATGTGCTCACCCCAAGCAGCGAAGATGATGAGCCTGAGCTACAAGTGCACAGTCAAGACGAACAAACCATGGATACTCAGCGCGCTAATGAAGGACCTCATGAAGGTTTTGAGGAAGCGGAGGAAACGCACAATATCGACAACTATATGTTTGATGAGGGCACTACCAGGATGCCGGATGATACGACCGTGCTGGACAGTGAGAACTTTAGCATGATCTCGGTGGATTCCCTGCCAAGCATTGGAGGTTCCAGCAGTCCACCAAAGCCTGAAGAAGCCCAGGGTCTGGAAAATCGCAGTATTGGATCCGTTCTTGGTATGATTTCAGAGTCATCATCAGTGGCACCTCCGAGAATAAACATACAACCTGGCTCTCTGTCCAGCTCCACTACATCAAATTCTGCTGAAAGGCTACATTCGACCGCGTCACCACGTTACACCACTCCTGTCGTTGAAGAACTCGAACAACCATCCGAACCTCCAGCTATTCAGCCAGCCCTGCTTGCGGCCCCCAAAGTCGAGACGCCGCATATTGGTCGTGTAGTGACTGCTGGTGTGGCTCTACAAGGCCTGGTGGACACCAACCGAACGACACCAGATCCCTCGCAGAAAACGCTAACTGAGAGCCGAGACCAGTTAGATGACCTCTTTCGAGGCTTCAGCGAAGGAACACGAAAAGAACTACAGGCAGGACTACGACTTGGTGAACAGCTGGCAGATGGCCAAGTGAATCTCCCATCGCCTACGGCATCCAGTCCAATCAAGCCACCACCACGCCAATCGGCACCCAAAGAAGGTGTCTTCAGGACACAGCGTAAACATCGATCACGTCTCCTCACGCCAGAGGAGCAAGAATGCCATGCTTCAGTGCCTGTGGAACAATCTACAACAGAAGATGACGTACAATATCCCTCGTTGGATGCAGAAGATGCCGCAAACTCACTCATCAGCCCTGCAAATAGTGAAGTTGAGATGAGCTGGCATGTTGACAGGCCGCCTGCGAGCGCGACACATGTGACTACGAGCAGTAGTCGCGAGCAGAAATCGGAGGCCCAAGAATCTAAAGTCAAAGCTACGTCGACGCAACAAGATGATTATGCAGATATATGGCAAGAAGAAGCTTCTCGATCATCGAACTCAGTTGAAGAGGATGCTCGACCTGGCCAAGAGTCTGCACAAGATGCAGATCTTTTCACGGAAATTGCTGCGACTGTTTCAGCCCGTGGCGAGCAAACAAGGACCCGGCGACACAGGAATATGGCAGCTTTTCAGCAAGGCATTCAGGAAAAGACTGCACGACAGCTCACACCTCCAGCCGATTCAACAAAATCTGATAATGATGAAGTGGGTGTAGTGCTTGCGCCGGCCATGAGGATTCACCAAGCACTAGAGGACGAGGACACAAGCGATGCGAACGAAGATAGCGACGACACTGGGATGTTTTTCCAGTCCAACATGCCCAACATTTTTGGAACACGAACCTACGAGCGCAGGCAACGGACATCTGATAAACTTAGCCTGTCTTCATTGCTGGATCAGGGTGAAAGCTTACTTCCAGAATCATCACCACCTGCCAATGCGGAGAAGGCATTGCCAGCTTCAGACAAAAACCCATTTCTAGGCACACCACCCCGTTTTCCTGGGTTCCCATGTTCGCCTTCAAAGAGCAGCCCACTCCGACGAGAGATTCGCGGGTCCGACATCTCTTCAGATTCAATCCAACAATATCAAGAAGAGTCGTCACTACCAGTCATTCAGAGCTCTCCGTTCCGTACTATCATAGATGGGGACAGCATGCTTTCTATAGCATCGGATCAGCGCCAGTTCCGAGTTGAGATGGAGGGTGTAACGGATTCTAGCATTATACGTGTTCGTGAGGAAGCCAACGAATACCTAGATGCCTATGAAACGCAGGAACGAAGCCTCAATGAGATCACTGAAGTGACTGAACCGAGTAGAACATGGTACAGGGAATCGACTGCTCCAGCACCAAGTCCAGCGCATCGGAAGCTTCAATCAGCCCAGACTACAGTATCACCTGCCCATAAGTCTTCGCCGCGATTCAGTAATCACAAGGAAAGAGACTCAATCTTGACTCCAGAAGTTGCCAGGGGCCAACTTGTGGAAATCGAGGATGAGACGGGGACTGAGAGCTCAGGACACGAGGATACCGAAGCCACTTCAAGTGCCGGGTCCAACTCAGAGGTCATGGATAGACCCATCAAATCTCCGCAGCAGCAGCAGCCGACCATCTCAGCACATACCAACTTCAATCTCTTCGAAGCCTTCAGTCGTCCTGCCCCTCCAGCGGCTCACCCCATTCTCTCTCGCTACGCCGCTCTGCCTAAGATAGAACCCTGGACCAAGACACACTACAAGACACTCGACAAGCTTTATGCCACTCACCTCAAACACCCCGCTTTATTCCTGCCGTCTCTCAACCCGCCTACTCCACTCTCGCATACAAACGACCACCTCGCACAGCAATTCCTGTCCACGAACAAAAATCCATATGTCGGTGCAACCTTCTCGGCATGGGGCTACAGTATGATGATGACCGAGTCGCTAGTGGTTCTCTGTGCAGTGTTCATGGAACTCTTGACTCTGGAGGACATCAGGCAATACGAGAAGCAGAGCGGAAGTGGGATTGAAATCGGCAATTGCGCTCCTGGTAGAACTGGGGACCTGATCAAAGGAGATGAGGTAGTGAAAAGGCTGGCAACTATTGTGCTGGGTGAGGAGGTCAGGAGTGATGAGAAGAAGGGCTTGAGGATCGATCGGACTAAGAGTTTGACGATTACCTGGCCGCAGTAAGCTGGTTGCTCAGAGTTGTTAGGAATTGGGGCGAAGTGTAAATGTGTATATGCTGTCATGATGTTTGCTCTTGGGGAGTTTAGGCGTTAACTAGTATGATACGTGAGGATGAAAATTTATTCGCATTTCGCACACATTAGCAGGCGCCCTGTTAGAAAGAAAGTAATGGTACTTTAGTACGCAACTCGCCCATGTACAGGACGCAAATTTGTTCCTAAGACCACAGGAATATACTACTATATCCTGTTAGCGCCTGTCATAGATCTTAAGTAGCCTATATACATTTATTGTAGTTATACAAAAAAACTCTAGGCGTTTTTACTAAATTATTTCTAATAAATCATAACATAGTATAGATTCTAGACTACATAAATGGTAAAGTAAAAAGGATATTAAAAGCAAGAATTAGTAGCTCTCCCTCTTAGCAGATAACTAGCTCGCCCAAGTCCACTAAATGCTGATTGTTCCTGCAGGTGCGCTCATGGCGCAAAAAAATGATTAAAAGATACATGGGCTCAACTGGGAATTGAACCCAGGACCTCCTGCATTTAAGACATTTGAAGTACCCAAAGCAGGAATCATACTACTAGACCATTGAGCCGTGTGATTTAATGAAAGAATTACGGTTTGTATATAATATGATATTTAGTTTGAATATACTCCTGGACAGCCAAAGCGGTCAGCGCGCGCTGAACGGTGATGCTACCCCTAGTACCGTGGGAACGGTAGCGACATGTTCAAGTAGAGTCAGTCAGCGTGCTGCCATGCTTACCATGTACGAGCCGGAAGCCTACGCACTCTAATACACTGTACACTACCTCTCACAGACACAAGGCAGAAGCACAGTCTTAAAGCCACACAGATATAACGAGTACTTCAGCAGTTACACAAGAGTTTGTAAAATCAAAACATTGAAGTTCTCATTGTGTGATATTTCAAACTTCATTTTTACGCTTCTATTAGCCTGACCCGCTCGTTTTCCAACGACGACTATCGCGTGTCTAAATACAAGTCCGCGCTTGTGATCACTCACTTGCTTGCTCGTTAGCTGATCCCAAGTTTTGAAAAGTAATACAGAACAAAAGAAAGCCTGCCAAGGCGTCTGGCCAGTGCTTCCTCGTGACCGCTCCCAAGTACGGCCTTTACTTCATCCTCCCCTTCTCCCGCTTCTCCTTCATGTACTGCCATGATCTTATCGGACCTGCAGATAATAGACCTTTCAGACTCTGTACCGTGGAAGGCCATTTGACAGTCTGGTTGATCGCTTTGGTGACCATGTCTGGAAGATCTTTCTCCGCAGCTATTCGCTTGTCAAACTCTCCAGCGACCTGCTTCTTCAGAATGCCCGAAGCAACGTCGTCCTTCCTCGCGTCTAGCATGTCCTGGTATTCGCGTCCCGAAATACCAAATTTCCCTTGATATTGAAAGTAGACCTTCTCACGAAAGTTTTTGGGCAGTCGTCGAACCATGTTGGCGCGTCGGTCGGGATCTGCGTCTTGCGAAAGTTTGAGATCGAGGTCAATGTCGTCAATCCAGTTGGGCTTTGCGATTGCATGATCATCTGCGTAGCGGACGTTCGGGAGGGATATGAGGAGGTCGTGGTATAGGAGCCGGAAGTTGCGCAATTGATGTGTGACAATGTTGCTGATCTTCTTGGGGTTCTCGCCGCCATACGACATGCGTGGATCGCCCTGGTAGCTCAAGCCTGTGATTGTAGAATATAGCTCCATCTCTGTAAAGGTTTCCGGTAGTAGAAGAAGCGAACATCGCACTGCGGAGAGAAGGTTGCGCTGATTTGCGACGCGAATGTTCGGTTCCTCAATCAAAATCTTGCAGGGCTTGTGTAGTCGTCCAGCAAGGTACAATGTGTCCCAGTCGGTCAGGTCGCGCATAAGAGTCTCAAAGTTGACGACGGCATACTTGATCATTGTACCGTTGACTACAACATACGGATTGAAGTAGGCGCCCGCCCCATATTTGTCTTGCACATGGCTGATCACACCTGAGCCTAATGAGCCAAGGAAGGAGTAATGGTCTCGGTGTTCGCGCAAATTGAGGGAATGAAAGTGCTGAGAGAACCTTGGTGTCAAGATGAAATCGATCATTTTCCCACCGCCTTTCTGCCAGTTCAATATCGCCTCTGGTGGGTTCGGATGAGGTGACTGCGTCGTGCGCGAAGCTGTCGCAGCTGATTGAGGGAAGACGCCAGATCCATAGGCAAACGCGTAGGTAATGGGCGGAAATTTGCGCAAAATGCCCCTCAATGCCCGCTTGAACTCCTCGTTCGTTTCTATCAACTGATTCTTGCCAAAGTCCTTATGCGGAAGTTGAGTAAAGTCTGTCAGCGAAGGAGCTTCGTCTTCCCACTCTGGCGGGAGCGATTGGTAGCCGCGTGGTGCATCTTTGGGCTGCGTTTGTTGCGATGAGATAAAGCGTCGATTCAACTGCAGCTGCAGCCTCCTACAGGACGATATCCAAGATATTGACCGTTGTCGATACATTTTGTGTAGACATCGGTGCATCGGTGTTGGCAAAGTGAGCGAACGGGTGACGTAAGCGGTTACTGCCGTGACGAAGTCTTGGCAAAGAGGATGTTTGTGTCGTCCCTCCCTCGACCTGGCTTGCAGCTTCCATTCTACTTCCCACACCCAGAAAATTCAGCAACCAACAACGTTCTGTTCTGCTTCGCAAACGCGCTCTAAAAGTTACAGTTGCTCTTTCTGATTCCAAATCCACTTTCAAAACCCCCATACGACATCAGACGCTTCCGCAATGGACGCGTCTTTTGCCTCACACCAGGCGCGTCTGGCGACATTCGCAGCAACCACGACCAGCAAGGCCCGCCGCACCTCGAACAGATCGAAGAAGACAGCACCCAAGTCGAAATCGTCATGGCCTCATTCCTCTCCTAATCCACAAGATCTCGCCTTTGCGGGCTTCGTCTGGAAGCCGACAACAGCCAGCCCCGACAACGTCCAGTGCTTCAGCTGCGCCTGCCAGCTCGATGGATGGGAAGAAGATGACGTGCCCGCCTACGAGCATCTCACACATTCACCAAACTGCGGATTCGCCATAGTTACCTGCATTCGACTTCGCAATGGCGACCCGGGCAGGACTGAAGACGATCCCTCCAGCGACGCGATGGTGGCGGCGCGACGCGACACCTTTCGCGATATGTGGCCACTTGAGCATGAGCCAGGCTACCCCAACGCCGACCAGATGGCAGCCGCAGGCTGGATGTTCGACCCCGCTGATGATACTCCCGATGGTGTCACCTGCCCATATTGCTCTCTTGCTCTTGACGCATGGGATGCAGGCGACGATCCGCATGAAGAGCATCGCCGCCGCGCCCAGGACTGTTTGTTCTTCGCTCTTACTGAACTCTACCACCCACCTGCCAACCCCGCTCCAGCAAAAAGAGGCAAAGGCACTGCAAAGGCCAAGCGCACATCGACTCGCAGTTCTACATCATCTATATCGTCTGTGGCAAGCACAACGAGCACCCGTGGCAAGAAGCGCTCCAGCGATGCAATTGAAGCATCAACTTTCTCCGAGGTCATTCTCCCAGCCCAGAAGCGAGGAAAGACTCGGGCCAACGACAGTGACGCAATCGAACCGTCCACATTCTCCGAGGTTGTCCTGCCAGCACAAAGAAAGGGCAAGGGAAAGGCGCGTGCCAGCACCGCAACCGAAGCTGCAACATTCTCAGAAGTTATTTCGACTACACAGACACGCAGGACCCGTGTTAGCAATGCAGCTTCGTCTTCTACTTTCTCCGAGATCCTTCCCGCCACCAAGAAGCGTGGCAAGGCCGCTGCCAGCAAAGCAAATGAAGGCTCAACACTGGCATCGACTTTCTCTGAGATTAAGCCGACGACTCTGAAGCGCGGCAAGGCGCCAGCCCCACGATCCAACGAAACAAGCAAGATCACTGAAGCTTCAATCTTCTCCGAAATCAAACCTACGACTCTGAAACGCGGCAAGGTGGCGGTCAGCAAAGCATCTGAAAGCTCGACCCTGGCTTCAACCTTTTCCGAGATCAAGCCCGCCACTTTGAATCGCAGCAGGACTCGTGCTAGCAATGCAACCTCCACATCCGGTTCTTCAGAGATTAAAGTACCCATAAAGAAGCGAGGCAAGGGCAAAGCAGCCGAAGCTAGCAAGATCACTGAAGCATCAACTTTCTCCGAGGTCATTGCACCTACCCAGAAGCGGTACAATACTCGTTATAGCAACGAGAGCTCAGTATCAGCATCTTCCGAGATCGTTCCACCGATACAGAAGCGAGGCAAGACACGCGCCAGCAATACAGCGTCTGCTGCTGTCATCTCCGAAGTTATTCAGCCCAAACAGAACAAGGGCAAGAAGCGGGCCAGTGAGGCAATCGAAGTGGACAACTTATCCGAGGTGGATCGTCCTTCCAAGCGATTCAGATCTTCAAGCTTCTCCAGTCTCCCAGATGACTTGCCTGTCGGTACTCCTAAGAAGACACCTACACACTTGAAGGAGGCCGAGACCTTTGAGATGTCGAGCTTTCCCATGGATTTAGATGTTGGCACTCCTAAGAAGACGCCCTCACACCTGTTCGAAACCCGCACCTTTGAGATGTCAAGCTTCCCCTCCGGTCTCCCTGTTGGTACTCCTAAGAAGACACCTTCGCACTTGGCCGAGGCTCGTACCTTTGATATGTCCGAATTTCCTTCAGATTTGCCTGTCGGTACTCCTAAGAAGACACCTACACATTTGAAAGAGACTGGAACATTCGAAATGTCGAGCTTCCCTATGGACTTGGATGTTGGTACACCTAAGAAGACACCCACACACCTTGCCGAGAACTGGGAGCCTACCGACATGGACGCTTTCTTCGCTGATCAGGGTGGTGTCCGCGCTTTCATGAACGACGTCATTGTCGATGCTGGTCTTGACGACATTGCTTCCGGCTCAGAAGAACTTCAAGCCGCGGTTTTGGCGGGCCTAACGGAGGAGGAAAAGGGCATGACGATTGAGCAGTGGGTGTTGTACAACGCCAAGCGCGGAGAAGAGAAACTCCGCCGGGCGTGCGAGCAGCAGATTGCTGCCTTTGAGGCCGAGGGACGTCGTGCCCTGGCGGCGCTTCAGGCCCTCGAGACTGTTTAAACGATTACGATGACGATTCAAGAAAGTTTTGAGAAGGATTGTTTTGGCAGGGCGTTCGGTCGTTTTATGATACCCCGGGAAGGATGCCGCGATGTTTTTGTGTTGTATGTTTGTCATTGTAGTTTTTTGTTTGTGTTGTTTTTTTGTCGGTCTTTCTCTGTGGCAGTTTTTTTTTGTTTTTCTCTGAATGGCTTTGTTGGATACAGGATTGCCTACCTCCATCGCGGCTTGAGGTGACCCCTTGGTTGTAGCCGCCCGAAAAAGGGCTGGCTCCCTCGGGTGATCCAAGATTAGCCAGGTGGAGGTGAGGCGGGGAGATGCATAGACGTTTGGTTGGTTGAATTGTTTATTTTGAAAAGCCTGTGCCTGCAACGCTGTGATGTACTCTTGCCTGTGATGTTGGCCGAGTGAATGCAGAGTGAATATAGAACATGGAGAGCTGTGGCAGTCTCTAGGGTCGACTTTGCTGGATCACAAGGTTCATGTCGTAGAGTCTTTTTAGTATGGATGGGATAAAACAGGGTTTTTGGACTTTAGTGCTGTAGAGATGTGTATGATGTGAGATTGTAAGTAAGTATTATTGTGGCATGGTGAATAAGAAAAGATATCGATATAGCTACATTTATGCATGGAATGCTATGTAACATCAATGTACCTCGCGCTAATGATCCTAGCCTAGTCTTGTTGGGACAAGTCATGTTGTGTCTATAGATTGTCGTATTGTACACAGTGTGTAGTCTGCGGCTCTGGAGTGCATGTACATCAGAAGAATCAAGGGCTTCACGTCATAGAAAAGAGCAAGTCATGATATGCAATAGCAATTCATTCGCAAGAATATACACGTGAGCCTCCTATTTCTTCTGCTCTCCCTCTTTTGGTGGCTCTGGCTTAGGCGTCGGGAGCCTAAAGTTATCCGGCTTCGCATCATCACCAGGACCGACCTGTTCCCATGCAGAGGAGCCGCCGCGGAAGTTGCGGAATGCCTGTGTCATCTCCAGAGGCTCCTGGACAATTCTCTTTTTCTCCTCATCGTAGCGGATCTCCGTGTAGCCCGTCATGGGGAAGTCCTTGCGCAGCGGATGCCCATCGAATCCATAGTCGGTCATGATGCGCCTGAGATCCGGGTGGCCGACAAAGAAGACACCAAAGAGATCGTAAACCTCGCGCTCGTACCAATTGGCGCCGTCGTATAGATCGCACAAGCTGGGAACGGGGGTGGCTTCGTCGGCGTAGGTCTTGACGCGCAGGCGCGAATTGTGGCGAATGCTGAGCATGTTGTAGACGACTTCGAAGCGCTGATCCTTGGTTGGGTAGTCGACGGCGGTGATATCAGTGATTTGGGTGTATTCGGCGGCCGTGTGGTATTTGAGGAAGGTGAAGGTAGGGATGACGCCTGAGGGTGGGATGTAGATTGTCAACTCGTCCTTCCATACCGAGAACCTGGCCGAGGTGTTTAGCGTGTATCGATGGTGGGTGGAGGGTCTAATGGGAGGAAGTCATAGGGATAGCATAGGGACAGCTTACTGCTGGATGTATTTGGGCAGACACGACATGAGGTACTGGCCGTACTTGTGCAGCGCCTCGGACTTTTCCTTGTAGCGATCGGCCGGGTTCACGATGGCGGCCTTGAGGGGGCCCTGGGTGTCGCGGGGGGCATACTGTGGGTCGCAATTAGCCATGAGGCCTCGCCAGAGGGGCAGCAGGAGAGCGCACCCGCATGTTGGGCATGTCGCTGCTTTGCCCGGCGACTTCCTTTGCGCACAGGGCCGTCGAGGCAAAGGCGCGCACAGCATGGCGAGAGCCGGCCGAAGCGCGGACGGCGGCGCCCAATGGCCGACCAACAGCTAGCCGCAGAGCCATGTCGTGGGTTTCTGGGGCGTGGTGAGGGCTCGCGGTGCAGCAAAAGGAGTTGGGGGGGAGTTGAGGAGAGGGGAGAGTGACGGCGGTCGACGACATGGGCCACGAACTCCACGATCGACCGGGGGCAATCAAAGTGCTTATGTAAGCCAAGAGTGGTTTAGCGTCGCGGCGGATCCTGCGTCCCAAGCGCGCAAGGTTGCAGGAGAGGCAGCCTCTGAACTCCCATCACCTGTTTCCCCCCGTGCATCCCGCATCCCTTTCCGACAACCAAATCACCAAACTCCACCTGCTTCTTGATCCTGCTCTTCGCCTTGGGGCCCCCTTTCCTCCCCCGCCTACCACCTAGAAGTCGCTGCTTGCCGCTCCACCACCATCGCACCACCCTTCTCCATTTCCTCCCCCACCGCCACCCTCACGTACTCTATACACCCTCTCTCGGGACACCACCCTCCGCTTGCCTGAGCAAGCCACAACAGCCATACCCGTCGTCATGTCCCGGATACAGCAAGACCAGTTCGTCGAAGATGACGAGGAGGAGTGCTGTCCCCTCTGCGTCGAGGAGTTCGATCTCTCGGACAGGAACTTCCGGCCATGTCCATGTGGCTACCAAGTACGCCTGAGGCCTTCCATCTGCCCACTTCCCTCCCCCCCACCAATCTTGATGGGGCGGGCTCGAGTCTCCGTGAAGCTGCTAACATCACGGTCAGATATGCCAGTTCTGCTTCAACAACATCAAGACGACCATGAACGGCTTGTGTCCTGCCTGTCGCCGGCCCTACGACGAGTCGACGATCGAGTGGAAGACAATCTCTCCGGAAGAGTCGGTCCCCTGCCCTGCACTGTGTCATTGTTGACCACATGGCTAACAACAAGCACAGGATGGCCAAGCACAAGCAACAGATTGCGCAAAAGGCTAAGAAGAATGCCCAGATGCGGCAGAAGGAGGCACAGAAGGCGGAAGCCGACTCGCTCAGCCGCAAGCATCTCGCCGGTCTGCGCGTCGTCCAGAAAAACCTCGTGTACGTCACCGGCCTGACGCCGACCATTCGCGAAGACCGCCTCCTCGATACACTCCGCGGCGATGATTACTTTGGTCAATATGGGAAAATTATCAAAATTGTCGTCAGCAAAGCCAGAGAAAATGCAAATCACCAGCAGTCGGTCGGTGTCTATGTAACATTCGCCCGCAAGCAGGACGCTGAAGCGTGTATAAATGCCGTCGACGGTTCTCAGAACGGCGACCGCACCTTACGGTTTGTGCTCTCTAGGCTTGTTTCTAATCAATCGGCTTACACATGTACAGAGCACAGTATGGCACCACCAAATACTGCTCAGCTTATCTCCGTGGCGAGCAATGCAACAATCGTAATTGCATGTTCCTCCATGAGCCGGGCGAGGACAACGACAGCTTCACGCGCCAAGACTTATCCATGATGAACTCGATTCAGACCCAACAACCATCGCAGTCGTCGACCTCCCGCGCCGCACCCCCGGCTCACCACGGTCCACCTGTTGCAGCTGCCACGCCCATGAATCGACAAAATAGCAACGATACTTCGAACTCGTCGCAGGATGCACCTGGCCTCCCGGCGACCGCGAACTGGGGAAGCAAGGCGATTCTCGAACGCCGCGGAAGTCGTTCTACGATTGCTTCGAATCACCCGAGCCCCATGGTCACGAACGCCGTCCCTGCTCAACCGCCTAAGCCCCCAAAAGCAGAGGAGCCCCCGAAGAAAAAGGGCAAAGAAAAGGAAAAACCCAAGGAAAAGCCGGCTGAAGTTTCGAAACCTGAAACTCCGCAGCCTAGTCCAGCTCCTGCTGCAAAACCCTCCAAACCTCGCGACAACAGGTTCCCAAATCTGCTTGACATCATCTGTTCGCCTGATTTCAAGTTTATGTTCTCCCGCGCGGTCTTAACTGATGACGAGTTCAAAGCCATCACTGAATACCCGCAACTCATCGATCCGAGCGGAGGTGCGAAACATCGCGCCACACGGGAGAAAGAAGAGAGACTGGCTTTGCAACGAGAGGCCGAGGCCGAGCAGCTCAAGGCCGCAACACAGCAAGCACCGACAAATGAACACGAAGACACTGAGGCGACGGTTGGAGGTAGTTTGCAGTTGGGAGGAGAGCCCGAAGACGGACCAGAACCGCCTGCAAATCACACAAATCAACACCAAGTTGCAGCTTCAGGTCAGCAAGCCTTCGGTGCCGGCTTATTTGGCCAGAACAACTCTTTGACCGAAGACTTCAGTACGCTAGGCTTGAGCAATCGGAACTTGACGCCACAGCAACAGCAGCAGTTGCTTCTGTCCAATTTCAAATCAGGCACACAGACAACAGGATTGCTTTCCAACATTCCAAACGCACATGCACAGCAGCAGCAGCAACAGCAACAACAGCAGCAGCAGCACGGGCTGATTGCTAATACTACATCAGGGCATGCACGACATACTTCAAGATTCAGCTTTGCGAATGACAGCTCGTCTGCCTCAGCAAATGTGCAGCCCGTTGCGAACCAAAAGCTGATGAACCAACAAAATTCGATGATGCCGAAGAATGGAGGCCACTTCAATCAAATGTCACAACATCAACCTTTGGGCAATCAATTCTTTACCAACGTTCAGGGACCACCTCCTGGTCTGAAGCCTTCCGGCACGCCACCTGTCAGCGGAACCGGTATGTTTGGCCAGGGGCATGGATTCGCTACTGGTGGTCTGGGCTATGGCGCAAACGTCGGTGGTAGGAACAACAATGCTGCCATGTACCAGGATATGCTCCAAAACAGGAACCTGGATGGCGGTGCTAAGCGTGAGTCAATGTTCCCTTCTTTTCTTAATCAACATTCCCAGTCATCCACACCTGCCCCTGCCCCCGGCCTCTTGAACTTTCCTTACGGACCTTCGCCTGGTGCTTATCAGGAATCTGGTTCGCAGAAGTCTAAGAAAAAGGGCAAGAAGCATAGACACGCCAACACCTCTTCCTCTGGAGGAGGTGGCTTGGCTGATGTCCAAGACCCGAGTATCTTACAGGCGAGGATGCATCAAGGCATGGCCGGGCAAGGCATGTATGGCCAGGGTCAGGGTGGCTTTGCATCAATATATTCAAACAACAACTACGGTGGCGCCGGACGATGGTAGTCGTTTTCTCTCTTTCACTGTCATGTGTTTTCTTTCGGTTCGCCAAATTGTTTTGGTGTCTTTCTTTGCGACGATGGCTGCATGGCGTTTCGGTTTCACAGCAAACACATCGGCACATGTTCGGTGCTTCGACACTGATGCACGGCGTTTCTGAATGGCTTGGTCGTCGTCACATCCACATGGCCTTTATATGCGATTTACGGCACCCTCATACCTTTATGCATCTCTATCATTTTCTGCCACGTTTGGGAGCATAGTCTATTCATCTACTGTTCAGGTCAGCGTCTCTCTTTTCGTCATGGCCATCGCATGTACGTAATTTCCCCTTCCTGCCGCATCTAAGACGGCATGCTTACATTTAATAGAGAGATGGCGTGTTTATTATCCTTCTGCCTTCTAAGTGACAAAGATGATCGAGAGAAGTACCTTACCACCTGATGTATCTAGAATGCTCCGCTGGATCTACCAGCCATGGCTACCCAGATTTGTGTCGGCGCCTGCCATAGTTGTTGCTTCTTCTTCCACATCATATCCCGAGGGCTCCGAACACATAATTTCAAGACTCCGCTAACAGCCGTGTACAGACGAGCCACCATTTGCCGTTGAAGATCAAGCATTGTTTAATGTTGACGCACTTGTCAACGATGATAGTGAACCTGTGCGAGGGCCTCCGCTCACACCATTGCACGCACAGCTTTATGATGAACCTCGACGGGCAACTCCATCTATTCCACCTGGGTTTACAGCTCCAGCTGTAACTCGAGCTGTCATGGATGAGGCACGTTCTGGCCCAGGGTCCCGGCCTATGTCTAGAACCACATCATCCACTTTCACACCAGCTATACCCGTCATACCGATTGCACCAAAGCCAGCTACCTCGCCTACAAAGACGACGATGAGTAAACAGAGGAGCAAAGCTGTAGAGTCTGCTAAACCGATCGTCGTCGATGCAGAGAAAGCTCAGTCAGACACACTGAACCAGAACGCGACGCCAACAGCAGTAGACACAACGAACAAAAACGTAACGAAAGCTGCTGCTGCGCAGCCCAAAAAGCCTAGCGAGTTCGTCAAGAAGACAGAAGAACTTACGACGGACCCATCACAACCCAAGCCTGAGGAAAAGAAGCCTGCGCCTGACGCAGTTCTGCCCGTCACGCCCAAGGCTAAGACGACAAGCCGAAGGAATAAGAGCGTTACCGAACCTACTCCGAAGACAGACGATGTCAAAAGTACACCTGAACCAGCTTTGACGCCATCCTTTGCTATTAAGCGACAACCCCTCAGCAAACTCGATATTGCAACTGCAACCAAAACACCACAGGGTCAGCATGATCCTGTTTCAAGCTCATCCAAGATCGACCCTCCGTCTAAGACTTCGCGCCCCTTGACGGCCAGCTCTGCGACATCAGTACCACCTAGTCCTGCAACTGCAGCAACAGGATCGCCTATGAAACGCTCAGTTGCACCCAGGACATTGCGTGTTGTGCCAACGCCAAAAGCTGAAGTCCCACCACCTGCACCTATAGTGACCACACCATTACCTCAGATACCCACAGTAGACAAGCTTCGATCTAGGCAAGCTAGCATCGCCTCCCTCAATCCTCCAGGTACGCCAGCAAGTGAGATGATTTCAGACACGGCGTCCGTTGCTTCAACTTCGTTCTCCCGAGCCAATTCTCCGCCTCTGATTGGTGGCAAGGTTGGTACTGCCCCAGTGAGAAAAAAAACCAAATCACAGGCGAAGAAGGAAAGACAAGATCGTAAACGACATATTGAAGAAGAGCAAACAACGCTGGATGACCAAAAATCCGACATGGACGTTGTTCAAGCACCTATCATTGGACGAAAGAAGAAGGAAAAGAAGCCTTCCAGTGCTCCAGCAAAGTCAATTGCTGCCGCATTCCGCAGCCAGCCTGCTTCCCCTAAGCCTGCTACAGTCGAGGAGGAGCAATCCGACGGGCCGACTCCTGGGTCACGCAAGGCCTCCACTGTGAAAACATCAGCTAGAAAATCGCCGGAGCCAGAACCTGAGCATGTTCAGGAGCATAACAAGGAGAAGCGTGAGCCAAATGCTCAAACCATCATGGCCGATCTGCAACGTACCGGCGAGCTTCTTGCGTCTACTCTCGAATTCTTCAAGCCTCTGTCCTCGTCACTTACTCATGCATCACGCAACATTCAGTCGGCCAATGCCATATCGCCACCGGATCTGAAGATTCATCTTTCTGAAGCTGACCTCAAAGCGCTGGCGAACAAGAAACCTGTTCGTATCGAGGGTCAAGATGGAAGACCTGACACACGAACGCTCATTACGCCTGGTGGCAAGTTTCTGTGGGGATTGAGTGACGAGCTTGAGGCCAGGGCTCTGGAACTGGAAAAGCGAATTGAAGAGTCGAAGGGAGCCGCTCGCTTTCATCCCCGCAAACAAACCTCACATGCCTTCAACCACAATGTCCCCGGTCAAGGGCAGTCCAACGATGTCCTTCCTGCCATTACTACCGCCCTCAAGGAGGCCGGCCGCAAGCTGAGCACCAGCAGTAGACAGCAGATGCCGAAGATGGATCCCTCGTCTGGTCTGATTGGCTCAACAGCCCATCCCCTTCCTCCTGTTCAGGCCCCGGAAGTCTCTGCGCCGCAACAGGCCGCTTCACAACAGCAAACCCCCGCCGATGCAAGCCAATATCTGAACCAATTCGTGCTGCCCAAGACAGATAACCCGCCACCAAATCAGCCCAGGCCTGAAATGGCCGCCGTTGGAGGACCCCCGGGAGCAGGAACCGCCAACATCTCCGTTAATGTCAACAAGTTTGCCAAGGCCGCAAAAGCTGTTGTCGAGGGTGGTGCAGTCGGAAGTACAGAGCTCGACGGCGTGGGAATGATGGCATCAGATCTCCTCGGTGGCGTCTTTGTCCAAGGTCTTGAAGCACTTGTCGGCGCAGGCCTCGGCCTCTATCCTGGCAGCCAAGACTTTGGTGTTGATAGCAACGGCAACGTCAACTTTGGACGAGGTGGAAATGGACTGGATGTCCAGGGACTTATGAGTGCAATCGAGAGCACAGCTGGAATGGGCGGATACGGAGGCAATGCGAGGAGGGGTCGAGGCAGCGTGCTTAGCATGGAGGAAGCGGAACAAGCTATGCTTGCTGCCAAGAAGGAACACGATGTTTTAGAGAAGAAGCTAGCTGCACTGATGAAGAAGAACAGAAAGTTGGCGTTGGGGACTAAATAGGTGAGAAGAAGATAGAGTAGTGTCTGAGATGACAAGTCACGAGTGAGATAGACTTTGGCATATTATTAAATCATCCGTTCATGACGATCAAGGATAAGCCCAGTGTGGCCATGCGTACATATCAATAAACTTAATGTTCATCATCGTAGTTGCTTATATCAAGAACTTAGGTACGGTGAAACTCTATTACCCTTGTAACGCTAGGCTGCCGCAGCGGTGCGCACGGATGCAACTGTGATCTAGTAAACAGCTTGCACGTCAACGTGCTTCTTCGAATCAGACTCTGACAGTCTTTCATTGACACGTTAGCATTCTCTGGGGTCATTACAAATTTCCGGTCGTTCGACACTCGTTGCCAGCCGCTCATATTTTTTGGCTGTGCCGGTTGAGCTGCAAGCGCGCCTCAAGACTGCTTCTTCACTTAAAAGAGCAGGACGTAGAATCAACACGTAACCAGAACAATGTTGCCTGATGGAAAAATCGAATCACTAGGTACTCACCTGGAGCAATTCAAGCTCAATGACAAGAGCCGACAGAGTGATTTACAGGTTAGCTCGACTAAAAACGATTGCTTCGCCGCATCTGACCGACTTAGAACCTGCTCAAAGAATATGGCCAGCTGCTTGGAGACTATAAAGTGCTGAAGAAAGCGCTTGACGTCAAGAATAACAAGCCAGCAGTAGTTCTACCAGGATCCTCTACCCGTGCTGCTAAGCCTAAGGGTTCCTACGTTCTTGTGCTTGTGGATGGCAATGACTATATAGTACTTCACCACCAGTTCATGCGCGAAGTCATCTTACTGACAAGGAGCCCTATAGTTCAATGAGGAGTTGATCAAAGAAAAAGAGGAGGGCGGTATGCGCGCTGCTCGTCTACTAAACGATGCGGTGGAAAAATATATACACGACAGTGTCCCTGGGGGGCACAAGGCGCGCATCATTGTTCGCATCTACGCTGATCTTACGACCTTGTCAAAGCAATTGACAAAACAGAAAGTGACAGGACCAGAAAAGCGTTCTGTTGCATCATTTTCGGCGGCTTTTACGCGTGCTATTGGTCTCTTTGACTTTGTGGACGCGCTAGATGAGGAGGGAACCAAGTTCAAGATTAGAGGTGCGCAAAATGCTCTGAATTGTAAGACAGGAACATTGACAGGCCCACAGAGCAGTTCAAACTCGCGTCCGAGGACGATACCTGCAGCCACATATTGTTCGCCGCCTGTCACAACCCCGCATACCTTTCTCAACTGGTTCCTTTCAGTGGTGTGCGCGAGAAGATCACCCTTGTTCAAAGTGCAGGTTGGAACCAAGAGTTTGATCAATTCGGCCTGAACGTTACTCAATTCCCAACAGTCTTTAGGTGGTCTGAAGTACCAAAAACAGCACCGACGAACAGATCGGTGTCATCCAGCACGGCCGCAGATTCTGCTCCGTACAAAGCTATTGTAGTCACTACACGTCCTACCCTCCGAACGAATTCCTGGCGTAGGGATGGCCCTGTCAATGGGAATCGTTCTGCTCTCAGTAGTCCGGAGTTGGTACCCGCTCGTCCCAATAGCAGCAACAATGCAGCCAGTCCAAAGAAAGAGCCTTCCGCGGCATCAGACAAGTTCAAGCAACCATGCAGGCATTTCTTAAAGGTACGCGCTGTTTAGTTGTGAATGTTCGTAGCAGCATCGGAGACTCACAATCGACACAGGGCACCTGCCGCTTCGGCGACAAATGCACATTCTCCCACGCAAACCCTCGTCAGACGTCATCGCACACGCAACCAAACCCCACGACCGGCCGCTCTAATCTCTCCTCACACTTACCCAAGAAGCTGACTCCAGGCTTCGTCCCCGTCAATGCCCAAAATCAACGTCTGGACACATACATTCGACCGCCGACGGACCAAGAATTCTCAATCTACCAATCGCGCTTCCACCAGCGCAAACCGTGCAACAGCTTCCATCTGCAGCAGTCGTGTACAAATTTTGACTGTGCGTACGATCACTCTGCACTCGAGCCCGAATCGCGCCATGTCCTGAGTTACGTACTGCGGTGCACGGCGTGTCCGCGCAAGGGCGATTGTAGGCTTGAGGATTGCTTCTATGGACATATTTGTCAGAAGGAGGGGTGTACGGGGCAGATGAAGGGGTGTAGGATGAAGGGGCTGCATGATGTGGATCCAAAGGTCACAGGGATGGAGCCGGCGGAGAGGAGGGAGAGGGTTGTGCACGAGGAGAGTGCTGCGGAGGCTGTGCAGACGCTGATCGATATTGAGGATAATGTCGAGGATCGTGTCGAGGATCATGTCGAGGATCATGTCGAGGATCATGTCGAGGATCATGTCGAGGATCATGTCGAGGGAAAAGGGGAGTATAAGGCTGAGGAAACGAATGAACTGGTGTATCATTGGTGAGATAAGAGGGCGGTCACGGTGCTTCTGCGACCAGGCATGATAGACGGGGTACGGGGCAGGAGAGTCTGCATTTTTAGGCACGTGCCTAAATGATGATCGAAGAAGAGATCTTGCCAGGGGAATGCCGTTTATAGAAGTGCAAGTCGGCTTTTGGGTGTGTGTATGAAAGCGCGAATTATGCGCATGTCGCAAGAGCGACAGTCATCACCTTTGTGAAGTTTTCCCATTTTCACTTCCCAGAGCATTTGTAAAGGTCCAAAGTATTCTACACGGCGTTTCTCGCTTTCATAATCACACAACCCCTCTCCCGTACTTCAAGGATTCGTAACAAATCTGAGTAACCTCGAAATACACATCCAGGATGCGAGTAGGCCAACCCTCTTGCAGAATACCGGCATCAGAGCATCTATTCAAACTCTTTCATTACACTAGCTGCCATCAACAATCCTTCATTGGCCTACAAGGTGCCAGAAAGGGCTGTAACGATGTTCGCGTGCAAGTGATGATGGTGGTGGTGGCACTATTCGGACCAGTCTCAGCTCATTGATGTCAACGATCTGATAAGTGGCCAATCACAGATGCCAAGACTCAGCGTTGGTCATCCGAATCGAACTTCACGACCGCCACACTTGACTCTCTCTGTTCACGCCCGCTCGCCGTCCGTCCCCTCGAGCATCAATTGCGCGACGACACGCGAGACAATTCGCACATAGCGCTCCACGATGCTCGCACGACACGCACCTGGCCCCTCGGCCCTCAGCGCGGCCGCCCACCGCGCCCTGCCCGCCGCCACAGCAGCAACTACACGCCTCTCGGCTGCGACAGCCCAGAACCGGACACAGACGAGGTCATTGGCGACAGTGCAGGATGCTGCGCCTGTACGGACCTATGGAGGGCTCAAGGATCAGGACCGCATTTTCCAGAACCTGTACGGACACCATGGGGCGGATCTGAAGAGCGCCATGAAGTACGGAGACTGGCACAAGACCAAGGAGATTCTGCTCAAGGGCCACGACTGGGTGTGTATAAAGAGACATGTCGGAAGTTACGGATGGGAATACTGATAGATGCAGATCATCTCTGAGATCAAGACCTCCGGTCTTCGTGGCCGAGGTGGTGCTGGTTTCCCCTCCGGCCTGAAATGGGTACGCGACCCATTGTAACTGTGGGGTCTGAGGCGTCATGCTGACTTCAGGTAGTCGTTCATGAACTTCAAGGACTGGGACAAGGACGACAAACCCCGCTACTTGGTTGTCAATGCTGATGAGGGTGAACCCGGAACATGCAAGGATCGAGAGATTATGCGCAAGGACCCCCACAAGCTCATCGAGGGCTGCCTCGTTGCTGGACGTGCGATGAATGCTACTGCGGCATACATCTACATCCGAGGAGAGTTCTATCACGAAGCGGCCGTGCTAGAGCGCGCCATCCAGGAGGCATACCAGGCTGGTCTGATTGGAAAGAACGCTTGTGGATCCGGCTACGATTTCGATGTCTACCTCCACCGAGGAATGGGCGCCTACGTCTGTGGTGAGGAGACCTCCCTGATCGAGTCGTTGGAGGGCAAGCCCGGAAAGCCCCGCTTGAAGCCCCCGTTCCCTGCCGCAGTCGGACTCTTCGGATGCCCATCTACAGTCGCAAACGTGGAGACGGTTGCTGTCGCGCCCACCATCTGCCGGCGGGGAGGCAGCTGGTTCGCCAGCTTCGGTCGTGAGCGTAACCAGGGCACGAAGCTGTACGCCATCTCCGGACATGTCAACAAGCCATGTGTGGTTGAGGAGGAGATGTCGATTCCCCTTCGTGAACTTATCGACAAGCATTGCGGTGGTGTCCGTGGTGGCTGGGACAACCTCAAGGCTGTCATTCCGGGAGGTTCATCTACCCCAATTCTTCCAAAACACATTTGCGATGACCAGCTCATGGACTTTGATGCGCTCAAGGACTCACAGTCTGGTTTTGGCACTGCTGCCGTCATCGTCATGGACAAGTCGACCGATGTTGTCCGTGCCATTACCCGCCTCGCAAAGTTCTACCACCATGAATCTTGCGGTCAATGCACACCCTGTCGGGAGGGATCAAAGTGGACACATCAGATCATGGACCGTTTTTACAAGGGCCAGGCGCGCGAGCGTGAGATCGACATGTTGCAGGAGTTGACGAAGCAGGTTGAGGGCCACACTATCTGTGCTCTGGGCGAAGCTTTCGCATGGCCTCTACAGGGTCTCATCAGGCATTTCAGACCAGAGCTTGAGGCAAGGATAAAGGACTATGGTCTGAAGAACGGTGGCACGGCACTCGCTGGTGGGTGGGCTCACGATGCCCAGAAGAAGGGGCTTTTGGTCTCCCCCGGCCAGTAGTGTTGGGTTGAGTAGAAGAAATAGAAGGAGGTCTGAGTTCTGTATTATGCATTTTTCTTTTTGTCTGAGCTTTCTTGTCAGGCGTGCTAGTTTGAAGAGCTGAGCTGTAAATAGATTCTCGGCGCAAAATCGAAGAAACACTGAACTTGAAGACCTGAAATTGCTTTGACGTTGACTTGTCTGGTATCCTTTGCGCCTCTCTCCCATATTCCCAATCTCCGTCAAAATGACATGTACAATATTCCCAAACGCCCTGACGCCATGCGCTCTCCTCGCCGCATAGAGTGGAAAGGCGTCGTTTCAACCGAGGCAAATGTTGATGAACTCGTCCCGACTGATGGCATTATCTCCATCCATATCAAACTCCTCAATCATGGCCACCAACTCATCATGACTGAGCCCCTCGCCCAACTCCCTCGCGACCCGCGTCAGATCCTGCAACGTGATCTTTCCCTTGCCGCCCTCGTCGAACAGCTCAAACGCGCGGACAATCTCCTCTTGCGGATCGCGGGCCAGTATCTTCTGCGCCATGAGCGTCTGGAACGCCTGGAAGCTGAGCAATTGCCGCCCTGGCGCGCCAGAAAACGGCTGTCCTTGTTGAGCCCTTTGCGCCTGTTTGCCCGCGCCGGCCGCCGGGGCGGGAACACCGTGGGTATTCAACAGGGCGAGTATTTCGTGCTTGGGCAGATCAAAGCCCAGCGCCTTCATGGCGACTTTGAGCTCGTGGTAGTCAATGTATCCATCCTTGTCCAGGTCGAAGAGGTTAAAGGCCTCGCCGATTTCCTCGCGCTGTTCTTCGTCCAGCTCGGCGAGCGAGTTGGCGGCTGCTGTGTCGAGGCGGTTGCGCTCTTCGCGGGCGAGGCGCTCGCGCTCCAGACGCTCGGATTCCAGGCGTTGGGCGTTTTTGGGCGCGGCGAAGGTGTTTGGGGGAGCGTTGGGGGCGGAGGGGGCGCTGCGACCGAGACCGTAGCGGGGGCCGCCGCCGAGGGGGTTGGAGGAGGAGGCCATGTGTTTGAGGTATGTGAGGGTTGGCGGCGGCGGCGGTGGTGATGGTAGTGGTGGTGGGAGGAGAGCAGTAGCGGGGCCCAAAGGTTGGTCTGGCGTGTAGATGGGAAATGTGGGATATTCAGGCCAGGGAGGATGTGCGCTCCAATGAGATGTTGGGGGTTGGTGCGTGGTTGCGACAATGCGGCTTTGTTGTTCTGGAATCGCTTTGTTTGGTGACGATGTTGGGATGGGCAATGTTTGGGACGCGGTCGCGTACTGGTACGGTAAGGTTATTTTTTAGCGTGCTTTGGGGGAGGCTGAAGGAACGAGGAGGGAGGGGGGACTACGAGGTAGACACCGGTTGCAGCGGCGGTATTCTATCGACTTGTCCTGGATCGCTTGAGACTACAAAAAGTGAGCACGCAGAAGGAATGGGGAATGACTGATTCGTAGACAGAGCAGGAACCTGGAGAGCACCTTTGACCTCGAGTCTATCTACTCTACCGTACCGGTACCAGTACCGGACCAGTTCCTATCAGTACGGTACGGTACGGTACGGTACGGTACGTAAGGTACCGTAGGCAGGTAGCAGGCAGCCATAGGTAGCAGCAAGGCACACTTGCAGGCAGCGGTGCGAGATGATTCACCACGGCTATAAAGAATCCACATGATGCTTGTCCGTTGCCGTTACTTACAACGCATCGCTCCTCTCTCTGCAGCTCATCATAGGAGACTGTGTTCTTCGCTCTCCTACTGTGTACGGGGGACAATAGCTTCAGGTTGCAAGAGGCTGTCACGTGACCGTGTTGTGTGCAGCGTGGTCCTTGGCGCAATTCATCATTCTCCTACCTCGAGACGAACCTTCGCTCTTGTTCCCCATCTGCTGCTCGCTGAACCAACATTTCTTTTGCTGGCCACATCCGCCCCCGTCAGCCTCTTTTTTTTTCTTTTCCATGACAATTACTCCCCTACCTTAATCTGCTCGTCTTCTGAGCCTTTTCACTTTCTTTATCGGCTCGCTTTCCAAGCCTGCAGCAAAGCCTGCGCATCTACTCTACTTACCTGCCTACCTACGCTTTGCTCGATTGGACCACGTCTTGGCGCGACGCACCCGCGAAGCTCTTCATCACCGCCCGCGCCTCCACCTCACCTCTCTAGCACTTCGACTTTCATCACCCAACGCGCCTGCGCGATCCTCGACGCGCGCACTCCTTAGATCAACCGCGCCTCTCCCTCGCGCAAATCGTAGGCCACGCCCATCATGTCCTTTGGTGGTGGCGGCGGCTTTGGGGGCTTCGGCTCCAACAACAACAACAGCAACCAGTCGACTGGGTTTGGTGGCTTTGGCGCAAACAATAACGCCGCAGCTACTTCAGGTGGTAAGTATATCCTCTCCCTTTGATTCTTTTTTTTCTAGCAGTCGTGCTCTGTGCAGGCGACGCCATGAGACCGCAGCGCATGGCACCAGCCCGTCCGTCCCCCTCCAGGTCTAACGCACCTTCCGCCTCAGGCTTCGGTTCCAATACCAACACAGGTGCTGGCATATTTGGCTCGAATAGCAACCCCGCCACGGGCAGTAACATGTTCGGAAGCACTGCCAACACGAGCTCTCCATTTGGAGGCGGAGGTACGTGAGGAGCGTTGCGCCTTGCTGTCGCGTTGAATTTGAATTTGAATCAGTTATGCCTTCTGCGTTTGTGGACGGTGTCGCGATGCCGCCATGTCTTTGCGCAAACCTGGAACATGACAACTTTTGCGCGCAAATTTCACTTTTCATCACCTCCTATTGAACATGCACTAACCTACCACTTAGGCGCATTCGGTGCAAACAATGCTCCCAAAACAACTTTTGGCTCTACACCATTCGGCGGCGCCAGCAGCGGAGGTCTCTTTGGCAACACTGGTGCCTCGTCGACCGGAAGTGCCTTTGGCGGATTTGGTTCCACCAATACGACCTCTACCCCGGCTTTTGGCGCAAGTTCCAATACGGGAGGAAGCCTCTTTGGTCAGAACAAGCCTGCAACTGGCTTTGGCTCAACAACAACAGGCGGAGGCGGCTTATTTGGAGGTGGCAGCACAGGAGGATTTGGCTCCACGGGCACCAACACAACTGGCGGTTTCGGTGCAGCGACTGGCGGTTTTGGTACAGGAGCTGCAACCACGCAAAACACGGGAACTGCAAACACGCCATTCCAGCCTTTTACCGAGAAGGATGGAACCACCGGTAACGCACAATCGCAATACCAGACGATTACGTTTCAGCAGCCCTATCAAAACTTCTCACTGGAAGAATTGAGGGTCGTGGACTATAATCAAGGTCGACGTTATGGCAACCAGAATGGTCAAGCAGGCGCGTTCGGTCAGAGCACTGGGTTCGGTGGCTTTGGAAGCAACAACAATACCGCTGCTTCTACTGGATTCGGCGCAAACAACAACACGGGTGGCAGCCTTTTTGGAGGTGGCAACACCAGCACCACGACATCAGGGTTCGGCCAGAACACTGGCTCGGCTTTCGGTGCCAATAACAACAATTCAGGAGGCGGTCTCTTTGGCCAGGCCAAGCCCGCAACAAGTGGCCTCTTTGGAGCGTCAAACACCACGACTACGACTGGTACTGGCGGCGGCCTCTTCGGTGGCGGCTCGACGACAAATACCACTGGAGGCTTCGGTTCTGGTGGAAGCGCATTTGGTTCGTCCACAAACAATACTGGCGGCGGCCTCTTTGGTCAAGCTAAGCCTGCTACAACTGGTGGTCTGTTCGGAGGCTCCGGCACCACCACGAACACCACAACTCCTTTTGGTGGCTCGAACACTACTGGCGCTTTCGGTCAAGCCAACACTGGTGGTGGACTCTTTGGGCAACAGAATAACCAAACCTCGACAACATCTGCTTTTGGTGCCAACAATACCTCTACAAACACCGGCGGAGGACTCTTCGGCGGAGGATCAACAGGTGCGTTTGGCCAAAACAACCAGACCCAGCCACAGTCTCAGAACTCTGGGGGGCTTTTTGGTGGCGGAGGTGCTTTCGGTCAGAACAATCAGCAGAATCAACCAAAGCCTGGTGGATTGTTCGGCTCGTCAACGACCACGCCTGCTACAGGTGGCGGTCTTTTCGGTCAATCCAACACGCAGACTCAGTCATCCGGCGGTCTGTTTGGAGGGTCCACAGCGACCAATAATACCGGAGGTGGTCTCTTTGGCCAGAAGCCTGCTACTGCAACTGGCGGTCTGTTTGGTGGAAGCACTACGAATAATGCTGGCCAGTCTGGCGGAGGCTTGTTTGGTGGCCTCGGTACCCAGAACAACACTCAGCAAAATGCTGGCGGTGGCCTCTTTGGCGGCCAGAACAACCAGCAGAAACCCGGGGGCCTGTTTGGAGGCTCTACATCGAACACCAATACTGGCGGAGGCCTTTTCGGAAATCTGGGGCAGAACAACAATCAACAGTCTACAATGGGCGGCTCGTTGTTCTCCAGCCAAAATCAACAACCCCAACAACAGGCTAACAACAGCAGCCTGTTCGGTGCATCTGGAAGTTCTTTGCTCAACACTTCCATGAACACCAACCCCTACGGTAATGACGCTTTGTTCGCTGGTCTTGGCACTCCGACTCAGAGTCCAGGCCCCATTGCCACTCCACTCTCAAGCAGCCAGAAGAACAAGAGGAGTGCTATTCTACCCCAGCACAAGCTTAATCCAGCTGCATCCACAAGGCTACTCACACCCCAGAGTAAGAGGCCTGGTGGTTATGGATTCAGCTACTCTACCTACGGCACTCCTGCTAGTAGTCAGAGCACAAACAGCCCTAGCTTTGCCGGTAGTCTCTTTGCCGGTTCTCGTTCTCTGAGTAAGAGCATGTCTGCCAGCAATCTTCGTAACACGTTCAACCCTGAGACCAGCATCCTCGCACCGGGCGCATTCTCCACTACTGGACGCAATTTCGGCAATGGTAGCTTGAAGAAGCTCAATGTTAACCGCTCCATCAACACCCGCATTCCCTTGTTCGACGAGCCAGCTCCAAAGCGCGTCAGCTTCGCCGGTGGTGAGTCTTCGAACGGTGACACCAATGGCGAAACCGCTCTGGTCGTACGCGAGGAGGAAAATGATGCTTCTCCTCGGGCCGTCAACGGTGATGCCGGAAGGGAGACACCTCGCCCACAGATGCAGCAGGTGAATGGCTCGGAATTGACTCGTGTTCCAGAGGATCGCGTTCTAACACCAAAGTCGTCATCCTCGGTCAACGCTCAGCCTGGCGATAGCACAAAGCCAGGTGACTATTGGTCTAACCCTTCTATTGCACAGCTCAAGAAGATGAGCAGACAGGAACTTCAAAGCGTACCCGACTTCGTCGTTGGTCGCCACAATGTAGGACAGATCAGGTTCAACTGCGGAAAGCCCGTTGATCTCTCCGACGTCAACCTGGACAAGCTCTTCGGTGACATCGTTCAACTCTCTCCTCGCAATGCCACTGTATATGGCGAGTCCTGCACTTGTCTGCCAAAGCCGCCGTTGGGCTCTGCGCTCAACCAGCCCTCTGAGATTGTACTGTGCAACTCTTGGCCCCGTAGCAGCAAGACCGGGAAGAAGGACGTCAAGCATTTGGAACGTCTCAAGCGCGTCAGTGGCACCACTTTTGTGGATTACAATCAGACTACCGGCGAGTGGACCTTCACCGTACCTCACTTCTCCTCCTACGGTCTCAATGACGAGGATTACAGCGATGACGAAGACGAGTCGAGCTTCCTCAGTGATGTTCCGGACACGCCTGCGGAACAAGAACACCGCTCCAGTCAAATGACGAGCACACCACAGGAAGAATCTTTCGTCAGCCCTCAATCTCAGTCCAGCCCCGATGATACCTTTGACTTTAAGAAGGGCATGCGCTCAAGAAATAGCGTTCCTGGGGGGTTCGGTGATGAGGCTGTGTATGAAAACGAGGGTGCTACAGAAGACAGTCAGAGCCAGTCTTTTTTAGGCCAGCGCTCCGTGGGTTCGCTTGATGGTCAGCAAGATGCCGACTACACTGAAGAGAGCGAATCTGAATTGGGTCACGATCAGGACATGGCGGATTCTGATGCCCGGCCCATTCTTACCACGGAGCAAGCACCCGCCAAGGATGACCCCTTCCGGGATACCCTCAAGCCAAAATCCATTCTCAAGCCCGGTCAAGTATTGCGGCCTGGCATGGGCACACCGACGAAAGCCAAACCTGTCTTTGATGATGACTGGGCCAATCAACTTCAGCGTACTATCAGTCCACGGAAGCAGGATCGACATGTCCTTCGCGAGAACCAGGAGAACGCTTTGAAAGAACAGGACATGAATGCCTCGCAGTTTGCGCAAACATTTGGTGGCGGTAGGCAACTGACTACTGCCATGGATTTGATGGACTCTCTTTTCGGCGAGACGCAGAAGCAGAGTCTTCCTAAGCGTGGAGGACACGGCATTGAGGTTTGACATCCCCCTTCTCCTTTTTAGCGAATGTTCACATTGTGGCGCAATCATGGTTGGGTTTTCTTTATGATTCTCCATAGATTGTTGCCCAGGCTCTAGGCCTCCTGCGTATGTAGTCACAAATTGATATGGATAAGATTGCTGAAACTGTTCTTCCTCTAGTTACCCTATTCCAAGCGACCCAAGACCGAGTCCGACCTCCACCAACTCAACAGCACCGACCAAGACTTTCACAATTGCAGCAAACCCCGTTTTAGCGAAGCAAACATCCTTGTCTTCGGCAACAAAGGCCCAGCGAGTCTTGAAGGCGGGGTCTTTTCCAGAGCTCAGGAACCCCTTGTAGGTGCTACCAAGGATGTACGATTCGTGAAGATGCCGACTTTTGATGATGTAAGTGTTCGCGCAATCTATAGTGCTATTCCCGCTGACATGTTTTAGGCTGCTCCTGAGACGTTGTCGTTGCAAAAGCAGCATACCAAAATCTTCGTCAGCAATGGTACACCTGTAGCCAGACTGCAGACTGATCCTGCGCCTATAGAGTTCTCTGATATGGCCAAGGCTGTTGCTATCGATACCAAAGCGGGTGTCCACGAACAGCAAGCCTGGCGACTGCTGTCACTTCTATACGACGACGCCGACAAGATCCCTGACGGTATGAAGCATGAGTACCTGGAAACTCATAAGAAGGAACGACTTTCGGATTTCTGGAAGACCCTCGTTTGGGATGATGCGCAAAAACACGCCTCCGAAGCTGCTTCCTTGGAGGAGCGTGCTATTGCTTATCTCAGCTGTAACGATGTCGCGGATGCGTGTCATGCCCTACTTGAGGGCTTCGATCTTAGACTTGCGACTATGGTAGCTCAGATTGGTGGCGACTCCTCAATGCGCCAAAGCATGGTCACACAGATCGAGGAGTGGCGTCGCCTCGATGTACTATCCGAGATGGAAGATCCACATCGGGCACTTCTATGAATTGGTTTTGGGGCACCTGTGCCAAGCCGGAGGGCAAACTGGGTGCTGGGCGCGAAAACAAGGGTTCCACATTTGGCATCTCCAGTCGCTTCGCTCTTGACGGGGGGCGGGCTTTCGGCTTACGACTTTGGTACGGCATCATGACCGACGAGCCCATTGAACTGGCTATTGCTCAATTCGCCGACGCCATCGCGGACGGCAAGGAAGATGTCAAGCCTGTGCCATGGTTCGTGCAAGATGGCATAGACATGGGTTGGGGAAATGCGAAGGCCAGGGACTGCGAGGATCTGCTTTGGGGTATCCTCAAGCTCTATGCTGCATCACGAATGGAGCTCGTGGCCAATATCGAAGACGTCCTGGCTCCGGAAAACGTGTCTGGTCACCCTCTCAACGCGCGATTGTCCTTCCAGCTGTTCCAGCTGTTCAGGTCGCGTCAAGACGACGATCGCGAGTCGCCTGAGCGTAAGGTTGGCATGCCGACTGTCCGCGGCGATAGCGAAGGCCACCGCAATTCTTTCCTTTCATCAGCAACACCTGCTGAAGGAACGGACTCGCAAGCAGAGGACCCGCTTACCGAGATGGGCGACAAGATTACCCTGACATATGCAGCCTCGCTTCATACGGCAGAACACTGGACGACTGCCATTTGGGTGTACACTCACCTATCCTCCCCAACCATGCGCGAGCACTACATCCGCTCGCTGCTCAATCAGTTCTCTAGCACACATGTGCTTGAAGAAGGCAACCCCACCTATGCCTACCTCACCCAGGATCTCCGTGTGCCTACAACATGGCTTCACAGTGCCGCCGCGCTCCAGGCTAAATCTGAGGGTGATAGCTTGCGCCAGGCTACTCACTTGATCAAAGCTGATGAGCTGGAGGAGGCCCACGAGGTCCTGTGTCGAAAAGTCGGCCCCGACGCCATCATCTCGCGCGACTATGACCCTCTCCGCGAGTTAATGGCCGGTTTCATCACTTCATTATCGAATACACCGAACTTATCATCATCGTCATCATCATCACGGGGTACATCAGCTCGTCGCCAAGAACTCGTGGCCGGCTGGGCACAAGGTGGCCAAATTTACTTGGACTACATTGAACTCGTCGATCTGACAAGCCGACGCTCAACCTACCGCGTAGATGAGGAGCTCGACCGGGAGATATCCGAACTCCTAGTCAAGTTGCAGCGGGCGCTCGAGATTGCAGGCCGCGATCGACTGGCGTCGTGTGGATTGGAGGAACGGGTTGCGCTCATGGAGATTGCGGGTACGGTTGCCAATCTGCTTGCAAAGACTTCGGTACGTCGATCTTGTTTTACTGCATCTTTTTCCCCTTGTTCGCCACACATGCGTTTGGTGTGTAGTACAAGTACATTGCTAACGTGAATATTCGTCACTAGTCCTACACCCACGCCGCTGTCCTCAAACTCCCCCTCACAGAGGACTTGAGCCTCAAGCATGCTTGCGACCTTGGCACATCTTATTACCGCAATGTCATGGCTGTGGGACCCTAGAGAGACTAGGCAAAAGGCTAGGACGCTCAGTTATGTTTTGCAGCCCCTGGTCGGGTGTCATGGCATTGGATGAGCATGAGCATGAGCATGAGCATGTGGAGAGTGACATGTGGCATGTGGTAAAAGGACATGTGAAATGGAAAACTGAACACAAACCACCCCCATCATCTAAAGCACAACCACAACCCTTGTTCGTGTGAGAGTTTTTTTTTCGTGTTTCCAGCACGGCACGGCACACTTGCGCACTCTTTTCTTTCTTCCCCCCCCCCTTTTTTTTTAAACACACATAGACACACACTGCGCATATGTCTTTGCAAAATGCTAGTATGCAATAGACTCGATGCGGTTTTCAGCTTGGAATCGGGCATCGAGTTTGGGACGGTGGGGAGGAAAAGCGTACACGCATGGTCTTTTTTTTCTTCTTCTTCCTTTTTGATTATTGTCGGTTAGGTTAGGTTAGGTTAGGTTAGGTTGGATTGGGATGGTGAGGTGTGGTTGTGTGGTTGTGTGGTTGTGTGGTATGGTGTGTGTGTGTATTCATAGTCTGATCAAAACAGATGGATTAATTATTTCCCGTGATGTGAAAAGGCATGTCTTCCATTGAAAAAAAGAACGTGATGGATTAAAGCGGCAGGGTAGATAGGATGGAAGCGTGCGATGGTGGAGTACCTAGTGGACTGTACTTGTTTCTCAAAAATAGACAATGGCAAATGAGTACATCCCACCATGTCATTTCATTTACAAAATTACACTATATATATATATAAAAACGCCACCGCCGGCATGCTTTGCGTACCTCGCTCATTCTGGCCAAATTACACAACACACAACACACAACACACAACACACAACACACAACACACAACACACAACACACAACACACACAGGGTCCATGTCCATGTCATGGCAGCCAGGCCAATCCAGTCTTTCTCCTTGACGCAGCTATATACGCATTTCATATTCCATATTCCATCCATATCGCGATGCAAACATGGTCAAGGTCGAGTCTATACTGAACCTCGCAACCGGGTTTACCATGTCCATGGTGAGATTCAGTCATGTTGATGTTGACGCTCATGTCAGATGCCATGTTAGATCTCAGACAAGGGAGAGAGATTCCACCCTCAATGACCCAGAAGAAAAAAGGCGAAGGAATAAAAAAAGGTCGTGTGTACTCCGAAAAAACAAACAAATATGGGGCAAAGCTGTGTGCATCGCATAGCATCGCATCGCTGAATGTAAAAAAGAGGGCAGGAGAAGAAAGCAAAAAGAATAGGGCAGTGAAGAAGAGAGAAAAGTAAAACGATACGTGCCAGCATTCCAAGGCATCCTCAGCACCAAATCCAAACGCCAGGAAAGAGGAGAGGAGAGAAGCCAAGTCAGAGAAGCATGCAAGATCAAAGATTGTCAACAAACGACATCACATCCAAAAAAAATACCAATCAGCGGAAATACGACCCACGTTTCCCAGCAACTCCACCACCGGCACTGGCACCGCCGCCGCCGCCAGAGCTAGAACCCGCACCCCGTGCCTCCTCAAGACTGCGGCGCGAACCCCCAGCCCCAATTTCGCTCATTTGAAAGAGCAAAGGTTCGTCGTCATCGACATTAGTAGCCGTGCGGCTGTTGAAGTTGTACCGACTTTGCCGTTCTGTCGAGCTGGTAGCTCCCGTGCTCAGACTGTTTGATGAACTGTGTGAGAAGAAGCCTCCACGGCCACGTTGAACACCAGAGTAAGAGCCACGTTTCGGGGGAAGATTCGACGTCGACGAGGGACGAGGGAGGTGGTCGCGAGAGTCGTCGGGCACTGCATGTTGGTCTCGGCTTGCGCTAGCAAGGGATTCTGTCTGCGCAAAGAGACCGCTCGAGGTAAGATCGGCACTGGTGATTCGATGGAGATCACGCGCTCGGTCTACTTCTTCTGATGGTAGACTGGCTGAACGGACACCAAAGAGGTCGGGCTCGTCATCTGGTAAGTTGCGGTTTTGTTGTGCCACTGAGCTTGAGCGGCGAGCATAGTTCCACAGGCGTGGGGAGCTGGGGATGGCGATGCCGTCGTTGGCTTGATCTTCATTTTCGCTCTGCTCGGCGACGTGCGCGTCATCTTGTGCATTCCCACGAGTCGGCCGCCCACGTCGCGTCTGGCTGCTACGGCGTGGTTCGTACTCGATGATGCTGTTAGCACTCAATCGAGATGGAATCGCGGGCGTATGCGGGGTATGTGGCGAGATGGGTTTACCGGGTGACGAAGCAGTCGACACAGACGTACCCGCAATCATTGCTGGGACGCTTGATAGCTGACGGCTTGAAGACGACGATGATCGATGTAACATCATGGACGATGAGAGCGAATCAGAGAGCTGCGCGTGGGAATCTCTCATACGCTGGAATTTGTTGAGTTGAGCGGTAGTGCGCTGCACAGTCGCTGCTTTGGACGCATCGTCACTTCGGCTAAAGCTTCTCAGATCCTTCTTTGACTCCAACAGCTTGAGAAAGTCGGATATGTTCTCATCGTCCGTCTTGACTTCTCCCGAGCTACCACCAGGCCCGTCATTGAGGGTATCGGAGCCGCGTTGTACTGACGACGACACACTGCCTTTCCCACTGCTCATGTTATCGTCCTCGAGCTTACTGCCACCACTAGTCGAGAACTTGCCCCGTCTGTGACCAAAGCTGCTACTGTACCGGCTAATGGGCGCTGGCTTGGGCGAGCTTGAACCTGACGAAGCAGCAAACGCATTGTCGCTGGGTAATGACGGAGCTCGGAGTGCCGTTTGGGGGAGAGCTGTCAAGGAAGTTCGATTCCTTGGCTGATGGAGGGCGCTAGGGGTACGACCTAGAGAACTGCCGGGCCTTCCCAATGAGCTACCCGGTGATGGAAGTACTCCACCGATAGCTGGTGAGGATGAGAGAGAGCCTGCCTTGAAGGGCTGAAATGAGACTGATGTTCGCCGTTGGTAGGAGGGCGTGTCTGCAGATCGTAGTGATGACTTGGACCCTTGGGCAACCCGATGGTTTGGTGGTAATTTCTGTGGAGGCGATTCAGTTGGGGAGGAGGAGGATGGCAGATCTCGAACAGCGCGAAGAGCAGAGATTGGACTCGTTCCTGTAGGTGGGCCAACTTGATGAAAGGTCGACAAGCTCCCATAGGCTTGACCGACGTCCGGAGTCTCTTGTGCATTGAGTCTGTCTACAGGGAGCGAACCAGGCACTTGGGTTGTGCGCACTTTGTTTTCAAAGTAGTTGTCGTCCAATCCCATGAATTGATCACTCAACAGTGACTCGGAATCTTCGACACCGAAGTCGCAGCTCGCGCGATGTTGGACTGTCACACATAGCGGGCCCACCGGTGAGTTGGTGGGTCTGAAGTCAATCGTCTCCGTTACGGGCTCAGTGGATGGGTAGAGTGCCAGGTTGAGAGTGTCGACGTGTGATGGGTAAGAGTCGGATTCGGTGATGCGGTAGTTCAACTTCAATGCTGGGTGGGTCGTAGGTTGCTTTGCAGCAATCTTGTTATACCGGAATGCTGGCATGAGCCGCAAGTGGGCAAAGAGAGAGCGAAAGGTGACGACTGCTTTTTTGTAGACGTTGGGCAAGGGGTCGTTTAGCTCAGTCGGAAGTACCAGACTCTTGTCCCCCACATGGATCTTCCATCGCTCCAAAACGAGTTGGGTGTATTTGCCGTGGCGACTCGATCGCGAGGTGGCTTCGGCCGTGCTGAGGGCCGAGCCGACGTCCCATCTTTTGCCTTGATCGTCGTGTATGACGAGAGACTGCTTGTGGCCGAGGAACTGTACGTCGAGGTAAACCTCGATGTAGAGTGGAGGATGTTGGCCGGACATGGCGTCCATGTTCTTCCAATCAGCGAGCTGTCGTTGAAGCTCGTCGCTATCCGGAAGGACGACGTTGAACTGTTGAAATCAGCGCCGTTCTCTCTGAGAGGATGGGCAGACATGGGGGGAGCGTCGACGTACCCACTTGTTCTGCTTTTGGTCACCATTTCTATTATAGGCTGGCGGTAGTGATATCCGCGAGGATACTATTGTGAGGGCGGCTTTGGTGAAGAAGTTCTGGGGGACGGGTCAGCATAAAACGAGGCCAAGATGGTGAGGGCGAGTACCTGGATGACCTGGTTCACCTTGTGGTATTGTTTCTGGTCCGTCTCTGCCGAGGGGTCCCCGCGAGACAACATCTCACCGTCCGATTCGTCCACAGCGCGGTCACTATACGGGGGCGTGGTTGAGTAGGGTGACGAGTCCTGGGTGGTATGCCGTTGGTTGTTGGTTCGTGTGGGATTCGTCTGAAGGTTGTTGGCAGGGGAGGCTGTCCGCGGCGAAGGGCGCGAGTAGGCATGCATGGTGGCGGGCTCTTCCCGTGCAGGTGTGCAGCAGGCACGCAGGTACACAGGTACGTAGGTACAGCTGGTGCAGGCGTACAGAGAATGTGACAGGGCGCGGCCGCGGGGCGAGATTGAGGGGCGTGAGCAAGTCTAGGGCAGGTGGTGGTTATCGTTGTGGCGGGAACAGACGAGTACTCATGGTAGCCATCACGAGAGCGTCTGGGGGCCAAAAGCGGTCTCGCAGAAGACGGGTGCACGTGGGGAAAGGTCTCGAGGTGTGGCCGGGTAGGCTCAGGCAGCAGTCATGGCGTGGGTTGGTAGGCTGGTGTGTGCGTGGGTAGATGGGTAAGTGGGTGGGTGGTTAGGTGTTGATGGCGAGGGGTTGCGGTGCCTGGAGATGGCGGCGGAGAGAGATGGGGTGATAAGGTGGAGGTGGGTGGTAACAGAGTACCCAACTCCCGCGGCGATACGGAGCAAGATGAACTAGTAGGACTACTATATCTACAGAGAGGAGGCGGGATGACAACAGGATAGGGCGATACCAGGTAGGGGAGGGGGCACAATGGCAATAATGATGGCAAGAATGATGATGATGATGATGGTGGTGGTGGTGGTGGATAAGTGTGAAGGAGGGCCAGAAGGGTCGGGAGGGAGGTGTTGGTAGGGGCAGTCAAAGAAGGTTGAGACGCACGAGAGGGAAAGAGTCACGAGCGAGCGTCCGCTGACGTTTAGTCGAGGCGATGAACAGTCAACCCCGACCTAAGCTCCTTCAAAGACCAGGGCATGCGCACAACCATAGAGAGGAAGACTACCAGACAGACAGACAGACAGACAGAGGGAATAAAATGGCTGCCAGAAGATGCAGGTAGGGTGTGGTATCACATTGTACAGTACAGGATGCACAAGCCTATTGACTACTACACAACATGCCGACATTGTACCCAAGTTGCACATCATCGTCGGCCACGACTCTCCCCCAGCTCCAACAACGACGGCAGAACAGTAGTCTGGGGAAGCTGGGAAGCTATCCACCAACCCCAAGACAGCCAAGACAGCCAGTGACCCAAGACCGCTGCCCCCCAAAAAAAGCTGCGTGTCAGCGCGAAAGGCGTGCCAGCAGGGCTGCGACCTGGACTCTCTCTCTCTCTCTCTCTATCAACATGCCCCTCGAGACGCCGAAGCAAAGTGCTCTCACCGGTGTGTCACCGTCCGGTGCTGCAAGATCGCTGTGACTCCCCTCTCCCCCGCTCCAATCCCCCCCAAGTGGCTTTGCTCCTGTCGCCGACAAATGGCCAGCGAAGCGCTGACTGACATGACATTGCCAGCTTAGCTTGTGGGCGAGGATGCAGGTCAATGTGCTGTGGTAGTAGGTAGGTAGGTAACCGCACGTCTGCCTTGACGTGCACAAGGTATATGGTCTACCTCTACTCTACATGGTGGTCTGTCTGTACCTAGAGCTTGTACCGGTAGAGCTTGCGTACCCTGTTGCCTAGGCTTCCATGGTCCTGACCAGGCAGTGTGCGTTTTCTTCTTCTCGCCTCGTCAACTCAAGGCTGTGTACTCTAAAGGTACGGTAGATCCGATACTAGGTACCGGTACACGCTCAACAATCCATTCACATGGCAACGCGAGATGGATGCTCGTTTTGCTTCTGTCATTGTCCATGGATTTCATTCGCAAATGAAATGGCTAGTCCACACTCTAGAGTAGTAGGTTCCTACCTAGGTCCAAACTTGCTTGGACACACGCGTAGGTCTTCATCATCCCGTCCTGGTTCGTCCATCACCGATCCATCCATGGCTCCTTGAGCGACTAGGCAACGTTAACTGGTCTACACATCGGTAGATGCCTGACATGGGTAACATGGCATTGCCATTCTTTGACATCCACGTCATGCATGCCCTTTGCACCTGGCAAGAGGCCTTCAAAGCATAACATTGCCAACCGCCATTACTTTTATCCTTTCAACCCCCGCTCCTCCAGCAAATGGACAGCTCACCGCCAGTCCAAAAGAGTGTGGAGAAGAACGCGTGCGCTGTGCTCTACCATACACAATAGGGTCCGATGATCCCCGCCCAATCTACTGTTCTGGCGCCAGTCCATGCTGCTGCGAACCCACCAGTACTACCCATCTCTCCCTCTCCCTCCCTCTCCCTCCCTCTCCCTCTCTTCACACAGCGTTCGCAAAGACCGAGGTCATGCATAGTAGGCAACAAGCATATTGACTTCGTCTCTCCTGTCCTTGACCGTGCCTGTTCTCCAGACCTGTTGGGTGATGCAAACCATCGTGCAAGCAATGTCGACCTCTACCCATGGCTTGTGGACGAGAGACCTCCTTTCATTGGCTCATTTCCGATGAGACGGACCATCCACATCCCACAACGCGCCCGCCATCCCCATTCCAGACTCATATCCTCATGTCTGCGACGGCCGCCTGCAATGAATCCCTCTCCTATTGCACTATTCCAAAGCTCCAGTGAGCACTGTAGACGCTCCTCTGCCTCCTTCTACCCTGCGCGATAGATCTTGTAGCTGAACAACACTCCCGTCATCGCCTTGGTGGTTTCGTCATCGATGCGATACCTATCTACTCACTCCTAGGCATTATCGCCCCCCCACCAACGAATCGCTCAACTGCCACTCACCCTTGCCACAATCGAGAGGCTCGATTGTAGTCGCATAGACTCTACTCTATCAACAAACAGTCGCTCTCACGTTTGCCACATCAGCTCAGCCATCGATTGTGACGCGCCCTATCCCGCAATCACCCTTTTGCCACCTTGCACTTCTCGCCAACACACCTTCAATTGCCCACCCTCTCCCTGCCGAACTCGAACAACGCTTACTCTTTTGAAAGAAAAAGAGCCTTTGCCCGACCAATCGCGTCCGGCGCTCTCCCCCCTTGGAGTCTTCCTCAGCTTTACAACACGCACCTTTAAACACGCTTTGACCCTTCGAGGTTGAGGCCAGGTGCTCCTTGTAAAAGCTTCGGATTACTCCTCCACTCTATTGGCACATGAGCGGATATCTCTGGAAATATTACCTCGAAGATGATGTCGACAGTTTCCGACATGTCCTCACCAACACCACGCATACCGCTCGCGCGGCAACACACAAGGCCTCTGCTGGCTGGCAGGGAGGAGGACATGGCTCAGCAGTGAACGGCAGCCCGGGCAGTTACAATCCATCGCCCATGACCAGTGCGAAGAGTCGTAAAATGGGAATGGGGGCCGCTGGAAGCCTAAATCGCTCCGACATCAATAGTCGCGATGCAGCTGGTATGACGATACTGCATCATGCTGCTTCGTCGCTCGTGGAGAGTGCTGTCAATTTTGCTCAAGCCCTTCTTGAACACCCCTGGACAGATGTGTACATACAGGATGCTGAGAACGGTTGGACTGCGCTTCACCGAGCGTTTTATTTTGGCAACATCGCTATTGCTCGGCTGATATTGAATCGAGACTCCCAGGACATACTTGGCCACGGATCCATTGGTTTCAATCAACATGCACGAGGGCTGGTGAAGATCAAGGATAAGGAAGGCTATGGACCCTTGGATCTCTTCGCCATGACCATCAAAGACCGCACGTTGCGCCCAGAAGAAGCGCCCGTCTCAGATGCAGACTCGGACGATGAGATGGCTCATGGTGACAGTGGCGATGTAGACGAGGAGACGCGCAGACGACTGATTGTTCCGCCCGTCCTCTTAGGTGGCGATGAGGTGTTTACTTTTGGAAGCAACAAGAACGTCACTCTCGGCTTCGGCGATGAAGATGACCGTCAATATCCCGAGCGCATCACCATCAGGAGACCAGACCATCTCCTCCAGCGATTTTACCGAGAGCATCGTGAAAGGCAGAATCAATACTGGGCCGCGATGGGTTTGCCAGCTCCAGATCTGGGGCCTGCGCAGCCGAAAGGGACGGTTGAGCTTCCAACTCATGTTCGCAACACCCCCATAGTCATCCAGGATGTTCGCATGTCAAAACTACATACCGCAGTCCTCACCACTGATCCAGTCTCCAATTTATACATGTGTGGTCACGGACCCGGCGGTCGTCTAGGAACAGGAAGCGAGACGACAAGATACCAGTTTACCTGCATCGAAGGTGGCGGCTTAGGCCAGAAGAAAGTCGCTGCAGTCGCCCTAGGCCAGAATCACACGCTAGCGATCACCGAGGAAGGCGAGATTTACTCTTGGGGTAACAATGCATACGGGCAGCTTGGCTACACTTTGCCAAAGCCGACCTTGAAAGACGACGATCCAATCTCGACCATCCCTCGACAGATCTTCGGTCCTCTCAAGCGTGAGATTGTTGCTGGTGTCTCCGCATCGCGCATCCATTCGGTAGTACACACTACCACCTCTCTGTACACGTTTGGAAAAAATGAAGGGCAGCTGGGCATTGTTGACTCTGATGCTCGGTCGCTTGAGATGCAGACCATCCCTCGCAAGATAGCCGCTGCGCTCTTCTCCAGTCCTATTCATTCAGTTTCAGCCATCGATGGCGCTACTATATGTCTGCTCGAGAACCGCGAGGTTTGGGTATTTGCAAACTACGGCTATGCGAAGGTGAACTTTCCACTCGAAGGTTTTACGAGCAACTTCTTGAAAGAGAGCTGGTTGACCACCAAGTACGATACTGCACCCAACAAAGTCAAGAAGATCACATCCGGTGGAGACACTATTTGCGCGCTCACAACATCAGGTGAGATCTTCACGGTCGCCGTAAGCCGGCGCACAGAAGGCTCACAAGATACCACTACCTCGACTACCAATCCGAAGCAGATTCGTGGGGCTTTGTCCGTACCTTATCGCATATGGTCCTCCAATAAGAGCCATATGGCAGCAAGAGATGTCGATGTTGACCAAGACGGCTCTGTGATTTTGACAACAGAAGTCGGTAGTGTTTGGAGGAGAACGAAACGCGCGACTATCAAGAACGCCGCCACCGTCACTGCTGCGGAGGCTAGACCACATGACTTCAAGTTCCAGCGTGTATCGGGATTGACCCGTGTTACAGCTGTCAGGGCTTCGGCGTTCGGAGCCTATGCCGCCATACGAAAGGATTGCGACGTCACGAGGAATCAGATCGGTGTCGATGAGCCCAACCTGTGGGATGAAATCTCTCCACTGCTCTCCTTCTATGAGATGACCAACTATGAGGAAGACTCGGATGATGACGAACCGGAACCTAGGTTTTGGCGTAGGTCTGCAGATTCGCAGGGTCTTCGGAAGCGAGCCCTGAAGTCGAAAGACCTCGAGACAGAGATTGCCGAGATACTACAACGACCTACTGTGGCTACGGATCGAACCTATAACATGGAAGTGTGCACGACGACGTCGGAAGTGCGCATTCCTGTTCATGAACTGATCCTAGCCGGGCGAAGCAGAGTGTTCCGAGATGCACTTCTTGACTTCCGATTGCAAGGTACCAGCCATGTCATACCTGATCTATTAACCATCAGAAGCGATGGGGCACGAGTTCTGGTCCAGTTCCAGGGTCTGGACTTCCTTGCTATGTTCAACTTCGTCCTCTACCTATACACTGATTCGGTTGTGGATTTCTGGAATGTCACTCGACATTACCCCACCTTGGCGTATAGATATCGTACCATTCGCACGGAACTGATGAAGGTCGCCTCTCGTCTTGAATTGCGACAGCTTGAGCCCGCTGTACGCCAGATGGTCAATCCGCGAAGATCCCTTCACATGGACATGGAGCTCGCCATGAAAGATCAGTCCTTCTTTGAGAGTGGTGATGTCGTTGTCGACCTCGCTGATGGCGAAATGCTTTTGCATTCGGACTTAATATGTCAACGATGCCCATTCTTTGAAGGCTTGTTCAGAGGACGTGCAGGCGGGCAGTGGCTTGCTGGACGACGCACCGAAGATTCGGCCCTTGTTCATATCGACCTGACACATGTTGAGACACATCTTTTCAAATTGGTAGTCCGTCATCTGTACACCGACGCCGGCGAAGAGATCTTTGAAGACGTTACAAGTGAGGATCTCAATGATCTGCTTGCACTTGACGAGCTGCTGGATCATGTCATGGATGTCATGTCTGTTGCAAACGAGTTGATGCTCGATCGCCTTACGCAGATTTGTCAAAGACTAATCGGTCGATATGGTGAGGCAACCTCATATGTTTGAGTAAACACCTGCTAATATCGTATAGTCAATGCTCGCAATGTCTGCTCACTACTCACAGCAATTGCACCGAGTTCAGTCGCAGAGTTCAAGGATGCAGCACTGGAATACGTGTGCCTCAGCTTGGAGGCAGTCATGCAGAACGGGTATGGGATTTGCTTACGACCTATGGAGCGATAACCACTGACCATGCTTAGATCTCTTGATGAGCTTGACGATGATCTACTACTAGAGCTCAATCAGGTAGCCCGTGACAATCAGCTTGCCTACCTGCCATTCGCAAGAAGTGGACGTGCAGAAGCCATGCTCTTCGATCGTTATCCAGAACTCGTCGAGCGCATCGAGCGCAGCAAGCGTTCAAAGATCGATGCCATAGTCCTATCCAACAAATATGCTGATGGCGACAATGCTGCTGCATCTTTTAGAGCCCAAAGCTTAGAAGAGGTGGCGGCTTCGCCCTTGCGCCAACGCAATCGGAGGCGTGCGTCCAAGGAGGCCAAGAGCCCAGCCTTGACTCCTGCACTCAAGGGCAAGAACTCAGTTCAGGATCTCATGTTTGAGATGTCTGACGGAGATGAAGATGACGATGGTTCAACAGGCAAGAAGATTCAACCCCTGCGGTTCGCAGAGGAGGATGCCGGAATGAAGTCTGCAACTTCACTAACTAGCTCTCCAAAAGGGCCATGGGCTGCAATTCGAAGGCAGAACCAACTTTCACCCGACAGCTTTGATCTTGGAGCAGATGTTCCAGTCAAATCGTTGAGCCCTCTGCCTCCACCTGTAATGCAACCTGTAAGAACGCCTGGTCGACCTTGGGGTGCGGCGCCTCTTGTGGCTGCGAAACTGGATCTCAAGGATATCATGGCCCAGGACTCATCCGCTACACCTTCAAATCTGAGTCTTGGCCTATCTCGAAGAGAAAATGAACGCATTGCAAAAGCAGCTAGCGTCAAAATGTCACAGAAAGAGCGGAAGCGGCTTCAGCAAGCTCAACAACTGGGTACGCCGGCTGAAAAGCCGACGCCAACACCACCTGCTGTATCGCCATGGCAGGTCACAGCTCGGAAGCCAAGTAACAGGCCCATTGTTCTTCCAATCGCACAAGCATCGCCCATACCAGCACCTGCGCCATCGCGAACATTTAGCACGCCGCAGCTCACGATGCGGCAAACTGTCGCCAACAAGAACACATCCAGACAGAAAGACAAGCGCGCTGCCTCTTCGACTGGTCAAAGCGGTGCTCCGTCTTCACCAGCCCGGCCCGCCGCAAACGAGAGGGGAATGTCGGTGTCAACCGACCCGATCCCAGCACCAAGGTCTGTCCGTCACATCCCACTTCCACAGCACGATCCGACATCGCCCAGCCAGAACCTCAGCATGATGGAGATTCTCTCCCTCCAAGCCGCAGAGAAGGTCTCGATCCGCGATGCGGCAGCCAAGCGCAGTCTACAGGAAATTCAGCAAGAACAGGAGTTTCAGGCGTGGTGGGATCAGGAGAGTCGGCGTGCCATGGAAGAAGAGGCGCAAGCTAAGCGTGCGGCAGAACGCGCTGCCAAGGCTTCAGGCCGTGGGAAGGCAAAATCAAGAGAGGGTGGCCGAGGTGGTAAGGCTGAGGGCAGGGGCACAGTCGAAGACAAAGATGGCGGCAAGGGCAGTGGGAATGTGGGTGCGGATAAACATCAGGCTAGGGCTGCGCCAAGACAAGAGGGCGGTGAGCGAGCTGATAAGCGAGATGGTGATCGAGCGCGAGGTGGTAGAGGCAGGATCGGTCGTGGTGGGCGTGGTGGTGGTACACGAGCTGCAAGACCACAAGGGCAGCAGCAGGGAGAAGCTGGACCGGCCGCAGCACCACCAGTCCAACGCCAAACGTCTGCCGCTGTGTAGAGAATGGGGTTTCAATACATATTGTATATATCAGACAAGAGCGTTGAAACGTCCATAATGTTGTCAACAACACAACACAACGCCTTTGAACCTTGAATACCCTTTAAACCCTCCTCTCCTGCTGCCCTGTCTGTCTTGGGACTCGATGCCAGATGTGAAAACAACGAGGTATGGCTAGTTGAATAACGACAAGTACATTGATTATGATGAGTCAATGTACTTTTCGCTCCAGACACTAACTTTCTCTGATGTCGTGTGCTTGGTACAACTAAAGTCTACAATGGAGTTCACTACATAACTCGAACCAACTAAACCTAAACATAGCATGAACGACACCTTCACCATGATCCCACCCACTCGTCTAATTCAGTATACTGCCCCTCCCTTTTCTCCCACATCCCCATCCCCATACCCAATCCACACCCCACGCCCCAACCCACACCACCCCTCCACCCAACAAGCCGCCCAAACCAGCCCATGGCGCCACTACCCTGCCATCCCAATGCCCCTTTAAACCCGGGACTGCAGACGCAAGGCCAAGGCCAAACAAACCGCTCGATAGAGCCAGCGCGAGAAAGAGGTGCAGAGCACCGGAGGCGAGGCAGATGCGTGTGAGGCGGTGGGTTGTGGTGCTGAGGGTGAGGAGGGAGGGGAGGAGGTGGGGGGTTATGAGGGGGTGGGGGAGGGTAATGTCTGGTTGTGGTGGGGGTGGGATTGGGGTTGTGAGGATGGGTGTGGTTGGGGGGGATGTGGACGGTGGGGGCTTCTTGTGCAGTGTCAGGGCGACGGTGGGGAGGTCGGGGGTTTGCATGTCGGCGTCTGCGTTGGTGCATACGAGGAGCACGACGCTGCCCTTTCGTTGTTGCAGCTTCTCGAGGTAATGTGTCTGTTGTGCGGAATCGATTGTGTGGACGGCTATGCCTCGATTGAGCAGGGTGGAGGCGAGGGATGGGGGAGGGTAGATGGGTTTGGGTTTCATGGGTGAGGAGCTGAGATTGTCCATTTCTGTGTCGATTTGGAAGACGACGTCGGTGACAAGGCGTGTGGATTCGAGGGCGCGGGGGTTGCGAATGGTGATGCCGTGGCGGGCTGCGATGCCACGTGCAACGAGGAAGATTGTGGGTACGGTTAGACGGATGGCGCATGGGGAAGTGATGACGAGGGTTGGGATAGCGTAGGAAGATGCTGTTGCTACTGCTTTTTCCCACGACTGCCTGTCATATCTCTGCACGAAGAGCCAGACGAGAAATGTGGCCAGACTGACTGTGACAATGGCAGGGACCAGCCACACAGCTATGCGGTCTGTGATGACCTGGATCCTCGGTTTGACAAGCTCCCTGTCTTCGAGCTTTGTTGCAATCCTGTGTATTGTATTCTCATGTGGAAGAGCGGTCACTTCGACAATGAGCGTTCCAGAACCGTTTGTGGTGCCTGCATACACCACAGATTGAACGCCTTTGGCAACGGGTATAGACCCGCCCGTGACTCTGGACTCGTCGACTTCTGAGCCGCCGCAGATGACTATGCCGTCTGTGACGACTTTGGAATGCGGTGAGACTTTGAATCGATCACCGTGCTGGAGCAGTCGAGCATCTATTCTCATGGTCTTTGGATCAGGATCCATGGGTGCATTTGGATCTGATTTGACGACAAGCGCCTCGTCAGTCTGAAGAGAGCGGAAAGACACAGACTCTACCGTTTGGTAGCGGGCGATTTCGTTGACCACACGGCCCAAGAGCACAAAAGTTACCAACAGTGTCGACGTCTGGAAGGGTGAGATCGTGTCCAATTCTTTTCTTTTCAGTCGGTAGACGTACGATACGACGCTGAGACTATATGCCATTGATGTACCCAACGCGATCAACATGTCCTCGTGAAGCCAGTGAGCGTGATACAACATTCGTGCAGTAGTTGGGACAAACTCGTACATGGCGACACATTGCACTGCGGTAGCCAGCCCCAAGGAGATATGTGTGTACGTGGATTTCCCCGGCTTCAGAGGTGCCCAGGCAAATGCAAGAATGGGCACAGTGAGCGCTACTGCTAATAGAAAGCTACAAAGCGTTATTTGTACAAGCCTAGCACTCAAAATAGTGCTCTTGGACGGAGGAGCCAGTCTAAGCGATGGATCGAATCTCCGATAGTAATCAAAAAGGTCCCGGGCTCCCACTGTAGTCGCATCATAGTGTATCTGGACCAACTGAGAGAAGTATGCCGTTGGGGTCTCTGCCTTGAGCGATTTCTTGTCGTTGCCAGAATCTATTATGGTGATCTGTGATCTCAGCCTCGTGGTTCTCGCTCTCGGAGGTGGTGTTACAGAGGGCACTGTGTTGTCATGACCGTTCAAGAATTGCCATGATGAAGATGTTTGGTTCTCCGATGACTCGAGATGGATGACACCATAAGGTTTGCGGGCTTCTTGAATTCTCTCCAAATTGCCGGTAACCAAGTCCAGTGTCTGTCCCGTCCATGGGATTTGCCGGACGAAAGTGTATCCAGTCTTGTTGTTCAGTTGCCTGATGACATTGGAAACGGGTGGTTGATTGGTTTCCAAATCCAAATCAAGCTGTGCAGTGACCAGGTTCAGTTGGTGTTTCTTGACGGAGCAGATCCGGCTCGCAGCTCTGGTGACACTCGTTCCACAACACCCCGACTTGAGACCATTGACTCGGAGAACAACGCGCTCGATGTGTGGAGGACCGTGTTCGAGATCGGCGGAATCGCTCCAGACAGTAATGCTAGAAGAACTGTTATCAATAGATGTCATGTCGATACGCAGCTTTTAACAATGATAATCGTGTCCCTTGTGAGATGAGCCAGCATCAGTGTCAACAGGTTACAGTTTGGAGCGAATGCTCCTTCGATTCAAACTTGCTCCTTCTATGAATCCCTATCATTAATCTGCCATTGTTCGCTACTGACTGACTTGGGAGCCAAGGTGGGTATAATGGCATGGGCATTGTACTCATGCACTGCTGTATGCAGGAAGTAGTACAATGGTGCGTATCAACACGTATATCATGCATGATTCCAAGCTACAGCATCTGTGCAGTCACTAGGAGGTGAGATGTCACAACTATGTGGTGGAGCTCCTTGCTAATCCAGAGCTGTCTTGATGTGCAGGACAACACACCGACGACAAGCCAGACACAATCACGTGATGGCGCGACAGGGCTTACCTACCCACCTTAGACCTTAGGCCTGCCGGTACAACACGCGCCTGCTGCCAGCTGCGACCTTCGGAAGATACAATGTAATATGGAAAACATGGAACTCCGACAAAACTGTCCAATTTAGAGAGATTTTCAAGACTATGTTGTCTGTTGTGACAACGAGTACAGTGCCCAGCTCATCTCGACCTATTTCGAACAAGCTGCGGGCCGTGCCCAGCTTTCCCGCGCTGCGTCATCGCTGCTTTGCGCTTGGTGGCGCCCCTTCACCAGGCAGACTTCAGTCTCCGTTTCGCGCAACGCTCCAACTTTCCCTCAATCTAAGTTCGCAATGGTCCAAGACGAACACGGAGCATGATGCAAATCGTTATGTTCTTTTCCTTGAATAGTCCCCGTAGCCTATATCTCTACTGCTAGACCCCAGCCTCACGCGACAACGCCGAGTCGGTAGGCAATCATGGCTCGTCCACGCGGAAAACTGCACAGAGCGACAGAACCAGTTACCCCGAGGCGGTCTGCGCGTAAAACCAGAAGCTCTCAACAGGATGAGGCCATACCAGACATTTTCCAGGACATGCTGCATGAAGCCCATGTAGCCGAGGCAGACGAGGATGATCGGCCTCGCAAGAAAAGGCGCACTGCGCTCTCTCGGAAATCTCAGAGCCCAGTTGCTAAAGCTGGCCCTGTTCAGACGCCGATCCGGGATCCTGTCCCGCCTTCACCTTCACGTCCTGTAATCACGGCTGCCACGCCATCCCAGAGCCGAACGGCTGCCGAACCCATTGCTGAAAGTGAAGGCCCTACAAATGTACGCATGCGTCAGACAATCGAGGACTCTGACGAGTCAGATGAGGACAGTGATATGGAATGGGAGAATGCCTTGGAAGACGTAGATGATAGCGATGATGCGGGCGAGGGCAAAGAGGCAGCGTCTAAGATTGGAGATATCAATATTGCGATTGGAGGCAAGAAAGCTGCAGACACAACAGTCCAGAGAAAGGTTCGTCGAAGAGCCATCACCTCGGTCGACAAGAAGCGCCGTTTAGACATTCACAAAATGCACATTATGTGTTTACTCTACCATGTCCACCGTAGGAACACGTGGTGCAATGACAGAAGGGTACAGAGCACCTTGCGAAAGATTGTATCACCTTCGATACTGGCAGATCTTGTACCCAATCCCGATCTCACGCAATATTCAGCATCCAGGCGGTTTGTGGACGGGATGAATGAGCTCAAATTGCTCTGGACAAAGCGATTCAAAATCACCGCGCGAGGCATGTACAAACCACGATGGGCAGATGCAGAAGCCGACGTCCGACCCTTCTCTGATTTTGACGAACTGGACGATCCAATGGACAAGGACGACTTTCGAATTGCAGCATTCACATTGCGAGGCTCGCAAGATGTCGGAACGCAATTGTTCTGTGCCCTGCTTCGTGGTATTGGTATCGAAGTGCGCCTTGTTTGCTCACTGCAACCCCTTCCCTTTGCCTCCGCTGCCGAACGCACCACACCACAGAAAGCCTCTCCCAAGAATACAATAACCATTGATCCCTACAACAAGCCCTCACAAACCACTCCTACAAGACCAAAAGGCAAGAAACTCTCTCGTATGGAGCGCGTGATGGGTGAACGCCACGCCGTACTCCACAGCACCGGTGTAGCGCCAAAAAAGCAGAAAGCATTTCACGCCCCATATCCTGTCTACTGGGTCGAAGCCTTCAATCATGCGCACCAGAAATGGGTTCCCATTGACACACACTCAACTTTTACCGTCAACGCCCCCGAAAAACTCGAGCCTCCTCTCGCCTACACGCAAAACAGTCTCTCCTATGCCATCGCCTTTGACGAAGATCACACCGCCAAAGATGTGACTCGTCGTTATGCCAAAGCATACAGTGCCAAGACACGAAAGTTTCGTGTCGAATCCACGCCCGGTGGCGAGAAATGGTGGAAGCGTGTAATGAAGTTCTTTGAGCGCTCCACAATACTTGATAGAGATCAAATCGAAGACGCATTGCTTGCGCGTAAAGTAGCTGCGGAAGGAATACCAAAGAATGTGCAAGACTTCAAAGGGCACCCAGTTTATGTGCTCGAACGACATCTGAAGCACAACGAGGTCATATATCCTCTGGAACCGGTGGGCAAGGTCAATTGTGGCACAAGCATGAATCCGAAAATGGAACCCATCTACCGCCGCTCAAACGTTCATGTCGTGCGCTCAGCAGATAAATGGTATCGCATGGGCCGGGATGTCAAAGGCGGGGAACAGCCTCTCAAACACGCAAAGCCTAAGAAGAATCGGCGCGTCTCCCTCGGACCTGATGCAGACGTTGACGAAGAGGTTGATGAAGCAGGGGCGGGTCTGTACGCAGAGTTCCAGACTGAACTGTATATCCCACCTCCAGTAGTCAAAGGCCGTGTACCACGCAACGCATACGGTAATCTGGATCTATATGTCCCATCAATGTGTCCAGCAGGCGGCACCCACATCCGTCACAAACTTGCCTCGAAGGCTGCGCGCATCTTAGGTATCGACTCGGCGGACGCAGTAACAGGTTTCTCCTTCAAAGGTCGCCATGGCACCGCCATCATCCAAGGCGTGGTCGTGGCAACAGAATACGCAGATGCAGTCACCGCTGTTATCGAAGGTATGGAGTACGCGGTCGAGGAAGCAGAGGCCGCGGCGAAGAGAGCAGAGAGCCTGAGGCTGTGGAGAAGGTTTTTCTTGGGATTGAGAATTGCGCAGAGGGTTAATGATATTGTGATTGATGGGGAGAGGGGTCCGCGGTTAGATGTGCAGGATGAGATTGCAAAGGAGGATCGGAAGCTTGCTGCACAGGATATGGCTGGCGGGTTCTTTCCTGATGAGGGGGATGCTGGGGGCATAGAAGGGGAAGGGTATGAACCGCCAACTAGGAATTATGAAGGTGGTGGTGGATTCATGCATGATGATGCCAATGAAGGTGGAGGGTTCGTGCCAAATCAAGGCCCAGATGATGTGGCAGGTGGCGGATTTGTACCAGAGACTCTAGAGCAGCGTACGGCCCCTGGCATGAGCCGCGAGTTCAGCTTCGAGTCTGCGATTCTGGACTCTCAGGCACTACGGCCGCGACGACGGAGTAGCTTTGGCAAATCTTACTCCTCGGACGAGGATGGTGAGGGTGGGGGTTTCTTACCTGGAGACTACGTCCTCGATGATGACGATCTGGCGGATCATCCAGGTTGTACCGATCAAACAGATGGTGCCGTCGATGATGATGGAGGCTTCGTACCGAAAGATCTGTCAGACAAGGACGTCGACCAGGTTGACGGCCAGGATGAAGCTCCGCCGAGTCCCCAACCCGCTGTGAAAGAAGACGACGTCAAACCAGAAGATGGTGCAATAACCAGCAAATCACCCACACCCACTTCTTCAGCGTCAGAAACCGGATCCCTCCCCCTTGAAGATCCGGAAGACGAAGACGCAGATCCCGACTGGTTAGTTGATGCCACGTGATTGAGCACATAGCTATTGTATAAGAAGACTATTTATTTTCGAGTCAACTTTGCCTACTTGTTACCCTCCAATAAGTCATCCAACCCCCCAATTTGCCCCTCATAAGGCCCCAAATCGTACTCCTTGGGATACCTCTTCAAGATATCCCTGAGCTCTCCCACATGCCTACGCTGCTCCTGTGACAAGTCCTTCCAGACGCCCTCAAACACATACCTCAGACTGGGCTTCTGCAGTTTTTCCGCCTCCTCAAAGGCCCTGAGGACTTCTTTCCTCGTGGCGGCCCTCAGGCTCTGTTCCTCGTCCTCGGACCACAGATTGCGCGATTCAAGCCACTTGCGCAAGCGGGTGAGTGGGTTGTCGCGGCGTTTCCAGTCCTCCACCTCGACGCGCTGGCGGTAGGCAAAGGAGTCGTCGGAGGTGGAGTGGTGTCCTACGCGATAAGCCATCATCTCGATCAATACGGGACGGCCGCCGTCCTCGAGGGCAAGACGGCGGGCTTCCTTTGTGGCGCGGCGTACGGCGAAGATGTCGTTGCCGTCTACACGGAGGGTGGCGATTCCATAGCCGGCGCCGCGACTTGCGATTCCATCACCGCGGTATTGGTCGGATGTTGGTGTCGAAATGGCATATCCGTTGTTTCTGCAGATGAAGATACAGGGCACCTGTCTCGTCGCGGCAATGTTCAGTGCTCCGTGGAAATCCCCCTCGCTCGCTGCTCCTTCTCCGAAGAAACAGACCGCCACTCTCTTCTCCGCGTTCGGGTTTTGCAAGTTCTGCATCTTGAGCGCATATGCGGCGCCGGCGGCATGGGGGATTTGTGTAGCGAGGGTGGAGGATATGGTGTGGATGTTTAGTTCTTTGGAGCCGTAGTGGATGGGCATGTTGCGGCCTAGGCCAGTGTCACCCGCGTTTGCGAAGAGCTGGTTCATGAAGGAAGGCAGTGTGAATCCGCGCTGTAGGTAGACGCCTGTTTCACGGTATTGGCAGAAGATTACGTCGGCGGGGGAGAGGGCGCTGGCGGTGCCGATTGCGATGCCTTCTTCGCCGGCAGAGACCTATGACAAGCAAGTTCAGTCGATGTACGTACGAATGGAGGGTGATGGATAGAAGGTGTGCATACCATGTAGAAGCTTAATCGGCCCTGTCTCTGGGCTTCGAACATGAGGAGGTCCATTATGCTCACTGTTGTTTGTTTAGATGCCATTTGAGCAGACTCATGGAGATAGAGAGACTGACATTTGACCATGTTCTTGTATAAATCTAGAGCTTCTTCATCCGTCGTCTCTACACCAACATCTTTGTCTATTATATCACCATACTGGTTCATTACACGGTAGGTTGATATGGCCTTGAGTTGCGACGGTTGTATGAAGTCCATTGTACTGGTAAACTCGCTGTTCAACGCTCCAGGAAACAAGACCCTACACATGGACAGATTAGCTCAGACAATGCAGACGAGAAAGACTCTCTGAAGCACAACAACCCACTTCTCAGCATTCGCAGTCGAAGCAACTGCCCGACAGCTCTGCCACACGGGCGCCTTGCTTGCTGTCCTGGATGCACGGAGACATGTTTGCGCACCCACTGCCCTCCGCAGCAGCAGCAGTCTTCTCGGAGTGTTGCAAAGGGACATTGTGTGTTTAAGGATTGATCTACATTGTCCAGGAACCACGTCTGCCGTCTTATTTGTTCAGAATCCGGGGCAGCGAACCTCTGGAGTTTCGGTAGTCGGCTTGCTTCGGCTTGAGTCGTGACATGCCGCATGGACGGGATGGGGAAGGGAAACGCCAGGGAAACGACGCTAGGGTGACCTCCGCGGGCAGCTGGCTAGGCTAGGCTAGGCTAGGGTCACCAGCCACTACTTAGCCAGAGTTGTCAGGGTTGTGGCGCGTGCCTAGTGATGCGCGCTTTCATCAAAAGTCATGCCAAGCGACAATCATTAGACGACGACGACTACATTCTTCGCACACACTCGCATACACACACAACATGCAAACTTCACAATCAAGAATAGGGAGGCAATTGCTGGTGGGACTAAGGAGAGGGAACACAGGCGGTCATCGCTGTTTTTCATGTACGGCGAGACAGGCACAGCAGCAGACACCACCCCCGAAGAATCAGCAGGATGCGCCGTCGACGACACATTTTGGCTTCCAGACGATAGCCGAGGCGATTAAAGAGCAAAAAGGTACAAACTTGTCCCAATTGACCCCGTCCTCATACTACAGACACTAATCGGGTTGTGGAAACAGTTGGCGCAGTCTTCTCCTCGGTTGCCACCTCGTACGACTCCATGAACGACTTCATGTCTCTGGGCATCCACCGCCTCTGGAAAGACCACTTTGTCCGAAATCTCAACCCGGGCCGCAATCCACTCACCACTCCCTCATCTGCCGACTCTCCCCAAGGCTGGAACATACTTGACATCGCCGGCGGCACGGGCGACATCGCCTTTCGCATGCTCGACCATGCCTCGAGCATCAACAACGATGCCCACACCACCGTCACCGTCGCAGACATCAACCCCGACATGCTTGCCGAGGGCAAGAAACGATCTCTACACACGCCCTACGCGCGCTCCCCACGCCTGAAATTCGTCCAAGCCAACGCCGAAAACTTGGACATGATACCCTCTTCCAGCATTGACCTCTACACCGTTGCCTTTGGTATCCGCAACTTTACACACAAGGAAGTCGCTCTGAAGGAAGCGTACCGCGTCTTGAAACCTGGCGGCGTCTTCGCATGCCTCGAATTCAGCAAAGTCAACAACCCGCTCTTTGACGCCGTATACCAGCGCTGGAGTTTCGGGGCGATTCCCCTGATTGGTCAGGTTGTGGCGGGGGATCGTGACAGTTATCAGTATCTTGTGGAGAGCATTGCGAGATTTCCGAGCCAGGAGGAGTTCAGTGGCATGATTCGAGATGCGGGGTTCTTGGTGCCAGGAAAGGGGTGGGAGGACTTGACAATGGGTATTGCGGCAATACACAAGGGTGTCAAACCGTTAAGGTAGTTGGGACGTGCATATCTTGTAGTCTGAAGAAGACCGTGGTATATTCATTATTTCTCTTTTTCTATATGTGCCATTACTTTTATTGGCGTCCTGTAATATAAATGGCTACAAGACAAATCATTAGTGCACAGGTGGAGTTATTTGAACGACCATCAAAGAGGATGCATCTTCTTTACATGATGACCTCATTGGCGACATCCTATCAATTGGGTTAGCATGGCATGCGTGGACATTGAGAGAATTAACTTACCCTCTTCAACTCCTTATAGGGCAAACAGACACAGTTTTGCACGCGCACCTCATCGGCGACTGCGCAGTCTTTGCCGAGAATGGTAATGCTCTGTACCTTGACACCGTTCTTGATAACGCTGGTGCTATGGCTGGTGACTGGAGTGGGCGTGCCCTCGACACGCGCCCATGCACCGATCTTGCTGTGCCAGCCAACTATAGTGTAGAGCACACAGGCATCGTGCTTGATTTCAGAGTCTTCCAGAACAATGGACTCCTTGACACGAACACCAGCTCCAATGACCACACGGGGCCCGATGGACACGTTAGGACCAATCTTGGCAGTGGGATCAATGTGCGCAGAAGGGTGGATGTAAACAGGTGGGATGATGTTCGCAGAGGGTTTTGCGAGCTCTTCGGAGCCAGCTTGGAAAGCCTTCAGCAAATACAAGGCGTTGGCAGGTACGGCTGAGCCAGCAGTCTTGATCTGGCGCCAGAAGTCTTTGGATTCAAGAACGAAGAACTGTCTGCTGTCTGCAATGTCGGAGAGGACGTCCTGTTCCAGACGAATGACGGCGTTCTCCTTGTTGTCGTCATCGTCGTCGGCCTGGTAGAAGGAAGATTCGAGGTTCTCGGAGGAAGGGTAGGACAGCAGCCGTGGGCGCTCAGTGCGTCGCTTGATGGCACTGCGAATGGCGGGGAAGATGCACTCTGTGTTGAAGAGGTAGACTCCGCAGTTGATGAGGTTGGAGATTTGCGACTCCGGCTTCTCGACGTAGTGGAGGACGCGCTTGGTGTGGGCATCGGAGACGATGCATCCAAAGTTGGAGGCTGACTCGTTGGCGACCCTCGTGCCTAGCATGACGGCCTCTGCATCTTTGTCGTTGTACAGCTTGAGCATCTCCTCAAGCGGGAAGGAAGAACAGACATCGGCGTTCAAGACGAACAGCTTCTCTGGCTTGCCCTTCAATATGACATCGCGGAAATGGTATAGACCTCCGGCCGTGCCCAGGGCCTGGTATTCTCGCAGGTACTTGACGGTCAACTGAGGGAAGTTGGTGGAGACGGTGTTGATGAAGGGCTGGAAGACAGACTCCTCGTAGTAGCCGACGATGAAGACCTCCTTGATCTCGGCAACACCGGTAATGGCGCGGAAGCAGTGCTCGATAATGGGGTGGCCGGCGACAGGGAAGAGTGGCTGTGTAGCGATGGCGGTTTAGCGGGGCACAAAAGTTGATACAAGCAATAACTTATGGCTCACCTTGGGCAATTCCATGGAGAGAGGCCTGAACCGTGTTCCTCTGGAGGGGCCGCCGACCTGGTGCGTATTAGCATCTTGATCGTAGATACATGCTTGGTGGGAATGTCCTGTACCAAAATAACGGCCTTGGTAGAACCGCCAGATGCAGACTTGGGCCTGACGGCGAGTGAGGGTGGTTGCAGACTCATTCTGCTGTCTATCTGTCTGTCTTGTGGATTGTTTGTATTTCCAAGGTGTGCTGTGGGTGAAGGAGGCGTTTGGAAGAGTGCGCTGAAGAGGGCAGGAAATGAAAGGGAAAGGCAGTTGGGAGCTTGTGGGCACAATTGCACTTAACTTACCTACTTGTCCCTTTCCCCTTGGTTGATGGCCGAACTGAACTAGACCCTTGCCCTGCTTCCTCGTCCCCCCACGTTGGGCGGTGAGCCGCACGGACATTCGTCGTCATGTGCATCCACAAACCTCAGACGTCCTCCCTTTCTGTCATACCTCGCCCTCGCCATCTATCCTGATTGAATGTCCAACAGCATTCGACAAAGACATGACACGGTGATAAAAGCAAATGCCAGAGTCATCTTCCAAGGTCTGCCGAGACTGGATCATGCTCAACTACCTACCCTACAGAGCTCTCTCCTGTTCCACCAAAGGGAAACACACGTCTCACTGCCGCACCATTCAACCCCAAAGCGACTTCGTGAATTATGAACATGAATGAACTCCGCTATTCATACTAGCACGATTTGGAAATTCCAGGTCCTCATAAATACCATGTCACCAGTACGCCAGCGCAGGCTTTCACCCAATTTCGCAGCCAGTCACTGTACGTTGTACATCATGTGTGCGCAGTGTAATTGCCTACCGTACAATCATAATGGCCAGACCAGTCATGTGACACCTTCATGGACTTCTGATGAATTGCTTTCATGCCTACTCATATCTGCGGGAACACTCCCGAAGCTGACTTGGCCCAACATTTGCCTACGCTTTCAGCAAATCACACTGTGTAGACTACCCATCACAGTCCGGGATCCATCAACATATTCCATCGGGGCATTCAAGTTTTGCAGACCTTATCTGGCTGCCATCTATCATGTCCTCTCAACGTTCCCAAGCCATCACTCTCCGCGTTTGGTGCCCATCTCTAAATCCGATACGAGCCATGAATCAAGGGCTACTGATGCGTATAAACAAATTCGCTGGGAACGAGCAATGTATCCGTACAATCAAGCTTCTCTTCAAGATCCCGTTGGCCTTCGTCCACGATAAGCAAGGCCATTTCATAGATGACTTCAGTCTCCTCGATGACAATGACATGGTTGTCGTCACGACAGGCTACTTTGAGTCACCTATCAATATGTGGACAAGGGAGTTGCAACAGGGCCCTCAGACGGATGCGTGGATGGTAAGCGTGTTACGCCTCTTCCTTGCAATACATGACTACTGACAGCTTATCAGGCACTCACACGTCCTCAGCGACGCGCCTACATGCAGAACCTACCTTGTAGATGCTGTAAGGGTAATCACACAAAGACGACCCTTACTCTTCCTATCCATGTCATCCGCTCCTCCATATCCGAGATCCTCGCTTCAGGACTCTCCATCTTGAGCCCTATGCCTGCTTCCACCGCCGAAGCTACTCATGCTAGGGTGATCGAGGAATCCTGGGGTCAGACTATCAACGATTTCATGGGAACCATAGGGCTCATGAGACCAGAGGTTGCAATGAAGTCCTGGCACCCAGCCTTGATGGCGACTCTAGCATTATTAGCCGATGCGACTACAGGGCAAGTCCAAACGGTTCAGGAGGCGACTATGCGCGTCATTGGGCGTAGGAGTCGGGCGTCAGGAAGCATAGTTGTGAGTACAACAGATTTACGTAGAGTCATTGAAGAGATTACGAAGGGCGAGGTGTATTTCGAAGATGATGAGGAGAAAGAAGAGCAGCGCAGAAACACTGGGGATGTTAGAGATGGGTATGACGAGTATGGCCATCTTGATTTGTCTGATTTTGACTGGTGCGGTATTTGAGATACATGATCATCGAAAAGTCAATGCTCACGGCTCGCGAGATTGTAAATGGACATGTGCACTCTTGAAAGCTCTGTAACATCGCAGTAACTACCATCAGCGCAGCAAAGTATCGCATATCGATAGTAAATTAGTACTTTCAAGTATTGCGAAGCGTAGAGAAGCTTTCACACCTTAAGATCGTAGACTGCGTTTGCCAACTTTGTGATGGACCCGTTCTGTCACTCGCGCGTTTGATTGCCCTGCAAAATATTGACATACACATGCTTTCGGCAAAGCCATCACAGCTCAGTGAAAGAAGGTGAACGCGACCGACTACGCCATCACGCTCCCACCGGGGCACCTGAGTCATCAAAACCATCTCGCTATTTAATCTCTGTTTCACCCTCTCATTCTCACTCTGCGCCATCCCGCCACACTGCTGCACTCACCCGCTCACCGAGCACAATCACCCCAGCCCCCGAAGAGACTTGTCTCGAGTTTCTACACATCTCTGCGCCACACACACCACCCGGCAGCAAAGATGACCAAAACAGCGAAAACTATATCCCTTTACGCGCCCAGCACCAAGCTCAACGTCCCTGATCTTGTCGTCTCACCGTATCAAACTTTCGAACAGGTCTTGCAGGGCGTACGTCTTGCAGTGAATAGCAAACATGCCGCCTTGTATACCATCGATGCCAAGCCTATTGTAAGTGTTGAGACGCTGAAAGATGACCAGCGCGTGCTTGTTGCGGTGGCAAAGAGCGAGATTATGTTGCCGGACGCGCCGGTTGGGTTCATTGTGTATTGCGGTGAGGAGAGGGATGATGTTGGTGTTGAGGTTGAAGGAGGATGGGGAGAGTGGGATGTGAGTCTATTCTTTGTCTCCTTTCTAACTCTATCGATATCGATGCCGTGAAGAAGGAGCCGGCGAAGGAAGCCAAATTGGGAGAATTTAACAGGTATACAAATAGGATCTCACCGACCGCGAAAAATGCGAACACATCACCAGCCTCAACGCAATGAAGCCAACGACGAGAAACAAACTACGCATCACACGCTCTTATCAATCCGTAGCTGCCGATCTTGCTGTTATCGAAGAGGCCATTCATTCAGGAAACCCAGACGCCGCAGCCCTGTCGGACGCAGAAGCCAACATTGAGAATCGCTGGAATGTCACGTATGACCACTTCATCCCCCCCGCACACTGCCCTCCACGCCTCAAGACCAACGGTACAGTCTGGTGTCCACCTGTTCTAGCCGGGCTCGATGTGCTCAGCAGCTTCACACAAGGACAGGCACGCTTGGCAGCAGAGTTCCTGGAAGAAGCGGTGAAGAGGCGGGTTGATGAGGGTGAGGACACGGATGTGGTGGTCAAGTACGAGGATGTGAGGGATGCTGTTGCACTTGTGTATGAGAGGGCGGATGTTATACCTATGAAGTTGAGGAAGAAGGCGGGGAAGAAGGGCGGGGGGAAGGAGCGCAGGAAGGCGGCGAGGGGTAAAGGGAAGAAAATTGGCGGTTGATCGGGTAAAGTGGAATCTCTGGTTGATGTGTGTTGAGAATCGAGAGATGTAGTACTAGGAGTGCTAGATACTATCCTGGTGGCTACGATGTTTTCAAGGTTGTCATGGTGTACATCACGAACAACAGCTTGGGGTCTCCTCGATCACTGGTTTCAGTCTATACACCCACCAGATGGAAAATGAAATTAAAAGTAATCACCACATTCCCCACCTATTTCTAGCCCTTGTCCATTACGCCAGCCCGCTGAGTCAAGCTTCCTTTCCCAGTCACGACCTTTTGAATGGACTGGTTGTACTGTTCTCTTTTTGAGGTCAAGAGATGCCCACATCTAGTAATCAACTGTCGGCACCGATATTATATCCAGAACCCACATCGAACCACAATGTACGCAACAAGATAAGGGCCGCTAACGTCGACGAACTGATCCTTCAAATCCGCTTGCGCCAATTACTATCCCGATGCCATTCTGGGAGCGACCATCATCGAGACCACCAGAAGATGTCTTCGACACCCTTTTCATGCCGCGACTCTGAGTCCTGTACCAGCAGATCCATGACACCCAGCAGAAGATCACATCGTAGCCGACACTGCTGACAGCCGGGTGTTCCGACAGAGCATACCAGACGCCCACCATGCCGCTATAGGCGTACGCAGTTGCGGTCGTCCATGCCAACATCAGACATGCATTACCCAGAACCAAGGCCCACATGTAGTTGTAGACCTTATCCGTAAAGTCGAAATCCTCGTTAAAGTACCTGGCTGGGACAACAGCACGTACAGTGGGCAGAATCATCAGTGCAACATGTGGCGCAAGCAGTACGGGCAGGAATGCCGTTGGGTGATGCCAGTAGTGCTCATCAGCGAGTAGCATAGCCGGGTATGCTGTCGCACATATGGCGAATAAGTTCAAGAGCCACAGACCCAACCACTTTTGCTGCTGTGCGCCAGATGTGGATGGAGGCGGAGGTGCTGGAGGGCTGAGCAGCAGCGTGAGGAAGAAGAGGTTCGTCGCGAAGCTGATAGCGACGATCTGACCCAGGAGCATAAAAGCCCACGTGTATCGGATACCCCGAGGGACACCTAGGGACGTCAGCCACTTTCCACTCTACGAGGGGGGATTGAAGCACCTTTTTGTTCCAAATACAATCCAAGGGCCAATGCGAAGAAGAAGATCTGATGTGACCACCAGTACCGCGCATTGCCTACGATGACAGTCTCCCAAGCCTCTCTGAACAAGCTCGTCTCTTGTAACCAGAGTCCCCAATGCATCTGATGGGGATCGAGCTCGTAATAGCTGCGCCACATGAGCCATGTATCGTAGCTGATCTTGAAGTAATGGACCATGTGCGTCCAAGTCATGACCAAGCTTCCGACAGAGAGCAGGCCAAACAGCCAGACATGTTTTCTCGGAGGCAAGTGCGCTGTCGTAGACTTTTGCAGCACATATGCTCTTTTCAGCAGCCTCAAGATAATAAAGACTGCGACCCCGAAACATGCTGCTAGGTAACCAAAGAAGATGAGATAAGGCCGAGTGTTCGTATCTGCCCCCTCGGGTGGTGGTCCACGATGCACATCACGCTGAGGCATTGAGTATCCTGGAGGACTGAGTCCTGGAGGTGCCATCGCAAGGAAGAAGTCGTTGCAAGTCCTGGCGTGCCATCATGTACCTATTGCGTGTGGTGTGCTTCTTATACACTCTCTCTACGTATGGTAGGTAACCTGAGACGAAACGTGTTCAATGCGGATCAAAGGCTCAATCACTTTTTGCCGGCAATGTGAATTGATTAAACGACTGTCGTGAGTTGACCTCCAGGCATTCTGCATCATCGGTAGTGCTCCAATGGGGTGGCGTCGGTCCAAGCAGGGTTCCATGCACGCAGTCCAACCTTGGGAAGCCTTAAGAGTCAAAGATCGGACGCCTCTCCACACCACGTGCACGCGCCAAGCACGGTGGCTAGGGTCATCGTGACCTCGTCAAAGGTTCCACGAGATTCTTCTTATTTGGCATTGTCCGCTCCCACCTCTGCTTCACACAGGTCCCATCTGGCATTCTTCTCTCTCTTCCCCTTGGCTGCCTCCGGATTTCTTTCTCAGAAGGGCTGCTCTAACTTTCCCTTTCCAAAGTCACCATTATCCCGAATGTACTACAAGACCTGGTGATGTCAGGCACCAACGCTAGTTAAGCTCCCTGCAAACCCGGTCATTGGCCGCTGTCTGAACCTCCAACATTTGAAGCTCACCGCCAAACATTCTCTTCAATTCATCGACTGGCTGATAACATAATTAGCCTTTTCTTAGCAATTGCTGCAATAGTCGTGCATTCAGTTGCTGTCGAGACATGGCAGACACTCCCCAGACGACGGCGGGCGCTGATCCCAAGGAAGCTCGTGTCCTAAACCAACATTTGGATCCCGCATACGCATACACTGCAGAATTCGATCCGGAAACGCCGGGAACAGAAGATGGTCTCCAAAGCTCCTCCAACTCTGTTCGTCAGGCCGAATCGTCGCTACAACTGCAAGGAGTATGTCTAATCCTTCCAGATGTGTATGACTAAGCTTACAAAGCATGTAGGGTGACATACATCGTGACCTGTACAAAATTGCTGCACAGGGGCGACGAAAAAAGTTGCATCAACGTGCAGCCACATTCTCAGACACTCACCAATTTGCACCCCGATATGCCGAATCAGAGATCGATCATGATGAGCTTCCCATCCAGGATCAACTTGCACCCGGAGGAATGAGGCGGCAGTTCCTCCAACGGCAGAGCAAACGTGTCAGCTATATTTCCGAGCCGGTCACTCGCAATTTCATCTCCTTTCTTGAGCTCTACGGTCATTTCGCTGGTGAAGATCTTGAGGAAACGGACGATGAGAGCGCCGTCACAGAAGATGAGGAAGAGCAGAGCGAGCGTAGACCATTGCTTGGCCGACGACAGAGCTCCAAGAGACTTAGATCCCAGGGTGATGCAAATCAAGTAAAGACCTTCTTCACGCTCTTGAAGGCATTCATCGGCACTGGAATCATGTTTCTACCCAAAGCATTCAAAAACGGTGGCATGTTGTTCTCCTCCATCACCATGGTCACGGTTTCCGCTATCACTGCCCTATGTTTTGAGCTATTGCTCTCTTGCAGAAAGCGCTATGGAGGTGGAGGCTATGGAGGTGGAGGCTATGGAGACCTAGGTCAAATTGTCGTGGGTCCCAAGTTCCGCGCTCTCATCCTGGTCTCCATCACGCTCTCCCAGATCGGATTCGTGTGCGCCGGTCTCATCTTCACTGCAGACAATCTGAAGTCCTTCTTCAACGCCGTCACGCATGGAGGTCGTGAGCCGCTATCAACTAACGCTCTTATCGGTATCCAGCTCATCGTTCTCATTCCGTTGGCCTTTATACGAAACATTTCTAAGCTGGGACCCGCGGCTCTTCTTGCAGATGTCTTCATCTTGATCGGCTTGACATACATATATTGGTATGACATCTCCTCGATGATCAACATGGGCGGCTTCCACCCTTCCATCGAGCTGTTCAATCCCCGCGACTTCACCATGACGGTCGGCTCTGCCATCTTCACATTCGAGGGTATCGGACTCATCCTCCCGATTCAGTCCAGCATGAAACAGCCCGAGCATTTCAGCAAACTCCTCTACATCGTCATGTTCCTAATTACAGTCATCTTTACCTCCGTCGGTGTGCTCTGTTATGGCACGTTTGGCGAGCACGTCTCGGTCGAGGTCATCAACAATTTCCCGCAATCCAGCAAACTCGTCAATGCAGTACAATTCCTCTACTCATTGGCCGTCTTAGTCGGAACACCAGTTCAATTATTCCCAGCGATGCGTACTATCGAGCTCAAGATCTTTGGCCGCGCATCAGGCAAGCAGAGCAGCCTGACCAAGTGGAACAAGAACGCCTTTAGGACTGTCCTGGTGCTAGTATGTGGTGGTATCGCCGCAGTTGGAGCTAGTGACCTGGATAAGTTCGTTGCGCTCATTGGTAGCTTCGCCTGTGTTCCACTGGTGTACATCTATCCCGCATACTTGCACTACAAGGGCGTTGCCGAGCGACCGTGGTCAAAGTTTGGAGATATTGCGATGATGCTCCTCGGTTTGGTCGCTATGATCTACACCACTAGCATCACCATCGCGAGGTGGGCAGAGACGTAAGTATTTAGAAATCATCATGCATACTGGAGGCAAAAGTCATGGAGTCGGTGTCTTAGTGCGGTCAATCTGAGTTTTTGTGCTTCACGTACGGCGTTCACGGTATCATGGTAGGCAGGGGGTTTTGTCATTCATTGAACGACATGTTATACAAGCATTTTTAAAGAATGTCATCATTACAGAGACATATTCGCGAATAAAGTTGATCCATGATTTTATCCATGAAGTTCTTGTACGTGACCTTCTCGTAATGTCCCCACAAACCCTCTGCTGGTGCCTCAACACCGTGTATAGTCTACTCACAACCGCTGAAGACAGGCATTTATGGCTATTTTCCAACTGAGTTTCCTGCTATCACGCAAATGCCGGGTTTTCATCATGGGCACCACATGAACCTTTGCACAAACACGGTCGTTGTTGGCACCGTCGACGGACGGCAACAACGGACGAGTGGGGGAAAGGGCACCAAACATGGTCTCATACTATTTAGAGGCGCATCCCCTTCAGATGGATATATAATGTGCTGCGTTCAGTTAAAGCATTCAAGTTTTATCCCACGCCTTGCATGACCAGTACCGGTAGTCGCTGCACATACCTACAGCCATCACGAGTTGATCGTGGAGTGTGCTGGTTTCTATCAGCTTCTATCTCATGTATAATCAGTTTGCTGATTGCATTGCATTCCTTTGCTCGTCTGCCTATATAGGCAATTCATGTACGATAGACACATTTCCATCATCACTATCATCCGGACTAAATTATAGAGAGTGATGGATGACCCCTGATCGTCAAGCGCACGGATACGTTACCCAATCCAGCCAAGGCCCCCAAAAGTCACAGTACCTCGTTGGTCAAGTCTGCATGAACAAAGTGCACCATTACCCACCACCAGCCTCTCATGTCACCCTGGACCATCTCCTCCGTCACTCCAGACACTATAAACGAAGTCGTTGATTTCGTCAACAATGCGCGTCAGCAAATGTTTCCGGGGCTCTGCGCACAGCTCAATGACGACGTTTCACGATGGGTGTTATCTGGCCATTTCTTGACAGCGCGCAAAGGCAAGAACATCATCGCTACCATTGGATATGTACCCTATGATTACCGTTTCCCACAACTCGAATACCAGAATCTGGAGGTGGTCGAGGTAGTCAGGCTATTCGTGCTACCAGAGTATCGACGGTGCGGGCTGGCTGCGACGCTGTTTGAGAAGTTGAAAGAGCAGGCCGTGAAGCAGAACATCGGTTGCTTATATTTACATACTCACCCCTTTTTGCCAGGTGCAATTAGATTCTGGGAGAAGCGTGGGTTCGCGGTTGTGGATGTAGAAAGGGATCCGGCTTGGGAGACTACGCACATGCAGTTGAGACTGGAATGACGCTTGATGGTCTTAACAATACTTATAATTGAGAGATACCATCAGAGAACAAAGTATCTCTAAACCTCGGGTAAGACAAAATTCTACATGGTACGTGGAAAAGTCATAGAAGCGTTGAAGCATACACTAATGTTTCCAGAGTTTTGAATCCAGAGCAAGGCGACCTAAAGGCTACGTGTTTGGAGCACTATAAGACGCCTATTGTCTTATTAAGCCCAATAGTTCTCCAAGAACTCGAAAAGAGGGTACCGATTACACAATGCCCTTGCATTTCACATTCACATTCACATTCACCACTCTAGCAAAATCGCACGCGCGCCCGTGCGCCTATTGAAGGACAGCAAAAGACCGAAAATTCCGCACATATATCTTCCTCTGTAATAATTTCTCGGGAAACCTCCGCCCTCCTCTCATTCGCCATCTTCGTGTTCCGCTTTGCCCGAAGCTTTTTTAATTGATCCATTCAGCACAACTATCACAAGCTCATATCAGTACAATCAAAAGTACCGAGCATATACCGCACGAAGAAAGACCTACAACCACTCGTACCGAGAAGCACAGCTCTCACATTGACAATCGCTCCGACATGTCTCCCATCGTCGAAAACTTTGAAGAGTTGGACCAAAGTCTTGATTTCGAAACCTTCTGCGCCATTGGCGGAATACCCGAGCAGGGCATATTGCCAGAGTTCCAGATTATATGGACCAAGGTGGCCGATATGATTGAAGTCCAGTGCTTTGATCTTGAGGAGGGTGGCGCATTAGCCTGCGATGTTGCAGTGCACGGTCCGGCACTATACTACAGTGCCAGAACACGGGAACCGTCACTGCACTATCAGATCAACGGACTTGTCTCGGCGATGTGGTCACCTATGTTTTCGAAATCTTAGACCAGGAAAACCTCATGCTTAAGAATCTCCGCGCGTTCAACCAAAGAAATTCTCGCGAAGACGGGATTATAAGTGAAGTAGAGGAAATATACTCTACAATGAGGAGCATGTAGGAGCTTTTCCGATGGAAATGGGAATCGTCTGGGGTGACGATCCTGAGGACGAGGACACGCTGGCTGTCACCGATCGGATCCTGGGGGCGACCGAGGGTGCAGCCTTGGTTGCTGATTGGCAATGTCCATCATCTATTGAAGGCATCGACCAGTTCAACCCTCGTCCCCCCTATCTTCAGGACGACATCTCTGGGGTCATTGACGATGTCGCCCTAGTTTGGCGCATGCTTAGGAGCGACATTGAAGTGTACCACTCTGGACAAGTATTTTACAGCTCTGTCGGTAGCTCCGCCGAACATTTGCACGCCCTCTTGTGAAGGGTGCCTTTAGGCGTCATCCTTGCGCACGTTTATAGACGCATGGGAAAGGAGCACCGCATGCCACAGGCCATACATGGCTTCCTCCATCACCTTTCCGAGTTCTCTGCCGCCGATGAGCGAGAGTTTCCCGATTGGGAATCTGACGACGCCTATATTGTTGACGGAGATGGAAACATTCCGGCGCTTGTCTACCCAAAAGCACCTCCTGGGCTCTGAGCGACGACGATAAGGAAGACCAGTGGCACATGAACATAGACACGCCAACTGACGAAACAGACGAGTTGGACACGCAAAGTCCGCATAATCCGGATCCTGCACATACCCCAGACTTCCCCAACATCAGCCTCACCACCCCTGAAGGTGTAAACACTCCCACACCTCCAGACCTCACCATCTCCCCCAGTTTCACCCCAACCTTTCGTACAAGACCTATAGGTGTAGGAATCTCATCCTTTTCCGTACAGACGCGCACTTCCATATGCCTTTGAGTCGTATAGGATACCTTTCGGATGCCCTACCTACCTGCGTCGTTACAGTTTTTAGGGCACGGACCCTTATCCATGGCCTGCCTATATCTAGCCCTCCACCCACCAACTTTCTCATTCCTATATCCCCAAATTTTCAAATTTTTGACCCATATCATCCGAAATCCAGTAAGTATTTGATCCATGTGATTGAGCAGTCGCTAATCCGAATCAGAACCGTTCACCATGCCAGTCCCAGTACCACCAGGAGTTCTGCCAGTCGCTCATCGCGCTCTCTATATGAGAGCCGTTAGGGCTATCGCTCAGGGCAAGTTCGACAATTTTGACTTTAAGTCCAAGAATTCTAAGAAATGCCAGTACTGCATTTCTCAGAACGAGTACTGCAATCCGGTTAGTATCCGAGTCTGATAGGGTTTCTTTTCTAATCATGACAGATTCCCTCCTATGTTGGCCATGAGTACTCTGCCCTTCAAGGTGCTCTTGATGAATACTACAGTCTGGTCGCAAACCCCCCCGAAGGGTATAAGGAAGAGGAGACTTTGGAGGCCTTTTAGTTAGATGTCAAGCAATTCAAGGCTGCTGTTCGAGAAGCTGCCCGAAACCTGGCCGAATGTGTTACGGTTGCCAATTCGCAGACTAAGGGCATGGAGGCTGCAGAGATCCTGATGGCTACCCACTACGCCGCCTCATCCGAATCACGTAGGCTTCGCAACGGTATCTTCGAGATGGTGTCGGCAGTCAAGGGCATGACGCGAGCCATCAATGAACTCAAGGAGGAAACGGTGGCGAATCGGGAAGCAACCTGGATGGCTTTGGCTTCGCTGACCGAGACCATGTCCCGAACTGTTGCCCTCCATCGACGACATTCTCCCTAATCTATCCCCTCCCGCCCGCACCCTCGAAGACTTCACAACACACCATCTGACCTCCCTCTTCCCCTGCCATCCCTCGTACCCAGAACCCGGCACCATTTGCCCAATCTGCCACGGCGTGTTTCACGCAGACCACGTACCGGTTGCCATTGTGCGCGTCAACGGATGCAAGGGACACGTATTCGGCTACCAGTGCCTGAGGCAGAATCTGAGTGCGGGCACGCCAGGCAGTAACAAGTGTCCCATGTGTCGGACAACTTGGTTTGAGAATTCGAGCGGAGAGATTGCGAGGGTGGCGAAGGAGTGGACGGAGATTGGTCAGGCGGAGGGTATGGCTTTGCAGGATGGTCTTGTTGGGTTGGACGAGGGGGGAGGGGTCTAGAGCGCGTGGATTAGTTGGAACGGTCTGGCTGCTGCTGAGGGTGAGAGTCGAGTGTGATTTTATTGGGCGTTGAGGGCTTGGCTCATAGACGTATGCGATATGTTGATTGCGTATACAAGGCGTCTTGTAATGTCACGTTTTTATCATCACCACCTGGAGGCCTTGCTGGAAATCCGTGGTTAGGCACCTAAAATAACTCACATCAGTTCGTTATGCACGATAAATGAATATTTAGACCTACCAAAGGTCTTCATATGCACCTCAGATGTAACATAGGGACCGATTTTGACTTCCAATCACGCGCCGAGATGTGTTTTCACAGGCGTATATGTATACAATTCGCATTGCATATACAAGTCACAACACAGGTACATGAACACCACAGGCAAGTCTAGTCATTAGAGCAAAAGCAAAGACTTCAAAAGAAGAGACAATCATTGCGAGGCGCTAACAACTATAAACGATAACAAAAACAAACGCTACAAATGAAACTCCAGCCATGCCCCATCATCATTCATCAATCATACTGATTAGTCATACTCATGAACCACATAATGAAACGAAACAAACGACAAGAACAAACGAAACAGCCCAGCAACCCATACTAGACACAAACTTCCTCGTCAGTGGTGTAGTCGATATCCTCATCGAACAGGCTCTCTGTCACCCACCCCAAGGTATCCTTGAGGTCTGAACAACTAGCGTCTATCTTGGCGCATAACGGCTTGACGCAGACGGCAGACCTGCCATCGTGTAATCGAGGGACGCGACCAGGGCATTCCGTGGAATTCACGTTCATCACATCGTGAATGGACTTGCCTAAGCCGAAATAAAGGGCGCCCTCAAGCATGAGCCGAGCTTGAACTACATTCAATTCCGGGAGAGAAGGCTCGTGGAACCAAGATAAACACGCCTTGGGAGCGTCCTGTGGGTTGATCTTCGCTGCTTCGCGTTGCACCATTGCGCTCAGGTGCACCGTGTTCGAACTCTTCAAGCGGCGATCTTCGTTGCCGTAGGTGGGCTCAGGGGGCGACGGATATGGTTTGCCGATGGTGGTCTTGTAAGATTGCTCTGTGGACTTGGCGTGAGGTGGATGAGCGGGCCACTTTGAAGGAGTATTTGACTCCTCAGTGAAAGGCTCTGAAGGTGGAGAGTGAGGATGCTGAGGCTGACTCTTGGAAGGCTTGGGTGTAGAGTAGTCAGGCTCATCCATGTGAGATTCATGCAGAGCATGGGGCGCTTCATCTTGTTCTTCTTCTTCTGGAGAGTATTCGGGCTTGCCTGATGGGCGCCTGGGTGGGCCTTGGCTAGTGTGCGAAGGTGAATGATAGACTGGCTCATCGGAGGTGACCCTGGGAGGACCATGTCCATATCCTTTGACCGTAGGGTGAGATTTGGACGCATCTGGTGGCGACGGAGCGTTGTATATCTTCGAGACTGCTGTAGGTGGGCCATGGACTGGTGGGTCATGATAGCCAGCAGAAGTTGGCTTAGTAGGTCCGTATTCTTCCTGTGAGGCCGAAGTAGGCGGAGCATACTGCGCACCAGTTGGCTTACGAGGAGGGCCATGATGTCCTTCGGTATGCTTAGGCGGTGAGTATGACTTGCTATCTGTGATTTCAGAAGGAACGAGATGATCACCAGCGTGCTTAGGTGGGCCAGGGTGAGCATAAGATGACTCCTTGGACGGTGTCCCTTGGCTGTGCTCGTGATGCGAAGGCGGGTCGTGACTGTCAGTCTCCTTTGGTGGTGCAGCGTACCCCTTCTTTGTTGTGGCTGAAGCAGAGGAAGGAGAAGCATAGTGTGAGATGGTTTTAGGAGGAGCATAGTCTGAAATGGCCTTAGGAGGACCAGAGTAACCTCGGGTATGACTCGGAGCACCGTGTAGCTCATGCGAGGTATAAGAAGGAGGAGAAGGCTTCGAGGCGGGTACTGGAAAATCAGGGCGACCTTCAATAGGCTTCATTGGTGCTTCAGGCTTTCCCGAGAAATGAGGTGGGACATGATACGCAGTGGGCTTAGATGGTCTAGTGTATTCCTCGCTCTTCTCTGGTCGATTGTAAGAGTCATCTGATGTATCGGAGGGTAGGGCGTAGGTAGGCTTGGATGGTCCAGAGTACTCATCAACAGGCCTCGGAGGAGAATACGGCTTGGTGGACGATTGAGTGGGGGGAGCGTACTGCACGGAGCTGGAAGCAGGCCCGGGTGGGGCATATTCAGACCTCAAGGGACTGGGTCCCGGTCCTGGCATTTTCGACTTACTTGGCAGGGGCCTTGGAGCAGAGTACGTGGCCTTATCGGTAGCGGGCTCTGGAGGTGCATAGCTGGGCTTCACGACACTGGCGGGGGGAGCTGAATACTTGAAGCTGCTTGTGACGGCTGCAGGGGAAGAGTAGACAGGCTTCGAAGAAACCAATTCAGACGTAGGATGGGGTTCCATGGTCGATAACTTGGGCGACGACTTCTGCTTTTCAGTAACCTTGGGAAGAGCCCAGTGGCTGAATTCAGTCTTCGAAGACGTGGTGGAGTATGAGGACTTGCTTGATGAAGAATCCTTTGGCGTGCTGACCTTCGAAATGACAGTGGTCGTAGTAGAGACGTCGCACTGTGTCCTCTCGCTAGAGATGGATGAAGTGGCCTTCTCTGGGACGGAAGGAACGAGTCCAACGAACACAGAAGGGAAGACTTTGTTAGTTGGTGTGGCAGCTTGACTGGATGGTTTGACTGTAGCACCGCAAAGAGTAAGCTCAATGTCATCCGATACCTTACACTGGCGGGTGGTAATATTCGTTGTGTTGTACGACCCGTGACAAGTGTTGAAGGAGATGACGTTGTCAAAGGTCTTTCCTCGAATAGCAGAGAGGTCAACCCAGACCTGGGACTTGTTGGGGCCTGCGACCGAGTACGCAAAGTCGATCTCGTCGCCACCCTTGTTGATACCGTCTGGTTGGGCAGAAATCTTGATGGCGATGCCAGGAGTGATTGCAGTGCCACGGCGCCAGGCTTCTTCGTAGTGGCCACCAGACTTTACAGGAAGGCCGACGATCTTCGAAGAGCCGGATTGGGGTACAGACCAGATGTAGACATCGTGAGGGCAGCTGTTCGTGACGATGGCCTTGGCTTGAGAAAGGGCCACGAGCGCACCCAAGGTGAGAATGCGGCCCGTCATGATTGGGACGGAATAGTGAGGCTTGCTTGAAGGTGGAGAGAGTGAAACAATGGCTGGGTAGTGATGATGGAAGAATTGATGAACCAACTGAATGGATGATGTTGGTGATGAGTGGAGTGAAGAAGAAACGGAGGATGGGGACAGAGGGCGAGCTTTTATGGACGCAACCCAGAGCCGGCGTTGCTCTGTCGACAGCATTGGGGCAGTTCCGAGGTGGTTTCCTTCCTCCTGCTGAGAGTGTGTTGCTGTTCTTGCGCAGATGGGGGGATGCTTGGAGCAGGTGCTCTGCCTAGATTCGGCAGTCCCACACGAGGGCAATGGCCAATCTCTGGAAACTCTCGGCTCATCCGAGAAGAAAGCTTCTCATATCGCATTTGCAACCGTCTGCGGCTGCTATGGGGCTATAGGCCTCTTACCCCCATCACCGTGCCTCGATCTGCTCTTCCTGCTTCGGTCAGTGGCACATACGACAGGAAGCAGGATGAGTTTGAGAGACGTCAGTGCACCAATGATCAGGTGAAAGGGGTGAGCCATGGAATTTTTGAGAGAAAGTGCATTGTGATTGGGAATGTCCAGGCTGGCCAGACAACAGTCCGCCCAGTGTGGAGAGTTCAGATATCTCATTACATGTCACGTGATACATTCGAGGGCGATGGTGTACATGTAGTAGCGTGTGATCTTGCTGTTGCCCCGTAATGTAGATTTGAATCGTTATATTGCGGCAAATTCTCTCTGTATAGCTGTAAGTGGTCTCATCTCCTGCTAGTAGATGGTAGGCATGCATTGCTGATGAAGGTGAAGTTCAATCGCACATTGCTGGCTGGGGGCTGTGTCGACAGTCACGTGTAGCTTACTACTACGTAAGAGCAATGCTGTTGTGCTAGCTCGATTGCAGCTTAGCGGCCCGTGCAACCTGAGGCAACAATGAAACACCACTGTCGCAGTGCAGTCTTGCACCAACGATAGATGTTTGAATCAGAGTCCATAATGGCTTCTTATAACTCTGCCTGCCCTCCTCAAAAACTGAATACAATTGCTCTCGATACTGGATAGCTCGGCGTGTTGCCATTCTGACCTACACACTCATCTAACCCAAGCCTCGAATACGCGCCCACATCGTGCCGCACACTCCACCATGCTTCGACACCCGTCCTGCTACGAAGCATCCGAAATGTCTTCGGCGATCAAGGAGATACCTGCTCAGCTGCCCAAGAGCTTTGAACGCTCTGATGAGCCATGGCACCACTACTTCAGCATCGACATCATCTGGTATGTCCTGGGATACACGTTGTTTCACCCGTTTGTATCATGGATCGTTGTCTTATGTTTGCGCGCGCAACACACGCCTTATGGAGCCCCTGAAATGCGTATCGCGACAGCCTGGGCCATTACCATGACCGCCATTGGCATTTTTGGTATTGTCAGCGACAGAATTGCGTTTGGCGCCCCAAGAGAAGTGGATTTGGCTGAAGAGGTTATAGTCGTCACGGGCGGTGTTGAGGGACTTGGTGGTCTTTTGGCAGAAACATACGGGATGCGCAGTGCCAACATCGCAGTTTTGGACATCAAAGAGGTAGACGAGGACGAGTCGGAAGCCAAGGGCGTGGTGTACTACAAGTGCGACGTTAGCGATGCAAAGCAAGTGGAGGCTGCAGCTGCCAAAATTGCTGAAGAGGTGAGAGAGCCATGTCTGGACTTGGGTTCGAGTGCTAATAGAATCAGCTTGGAGCCCCTACCATCTTGATCAACAATGCTGGCATTGTCCACCCCAAGTCAATCCTCGACACGACTGCTGAAGACGTGGAACGGTAAGCACTTGTTTCAGTGTAAATAGAGTGTCTCTAACCATCTTGACAGAACGTTCCGTGTCAACACACTGTCCCACTTCCACACCATACGTACATTCCTTCCCTACATGCTCAAGGAGGGACGAGGCACGATTGTCACCGTTTCCTCTGTCCTCGGCCACCTCGGCGCGGCCAACCTCTCTGCATACACCGCCTCCAAAGCCGCACTCCTCGCACTCCACCACTCCCTCCGCGCCGAGCTCGCGCAGAATCCAGATGCACAGGACATCAAAACCATACTCGTTACTCCTGGGCAAATGGGCACAAAAATGTTTGCAGGCCTGCAGACGCCCAACAACTTCCTGGCTCCCATAGTCACACCCGCAGACATCGGCAAGGACATCATCAGGCTAATTGAGAAGGGCGAGAGCGGTGAGATTGCTTTGCCTTTGTACTCGAGATATATCCATTTCCTGGGTGTTTTGCCAGTGGGCATACAACAGGTCGTGCGCAGACTGAGTGGGCTTGATACAGCGATTGGCCAGGCTGGCTTGGTCAACAAGGAGAGGAGCGAGAAGTGATGATGTGATACCCTAGTCCTGTTTACACGGGATAGACTGGCATGACTAGATTTGTATAACAAGTATATCACTATCTATATTCAGAATAATCCAACAACCGCATCTCACACTCGGGCATTGTGCACCAGCACCGCCTTCCACAACACCACTCACCAACGTTCACATCTACAGCACCGCAAACAAAGACCTTCACCTAAGAGCATCAACATCCTACAGTCTGCCGAACCACATGCCACAACCATCCTCCGCCCTCCACAGCATCGCAAGGAGAGAAAACCCCAACGTGTTAGAGGGTAAGTTCGGAGAGATCTCCATGCCCGCGTCCATGACAACATCCTAGGTGATGTTGATTGTCTCAACTAATCGCCTCACCTCGAGACCAGCAGGATGGGTGCTAGTTCCTATCCTCACATCTTGAACGCGTATCAACATGCTCAAATATCTCAACCTGAAAGAAGATGCCAGCAGATTTTTTGTCAGCGGCGGCATTGGCATGTAGTTTCTTCCATTTGACACCACACTACCCATAGGCCGCAGTCAAAGTACTCGCGCTGCAATCGCTCCTGATTCCTTTCCGAGTTGAAGATTTGCCGGGACTCGCGGCCGTCTCTGAAAATCTTGGAACTGTGGTTTCTCTGAAGACATTGAAAACTGGTGTCCACTGTGGTGGCTGTATTTTCTAGTGTTGTTGATGGAGTAGTGTTTATTATCAAGACTGTCGAAGGAGAATACAGTGAGATGATGGTATTTGTTTGAGTGAATGGACTGGTTTCATGAGTCAATTTTGTGTGCTCTATCTAATTTGGAAACTAGAGTTTTGTTCATGATTATTTCATGGAACCTTGAGAATAGTATATAGGGTAAAACGGGGTTATAATGTAAAAAGGCTTTATTATTAAGCTTGTAGGTATAAGTCCTGCTTGCTAGTCTGTTCAGCTGCGTCTACATCTGCTATAATCCGTATGGATTAGAGAGTCGGTTGATGATGGATGATGGAAGAGCAGGAAGACTAGATAGGAGAAAGTTGTACTAAATACTATAATCAAGTACGTTTACCCTAACTACAATGCACTTTATACAACTACAAAGTACAATGGCAAAGTGGCCTCAAGTCTGTGGCAAGCCCTTTTCCTTCTCAGCCACATCTCTCGCAACACCGTCTCCTCTCTTTGGCAGATTCTTAAGACAGGGCGCATTGAACAACCTCCCATTCCAAGCACCCTTTGTCGTCCCAGCAAGCACAACGAACCAGAGCAGAATGACGGCGACGGCGAATATCGTCCCTAGAACTCTGAAAAACAGACTCGGGAAGATCTTGCCGAATTCCAGTGTGCTCAACGCCATTACGCCGAGGGGAAAGGTAAAACCCCACCAGCCCATGTTGAAGGGGAAAGGGCGGGATTTGTAAATGGATGCCAGTGCGAAACAGAGCCATGTAAGGCCAAAGGCCCACATGATGAGTGCTATGAAAACCCCCATGATGAAGAAGATGTCGCCCGCTACTGGCATTCCCGAAAAGAACTGAGTTTGCGGGAACACTTTGCGACACATTCTTCCTAGATGGATGATGGAATAACTTCCCATGCCTAGAGGACTCAGGGGTAGAAAAGAGGAGACCACGATTTCTCGTGGTGGCAGCTTATGGAGAGCCAATCTTGTATAGTACATGACGAGAACAGTCATTGCCAGTGGAGTTGCCATTCCCCAGAGGATGTATGACGTAATTAGAGTGCCGAGCGCCTGTTCTGGATCTGGCAAATGCTCTGCGACGCGCGCGCCCGTGGCCGCGGCGACAATTGATGCACCAATGGGCAACAGTTGAGCTGCTGTGATCCTGTCTAGGGCTTCGCGGTGCGATGCAGAGATCAATAGCACTGGGAGGGAGATTGTGATGGTGACAGCGACCACCGCATCAATAATCCAGCAAACCCATGCAAATGTCACCGCCCAGGGTCCCCAATATGGAATGCACAAGGTGCACCACGCAGAAATCAGAGTTGCAAACCCCATGGGGACAGTCCCGAGAAAAAGGGAATTAGGGCTGTCGTCTAGCATGACGCTCCAAATCTCAGGATAGACGGTGTACCGGACGAGGGAGATGGCGAATGCGCAAGTAAAGAGGACGGTATTGAGAGCCAAGAAGGCGACTGCAAGCCAGTAAAGCCAATACACTTGAAAGGGGATTGCTGCCAGGAGAAGAGAAACGATGCCAGTTCCCATGGTCACCGAAAACCACGAGGGAGAGAAGTTGCGAACGATTCTACGCCAGCCAACCTGTGCATCGTTAGCAGAGATTGAGCAACGAAAAGTGAAGACTACACACGTCGTATTTGGACAAGCTCGGTGAGGCTGTCGTAACGGACGGGGCTTCTATCTTGCTATTGGCAGCTTTGCTTTTGCCATTCTGTGTTTGCCGATGGATGGGGGCATGCTGTGCTGTTGGCGCGGTCAAGGCCGGGTTGTTCGTTGCAATCAGTTCCAATTCGTAGTCATCCATGACTGTAGAGAGATGTGGGAGACTCCGAGCGGCTTCCCTTGCGCGAGCACCGCTCGCGGGGCCATATTTAACAGAGGGGGGAGGTGGGGATTGCCAGAGTTGCCATGACGAAGGCCGTGGCGCCGTCGCTTGCCGATGTCGATCAAACTTAACTTCATTGTTCCAGACAAGCACAGGCCGCATGGACCTTCAGCCTGTAACCTCAACTCTACTGTCAAAGCCTCCTCCACCTCTATGGATCCTACTTTGCCGTATCTTCCAACACTCCGTCGTTGCAGTCAGGACTCGAGGCTCTCTAAATCACCCATACGACGTCCAGCCACGTCTCGTCGAGCCTGCTCATAGCTCTCTAGTTGTGCAACTCCCACCTTGACCCTTTGGGCCCGGACCGTGAGGGTTGTTGATCTTATCTGATCGAGTCGTCTCCGATTCCCATGCGAGTATGACCGGCTTTCTGGACTTGCCATTGGAGCTTCGAAATTGCATCTACGATCTTTTGCTATGGCAAGAGCTGGAACCATTGTTTCGTGGGGTTATGGTGGTGTCTGAGCACTATGTCAAGCGCGATCTACCACCTCGGTGCTACCGCGGTCTTCTTCGTGTCTGCCGACAGGTTCATAGTGAATTCAGACTCGCGATACAACATATGGTGGCCTCTAAACAACTCAACTATGATCTCAACGTGACCTTTTCTCACGGCCGGCCCTACTTCTCCATCACCTGGCTGCGGTTCCCGGCTTTGTCACCGACCATAAACCATCTTTTCATCAACGTTGACTTGCGTACCCGTGAACCGTTTCGCGAAGGTTCGCGAGCATCCTTGATCCCTCACGAGCATGAGCTGGCTCATTTGCTAGAGGACTCACGCAAGAGTTTTGCGGTGCAGCTTTTTGACTACATCGCCATCCTTCTCAAGACCCTGGCCAACCTTCTGGCCCAAGGTGATCCCCACTTCAGAGTGATCTATACCGAGCAGATGACGCTCAACTTCCGCACTCCAACTAAAGTCGTCGTGCCCGTGTCCAGCGGCCACAACTTGGTCAACTGTTCGCGGCGTGTGCCAGTCAATCAAGAAGAAGCGACCGTCCTGCACGAAACTATGCGCTACACTCTCAAGGCCACATCGAAAGATTTCAAGGCATTCAACGCAAACGACTGTGATCGGCTCATTCCCTTGATACAAATAGGATCATTGCGGTTCGCAACCGAAGGAGAAGTATGGGGTGAAGGACACAACTTGGTGCTCGCGCATGAAAACTTTCAATGGCTCCGATATTAGCACACGTTTCACGACTCACGATTCCATAGCGGTTCCCTGATGAGCATTTACTTTGCAGACTGTGACAGTTTCACCCGATTTCTTCACGTATTGTCAGGGAGTTTTTTTTTTTCACTGCAGCCTTGTTAGCCATCTGCGCTTCCCACGAGTTTACCGTCGCCGCGTGCCATATTCAATTCAACCTTCACCTTTGACACACACTCACGCAACGTAATCTTGCAAGGAAACATCGGCAATTCCACAAGTCCTTGCCATTAAAGTCTTGATGCCATCTGAATTCTATTCAAAGTGAACCAATTTGACCACGCGCGCCCCGATCGCCATACTGTAACTCAAACAACCCGCCATCCACCTCTCCTCCCCAAACCTTCCCACCACGCGCCAAAGAACTCAGCCGTACCTTACACTTGTAGCAGTGTAAACGCACAAAAGGTAAACTACACCTCCCTACACAGCATCGACTGCGCCCTTGATACTGGATAACCCCGCCTTAGACCGCACCAAATACCGTAACCTCTTCGCCCATACACACGGACAGATTTCACTTTTTGGCAAAACACGAATGCCGTCCTTCTCAAGCTACACCATCGCTATTTCGAGAGAGGTGCAACGATATGAGAGAGGTGGGGGGAAGACAGCTGTCAATGAATGGGTGCGGCTAGGAAGTGTGTCTTGAATTGTCTTGTTGCGGTGCAGGAGGTAACGTGGGGGAGAGATGGCGGTTGGGGATCAGATTGGATCATGTGTCCGTAGTAGCTTGACAAGCAATCAACCGTCACCGTTTATACGTTGGACTTGTGTCTCGATTCTGAGATATACGACCTAATCATTTGAGCCAAGAGGGCGGGGCGGGCCAAAGACATGACGATCAGCATTGTGTACAACTCCAGCTACGGTGGGCAATGTGCGCCTACATCACCCTGAAAACGATGTTGCCACCCTATACTCAATCCACTACCCTCTCCTCCTTGTACTCGTCCGACTCCGAATTTCACTCTGCCTGACCTCGAGATGCGTTCCAGTCTTACTCGTCTCTGTTACCACACCGTTCGCGGCTACATCGATATAATCTTTAGCATCTTTCTCCAGCGCCGCCGGAGTAGAGACGTTTATACCCTCAATCAGAACTTTCTCATCCTCTGGTGTCTGTTTGACCTTTTTATCCACAAGCGTCTGCTTCTTCGTGCCGAATGGGGGGTCGAAGCGGCTGCGCAACGTCTGGATCATTTTACCGAACCAGAACCAATTGAGGCTGTTCAGAATGAGGTTGGAGGCCAAGTATGCACCGGCAAGCCACAGGGGGACTGTCTGGCCGTCGGCAAATTGAAGGACGTCGTTGTTGAAACCCGAGTTCCCGACAAAGGTGCTGTCGTTCAGCTTGGCAAGTTGCAGATCTGCGAGCGAGACTGCACCGGCGCTGTAGGCGCGGTAAACGTCACCGAAGACGCGGACGGATTGGTATGAGCCCCAAATGATGCGGCAGGAGAAGAAGGTGAAGAGGAGGATGATGCCATTGACGAGCTGGAGAGTTGTACCGGTCATGTTGAGCTTGTCGCAGAACCAGTGGATGTTGAGGAAGGGCGAGGATAGTTCGTAGAGAATAAAGGTACAGGCATAGTGATTTACGAAAGGTCGCTGTAGGCGGTCAATATTCTGGTCTTGAGAGGGTGAGATGGGGGTACTCACGAAGCCTAATGAGAAGACGCACAGCGCGCAAATGGCATGGAACAACATGCCGATGCCAAAGATGCGCACATTTTGCACCGTGATGACCAGATCCCACAAAAAGTAGCCTCCGGCGAAAGCCTGAATCAGGCCAGAAGCTCCCGTGTAGCCGTATACGCGTTCGATGGTGTCCATCTGACGTAGCTCGTCGTCGGCCCGAAGCACCCATAGCGCCAGTCCACAGATGAGCGTGCTCTGTACAAATGACACAATGTGCACGTCCCAGTTGAGCTTTGTTCGCGCATTGAACGAGGGATAGATTCGCGGAAAAAGGAAGCGCGAGAAGGCGGGGGCAAGGTATCGATTGATGGCCTCGTAGAGGGCGAAGGCTATCATGACCTCGTGGAAATGCAGGGGCAGCGTCTTCATGTTGAGGTAGTCGGCCACTGGCTGGACATAGGGTACAAGCGCCTTTGGTGGCGGCAGCGGAAATGGGTCGTGCATTGTGGAGATGTTGATATTGGGAAGGAGAAGCAGATGGGGAGGTGAGATGAATGGAGAGATTGGTGGTCGGTAAGGTCGGCACCTACAATCTTCGAAGGCTGAGGTAGGTACTCCGGCGGAACTGGTAGGCCGATCTCCAGCAGCGGTAGACTGTTGGACGTAGAAGGAACGAAGGACGAAAAAAGTAAAAAAAAAAAAAAAGGATGAGGGGGGAAGTTCGCTGGGCAAAGAGGCTGTATGAGGTCAGGCGGGCATACCTCCAGTCTCAGCCTCTCTGTACCGTACTTTGTTGACGTCGCCTCGTAACCCAAGTGGGCGTTGCGGCGAGCGCTGGGCTGGTTGAATGGCAAGGGCCGAGCTTCGCTTAGCGACATGGAAGCTCCCGAGGGCGGGCAGCGCGCTCAGGGCTCAGGCCAGGACACACGACAGACTGAGAGTGCGACTACTATGCGGGATGGAGAGTATGTACCTAGACGCCAGCCACGGGGCCACGTCATTCTGCAGAGTTGCCTCGGACTCGGAGGTTGTCTGTCTGTTGACTTGTTGCATAACATGATAGCCGCAGCAGCAGCAGCAGCAGCACACGAGATGGAGAGCAGAGGTTGAAAAGGCTGCCAACATGGGCCACGAAGCACATCTCAAAGATCGCGTTTATTTTTTTATTTTTTTTAACCAAGACGAGTGGCACAAAAACATTACCGAAACGAACGTCTTGGAGTGTGGAGAGTGGTCGAATCTCGTGGGCTGGGGCAGGCGGGCAGGTCACACACCATCGCCAGCTGCTTGGCCTGGAAAGTAGACTGGCGACGTGCTGGTACGCCATGTCAGGTGATCTCGCGCCATAAGTACCTACCTAACATGTGAACCTACACTACCTAGACTACCAGCCCTGGACCGTTCACATGCATGCTATCAAGCTTCAGCACCAGCAACAGTAGTCAATGAGGAGGGCCGCCGTAGAGTAGACGTGGCCATTCCCATTTCCCACTATGCAACACTAGCTGCTGTCATTGCTCTGGAGTATGACTTGTTTTGCCTTTCGAGATGAGTATCTCTTCGGGCCTTCAAACCACCAATCCAACAACATGGGCGGAAGGGAGGCGTCGTAATGTGGGGTACCCGGTACCCGTAACAGGACGCGACAGATCGGTACAGGGATCGCTGGCTTGGCTCCCTGGTACTTGCTTGCTAGAGATCCACCGAGGCCCAAAAGTTCGCAAGAAATCATCATCATCATCATTATCATTATCATCATGTGGAGGTAGCCAGACGAGCGAGAACAACGCTTGCCGACATCAACACCATGAAAATGGTATCAAGGCCCTTGCTCTTGGGCCGCCACTCCGGCAGATTACCGTTTCCACACTCTGGTCGATTATCATCATCATGGCGAGAACCCCACCTTGCGCTTCGGACCTATATCAAACCCTCTTTCGCACCCAAGCCTAGCATTGATATCAAGCACATCCGACAGAACCCAGGACTATACGAGCAGAATTGCATAGATCGCAATTATGCTGCACACAGTAAAGCGTCATGGCGAATCGTCGAGCTGCACGAGCAATGGCTGGCGCTCCAGCAGAGCAGCCGCAGCCTCCGCGAACGAAGCAACCAGCTACGGGCTCAGTTGGCCAAAGTCGCAACAAAACTAAAAGCCACAGATGGCAATACGGTAGTGCCCAACCAGGGAGCTATCATCACCAAAGCGCAGGAGACCAAGGCGGAACTAAAAGCCATTGAAGCTCAAGAGACGCAGATACAAGAGGAAATGGAGGCTCTGGCGCAAGACTTGCCAAATCTAAGCAGCGTACACACACCGCTCGGTACCGATCCAGAAACACTTGGTTTTATCAACGAGCACCGCAAACCGGACAGGTCACGTGCAGGGAAATCCCATGTCGACATTGGCCAACAGCTGGGCATACTAGACTTTGCCGCGTCGGCACACACATCGGGGTGGGGATGGTATTTCCTGGTGGGTGACGGCGCAATGCTGGAACAGGCGCTTGTACAGTACGCGCTGAGCGTGGCAAGAAGCAAGGGGTGGAAAGCAGTGGCACCGCCATCGTTGGTATACTCGCACGTTGCTTCGGCCTGTGGTTTCCAACCACGCGATCAAAACGGAGAGCAGCAAATCTACGCCATCGAGCAGTCAGACAAGGACAAGGCGAAACCGCAGTTGGCTCTTGCTGGAACAGCAGAGATACCGCTGGCTGGCATGAAGGCACATACCACTCTCGACCAAGCTGAACTACCACTCAAGACGGTGGGTGTGAGTCGATGCTATCGTGCGGAAGCAGGAGCACGAGGCGCCGAAACCAAGGGTCTGTATAGGGTTCATGAATTCACCAAGGTGGAGATGTTCGCCTGGACCTCACCCGACAACATGGGCGAGGATCACTTCAGCAGCGCCTCGGCCACCACCAGCTCGCAAGTCGTCTTGGACGAAATGCTCTCGATACAGAAAGAGATTCTGAGTGCCCTTGGCTTACACTGCCGCATCCTCGAGATGCCCACGACAGACCTTGGTGCCAGTGCCACCAGAAAGCTAGATATCGAGGCCTTCTTCCCGTCTCGAGACAGGGACGATGGATGGGGCGAGGTCACTTCAACCAGTATGTGTACGGACTATCAGAGTCGACGACTACAGACGCGTATGCGTGTCAAGGGGGGCAAGATGTACTTTCCTCATACGCTCAACGGTACCGCGCTCGCCGTTCCTCGGGTCATCGCTGCTATTCTGGAAAACCACTGGAACGAGGACGAGGGTTCTGTGACGATTCCAGAGGTGCTGCGATCCTACATGGGTGGGCAAGACAAAATCAAATCATAACGTCGATCTCATCGAATTTGATGGAGATAAGTTGGCAATTCACACGTGTAAACCATGGCGATGTTTGATTATCAAGCATGTGATACTACCACTCTACTGGGAGGGGACCACATGCCCATCTAGAGTACTACTCTCCACTAAGACGCCCATGAAGCCTTTGGGGCTTGGTCTGTCTTGCGACAAATGCTACCTTCTTCCGACATTAGTGCTTACATCACCAGTGCGTATGTGGATTTGCTCAGGATTACGGGTTGCATACCGATCAAGTAGATGCTGCATGTAGCGAACCCGATAAGGATATTGTGAGTAAAAAGAGAGAGAAATGCATTTACTCGTGCAGTTTGAGTGGCACACTTTCTTTGATCAACAGGATGCAGACGCGGATGATTGCATGGGTACTGCTGACACTTTGCGCAAGGTGGGATGCTCTCAGTCACGACTTTGCCATGTATTTCTCTCCATGGCGATCCCGCCGTATCGTAGGTGCCAGACGTCTTTGCCAACCCTCTCTTTCTCCCCTTCACGATGCCTCCAATAACCACACTTTTCGCTCTACCCCTCCGTCTCCTCCTGCTCGTCTCCGCTATACTCCCCCAATCCATCACAGCCACCCCCTCCATCCTCACAACCGACGTAGTCATCCTAGGCGGCGGGGCCTCAGGTACCTATGCCGCCGTGCGACTCCGGGATGATCTCAATACCAGTATCCTTCTCATCGAGCCTCACTCCCATCTCGGTGGATCAGTGAGTACGTACCGGGTGGCGGGGACAAACGAAAGTTTTGAATATGGCGTACAATCCTACCTACCCAATGGCCCGGCCTTGGCCCTATTCACGCGCTTCGGAATCGCCCTGGAGCCCTTCACCGCCAACCGTCTCAGCGCGCTGAATGTCGATATCGAAACCGGACGCGTGTTGACAGACTACACGGCTCCGTCTGCGAATGCGACGAATGCGGCGTTTGGGCGCTGGCTGGAGGTGGTGGCCAAATATGAGCACATGTTGGAGCCTGGGTATTGGGATTTCCCACAGCCGGGACATGTGCCGGCGGTGTTGTTGGAGTCTTTTGGTGTGTTTGCAAAGAGAGAGGGGATAGAGGCTGCGGTGCCGAGGATCATGGCGATTAGTGGAGTGGGGTCTGGGGGTATACAAGGGTTGTTGGTGTTGCATGTGTTCCAAGCGTTTGGGGCGTCGTTGACTAGAGGTGAGTGATGTTCCTTTCTTTTTCTCTGGTTTGAGATACGTAGGGTGGGGAAAGTGGTGTGCATGCGGTGGGTGGGTGCAAGTGCTAATCTCACTCTTTGTCTATAGATGTCCTGTCCAACTCGCTTGTCAAACCCGTGGGATCCAATAGTCTTCTCTATGAGCGCGCCCTTGCGCGCCTCCAGCCCGACGTTTTGCTCGAGAGCACAGTCCAAGATGTTAGACGAACCTCAGCTGGCGTGGAACTTTGGGTCAAGCAAGGCTCGAGGGAATACCTCATTCAAGCACGCCGCGTGCTGTACGCTGCACCGCCCAGCCTGAGCAACCTCGGCCCTTTCCATCCAGACGAGAAGGAGAAAGCGGTATTTGAGCAGTGGGCCGAAGGGGGTGAGTACATTGGTGTTGCGAAGATAGACTGTATACCTGAGGGTGTGAGTGGTATGTGTCTTCCCTGCCTGTTGTCCACTCCTTCTCTCGTAGTGCTGGCATACTGAAGCAGTGGCAACCTAGTCAATTTCTTCCCCAAATCGGCCTCGCCATCCAACTATCTGGCACTGAAAGACTACCCGTACAGTCTCCGTCTCGACTCTACCGGACCTCCTGGCATGCATCTCTTCCGCGTTATATTCGGCGCCAACTTTACGCTCACTGCGGGCATTTTCAAAGACCTGGTAGCCGACAGTGTACAGAAGCTTCAAGATGGTGGAGCGGTTACGGGCAGGTGCGAAACTGACTTCAAGGCCGTGTCGAACCACAGTCGGCCCATGTGGAAGCAGAGTGCAGAGCAGATTCAGGCAGGATTTGTGCAGGACTTGTATGGGCTGCAGGGGCATAGGGGCATGTGGTATGTGGGGTATGCGTGGAGTGCACCATATAGTAGTACTATTTGGGGGTATGTTGACAGTGTGTTGGAGAGGCTGATGGGGGATCTTGCAGGCGAGGGAGATGGGCGGAGAGGGAGTTGAGCAAGACGGTAGCAGCGGCATCAGCATAGCATGAAGACAACATAGGCGGAAGGGGGATGGAGATTATGAAGAGGGTATTTGATGGTATGTTTGATGACATGTCGGTGGTCTAGAATGTCGCCATGACTGCAGTTGGATTCTCTCCAGCGTCGTCGGTCTTGTCGATCTGGTGTTGATCATAAGGTTCCAGGGGTGGTTGGGCATCGGGGTCCGTGTGTGTGTGTGTGTCTGTGTGTCTGTGTGTGTGTGTCTGTGTGTCTGTGTGTGTGTGTCTGTCTGTGTGTCTGTGTGTGTGTGTCTGTCTGTGTGTCTGTGAACTGGACTGGGGCATGGCAGCAACCGACAAGGATTCCAAGATTGTTTGGTTGGCTCACACGATCCCTTCGCTCTCGCAAGCCACGGTCCTGCATAAGAGCGGGAAAAAGAAGATAAGATGTGGATTCTGTTTGGACGGCCTTGGTCCCAACGCCCAGGTGCCCTTGTCTTTGCAGGGTGGCATGCCAGCTGAAAAAGACGGGCGGTTGAGGCTGAGACTTGAGTTGATGTGTGGAGGCGGGGTCACGATGGTCATGGTCACGATCTGGGTCACGGTGCGCAGTGCGATGGGTGCTGGTGGGTGTACTCTGTCATGTATATAGAGTAAACCTGTTGCAGAGGCTGCTGAGCTGACAGCGCTGGAGTGGATGATGGATCATCATGAGGATTGAAGGTTAGGTTGGGATGCATGGCCCATGGGACCAGCTGCATGCGGGCCATGTGTCTCCCCCCCTTGAGGCTTGGCCACAGCCACACTTGTCTTTTATGCTGTGTGTTTGCGTGAGAGAGTATCTAGGCCATTCCACCACAACCGAGCAGTGTTGTCCCGTGTGCGTGAGAAAAGGAACCAGTCGTCGCTTGTCCGTTTTTGAGGCGGGGTGGACAAGAGTGTGTGCAACAGCCCCGGTCCCTCCCTCGCTTTGCTTTGCCTGTTCTCCAGCCGACTCCAGCCTCGCGACGTCAACCAACCTCAAACGAGCGCTTTTCCTTCTCTCGGCCAGTCAGCCGGCTGCTACCCAGTAGCCAGCCAGCCAGCCAGCCAGCCAGCCATTCTGCTGCACAATTCACACTCTCACACACACACACACACACACACACACACACACACACACACACACACACACACTCACACATTCTCTCTCTCTCTCTCCCTTGACTGGACTTGCTTCGGCTGCCTGCACCTTTGCGTGCGAACAGCGCAACCTGCAGCGACGTTGCTGCTGCAGCACCCTCGCCGCCGTCGACCGGCCTGTGGTGCAACCGTCGTCCAGCCACCTTTTGGCCGCCATCGCAACACATTCGAGAGCGCACACCTCATTGTTGTCGCGAGGTAGCGCCCTCGCCGACATCCATATCTCACCCGGTAATCCACGGTGGAGACACCCATCACGCCAAACACCAAACACAACCGGATCATACACGCACACACACACATATACAGACATACACACAAACACGCAAACACAAAAACTCACACTGGACCAGCCTCAGTCGCGGCGCATGGTTTCCTACCCAGATTCCTCGAGCGCCGACCGCTCACTGCCCATTCGCCGCCCTCCGTCAGTCTCGTCGCATTCCTCGCGCGCATCCACCGTCCGGAGACACCGCCATAACCGGTCGCAATATGGCGGCACAACTCTGCAGCCGCAGAATGAGTTCCCCGTCTTCACCCACACGGGCGACGTCGAGATTGTCATCAGCAATGGGCGCAAGGAGGCGCGATATCTGCTGCACAAGCTGATCCTCACCCAATGCTCCGGCTTCTTCGAGGCTGCTACTAGCGATGAGTGGGCCACGGCTGGCGAAGCTGCTGGCTCTGCAGCGAGCGGTTCTGCAGCACTAGCGAGACTGCCCTCGGGTGCGCGCCCCAAGGAAAAGAGGAAGTGGAGGTATGAGCTGGACTGGGGCAACTCTGACGACGACTTGCCCATGCTCGTGCAAAAGGTACGTGAACCTGGACAGGCCTCAGACATGCGACCGAGAACAGCCTATACTGACACAGCACAGTCTCAGAGGAACACGCCCACCATGTTTGGCGGCGGTGGCGGCGGCGACGACGACGACGCAACATCAGCCTCACAACCCCCTCCTGCGCGCAACAAGCCTGTCGCACCCCAATCGGGCTTCTTCCGCAGCATGGCCAACTTTTCCACCCTTCACGTCCCGCCCTCAGTCCCGCACGAAAGCGATCCCGACGACGACACCTTCCGCGACTACGACAACCTCTTCCGCATCTTTTACAACTACCCGCCCTCGCTCGACTCGGTCAACATTGCGAGCGCCTATGTAGAGTGCAAGTCCCTCCTCCAGCTGGCCGACATGTACGACGCGCTCGGTGTCATCGGACCACGCGTGGACCATCACCTGCTCCGCTTCCAGGGCCGTCTCTGGAAACAAATCGCAAAATACCCACCCAGCTACCTCAAACTAGGCTACATGGCGCGCAGCAAAGCCATCTTCGCCGAAGCCATGGTCCACGTCGTCGGCCAATGGCCCCAAGGCATCAACCAACTCCGCGGCCAAATCGCCGACCCAGTCATCGAGCTCATCGAAGACAAAGTCGATGAAATCGACGAACTCAAGCTGAAAATCGAAGTCAAGCTGTTCCGCCTCTCCCTCACAACCAGTCGCGGCGACCGCGTCAGTCCATCGAGCAACTGGCTAGATTGGATGGCCGTCTCCCTCTTCCGCCAATGGCTCGCGGAAAATACGACTCCGCCTCCAGCCCCAATCCTCAAATCCCCACGCGCACTGGCAACCTCGCGCCACGGCACGAGCAGCGCCGGACCCCTCATCGATACCGCACGCTCCTCCGTGGCAGCAACAGCACCGCCACCCCCTCCTGCCTTCAACACGGGCCGCATTTTCCGCCTCCTGGGCCAGGGCGGGAACACCTACCTCGGTCACGACGAGTGTAAGCGCTTCTTACGACTCTCGCCCGACCATTACAGCCGCGAGAACCTCAAACGGTTTGAACGGAGGGTGGACGAGATTAAGAACAAAGCAAAGGATGCGGTCAGGCCAGTGATGCGCAACTTTTTGGAGCTCGATCTAAAGGAGGGCGGACTGCCATATTTGACGTGCACGAGGGTTGAGCCGCAGGATTTTCCGTGGGATGAGTAGAGGGGGAGCGAAGAGGGAAGTGGGAAAAGACTGGTTTGGTTGTTGTTGTTGTTTGTTCACGTTGCGCGTTTGGGATTTTGATTTTGTTTGGCGCTGGAAAGATGATACCCTTGTGATTGTGATTGGCTGCATGTTTGGAATTGCAATGGGATGAAGAAATGAGAGTAGGTTTGGTTTCGATTGAGTCGAATGGAAAGATTATTAAGAGTGCTCTGGTGTATGCTGTGATACTATCATCCGTTTGTACTTTTTGCTCCTCTTACGTGCCGTGCCCCCTCCCTTTTTTTCTCGGTTTTCACTGCACCCTTTACCCCGATGTTCTCCACTGGAATCGGAATTAGACTTCTTCCTCTCTCTCTCTCTCTCTCTCTCTCTCTCTCTCTCTCTCTCTCTTATTTCTCGGCCCGGCTTTGCCGTACGCAGGGGTCGCTGGGTGTAGGGAGGGGAGATGAAGAAGGCGAGTTGAGGACCGTCATGCTGGCTAAAGCACTACAGAGATATTCACTCGCCCCGCCACAGACCCTGAATCCCCCGTACAACGGCCAACACAACCCCTCCTATCTCGGACTCCTCGTGGTACAGTACAATTACAAACTACCATCACGCCCGTACTGGAAACAGCACTGGTAACGTTGATATTGTTTGAGTGGGTTGCTAATGAAAATCTGGCTCCTCTGGGCCTGGTAATGTATATACCATCGGTACCGGTAAAGGGTGCTTGGCGATTGTTTGTTTGTGTGGTGTGTGATGCGGCTATTGTATGGTTGGATGGGAATGGGGGGGTGCGTAGTGGGGAGATGGATGGGAAGAGGATTTAAATGATCTGTAGCGTTGCGAGTTTTTTATCATGGAGATTGGTTTGTGTAGATTTTTATGCTGATTAGGTACAATACAGTATAATATAGTATAGTATAGTATAGTATAGTACCAACATCCCATTTTTTTTATACGTATACCCACACTGCGGACGCGAGACTCCAACTTCCAGGCCTCCAACCTCCAACCTCGCATAATCAACACCACCTACCACTCGGTAAAATGCACACACCAATAGCTCTTCTTCTTCGGATCCCGGCAGTCATTCCAATGCTTGGTGCCTACATCTGGTCTGATGTGTCTGTGTAGTAACATTGTCAATACGGTATATACGACCAAACTTGTTCGACAAAAAGTCTAGAGGGGGAGAGGGCAAGGGACAGCATACACATTCTCGATCAAGGGTTTGAGTGGGTGGTAGGCACAATCGTGTGTCCCGGCGTACTCGATCGGCTTTTGCGTCTCGAGACAGACGGTGTGGTCAATGTTGAGGCAGCAGGTGTATACTGGCTTTAAGACTGGGCCGTGTTTTGCTGTGCTGAGGCCGAGGAGGGTGGCGAGGGTGAGGATGGTTGGGAAGTGCATGTTGTGTGGTGGTGATGGTGGTGATGGTGGTGATGGTGATAGTAGTAGTAGTAGTAGTAGTAGTAGTAGTAGTAGTAGTAGTAGTACTGCTGGATGATGAACTAAAAAACAAAGGGCAGTAGAATCTCTTATATAAAATGAACACGAAAGCAAAGAGCCGGTATGGGCGGTAATATCTCTAGTAGAAAAGAAGAACCAGGGAATATCCTTAATTCCTACCAAGAACAGCCAGCGAACCACTATCATTCACAATAGTTACCTAGTGCTAGGCCCACATGAGCAATGGTGGCACCACGTTATTGGTACTCCTGTGAATCATATGGTTGGAAATGAATATAATATAAACGTCTCAACGAGCAACGATTGGAGAGCAAGTCTGGTGCTAACAATCAGTTCGACTGGTACCACGATAGAGTCATATGGTATCTAAGGACTAGCTAAGGTTGCGTGCATGCAACGTCTCAGTAAAGATGCAGTTGGAACCAACTAATCGCCTATCAGAACACCAAGAGCTTTGTTTTCTTGCTCGTCAGTAGAAGAGGCAACTAGGCAGTCTTTCAGTTTCCGTACCGGGTGTGTAGAGAAGCATAACATTAATAGTTATTTACAAAAACAACTTTCATGTGGACGGAATATAACATCAAGACGGAAGGAACAGATTCCACCTTTGTTGCGAAACTGCATAGTCTAGACGGCTAGGGTATACAGAATTCTGGCCAGTAGTATATAAATTCGCCAGGTAACCCTCAGGTACGCGGATTCAACGAGATATATTATGACGCGATGGGGGAGCAGGATGATGGTATGTGGGTGGTATGCATGATCAGCGCTAGCCTTACCCGTAGGCACAGGACGCCACTCAATCTCGGCGAATGCTGACTATCGGCTATCGAGTAGTCAAGCAAGTACTCTAGATTGGCTATTGGTTTGGTAAAAGTGGCTAAAGCCATGCAGTGGCGCTAGGAAACCATTCCTAGCGGCATTGATTGTCCAGACTGCGACTTCCCTACCGATACCGTACCCAGTTAGAGGTTCAGGTATACGTGACTTCTTCATCGCAGGAGTTGGCCGGTCTGATGCACTGCTATAGCCTGTAAGCAGATATGGAATATTCGTAGCAGACAGAGTAAGGTGTTTTGCAATCGTGTCAAGTAGTGTCATAATGCTCGCTTACTAATGTGCTTCACTGCAATGTACAGAAAACCTCATCCGCCTATGCACGCTTGAAAACCGCACCATGATTCGCTCATCCCCAAAATGTTGCCAGCTGTGCCCATGCAGCGATTTTCCTACCGGAAAGTCAAGATGATCACTCAAACTCAAGGCTGTCTCTCACACACTTCCTCACTCGTTTCTTGAATTCAGGCGTGTCGTTTCTCCACAGCCTTGCTGCCTCCACATTCGCCGGACTCTCGTCATTTGGGCTCGAGAGCATAGAGATGACGCTCAAGAGAATGGTCTCAGGTGTTTGGACTGGTGACCAGCGCTCAGCGGCGGATTCATAGCCGTATTTATCCTCTTCGGGTGGGTGTAGGATCGATATGCAGACGTCACCGTTCTGGTAGACTGGTGCCTGTTGTCAGTATGATCCGAAACGGGGGAGAAGCAGGATGGTGTACTGTTTGGATGAAAGATGGGTGTTTCGAAGCGCATCTTAGGCGGTAAGAGAGGGTATTGCTCAGGGAAGGTGAGTCGTGCGCGAAAGAAGCCTCCTATTCGACATGTCAGGGGGGAGCTCATGTGCAAAGCAGAAGACGGGTGGGATGCTACCTCCATAAAACTTAGTGTCGTCGTCAATCATGAGCATGACCTCCCACTCAAACACATTGTTGTCCACTAGCCCACAACTGATTCCTGATATGCTCTTGTCATTCTGCATCTGCTTGAGCTGGCGCGCCAACAGCCCTGCGGCGGCGGATGAAGACGCCATGCCGCCGAGGTTTTGTTAGAAATATGCTGATGGCGTTTTTGATTGAGGAGTCGCGTGCACTCGGCTAGAAGAGTGAAGAGTGGTGAAGGGGCGATTGGGCTGCGGGGAAGCTGGCCAAGGTGGCGGCGCACTTTGGTCGTGTGTATGATTATCGAGGTGCAGTATAGGCTGGGATGCGGATGCTTGCAAGACGGGTGATGGAATTTGCAAGGCCGTGGTATTCCGATTACCTATCTGGCCGGTTCCGCGGTTGACCGTTGACCGTTGACCGTTGACGTGATGAAGCTTGTGTGCACTTGCAATGGCGGGGTGGTGGGGCAATGCTGGTATACCTAACGTCGACGTTGATGTCTACCGCCGGTGACTAGTATCAGGTATCTAGGTAGGCCGCCGATTGAGATTTCACTGTACCGGTACGGGTAAAAGGCGGGTAATGGATCTCTATGTAGTAGAGCAGCTACCGGTAGAGCCAGGTGTACGATATGCAAATCCGCCTGCCTCGGGAGATAAGGTAAGAGGAAGAAAAAAGGTCAAGGCAGCAGCAGACAATGCATTCACGGCCCAAAGCGTTTGACGTTGCAGTATCAGTATCAATCGAAACGGTGAAGGAAGAGGAAGAAGCAAAGCACGTCAAAGCATATCCAAGGTCATCCGGAAGCTGCTTTTGACGGCCCGCATATGCCAAGCCGAGACCCGTCCATCAGGGTCTCTTCCATTCAGGGTCTCGAGAGGAGGGTGAGGGGGCGTCCATACATGGGATAGGGCCTCCCCGTCCATAGTAGGGTAGGATACTCTACATGGGGATGGGGCCTCCATAGGGCAGATCATCTTTCCTCATCTGGTGTTGCATGCATGCCAGAAAACACTCCGAAGATGATGTGCCTGCTCGTCCGGCATGGAGCATACTCGCGGCACCGCGCTCCAATCTGGCATTCGATAAACCCACCGTCGTACTCCGACAGCAAGTGCTTGGACCTCGGCTTGAAACTTCGATACGCCCGACAGCGCCTCGTGGTACCAACGGTACAGACGCTTTGCTATCCCCTCATCTTAGATGCCCAATGCAGATGGAATCGAATAGATGCTCGTTTTCCCCTTGTTGTATTCAGAATCATTAATGTACATTATTCAGCTCGTTTCAGAACGCCGTCATATCCACCTGTCATTCGAGAAAGCCCCGGTTTCTAGGGTATCATCCATGTCGTCAAGGAAATTGCTGCCAAAAGAGAACAGTGCTATACAAACGGAGCAGATACAGAAAGCCCCATCATCCGAACATCTTCAAAAAGCCCCACATGCCGGCGCCACACAGGACCGGGATCGTCAGATTGTCATCCCAGCCAAAAACATCAAGCGCCTCGCTGACGCTGGCGATGATGCCTGCCGCCAACGACATGGTTCCCAATGCCAAGTAGCCAGAAATGGTCGACTCAGTCAGCGACCACCCTAGACCCTCTCGGACGGGCTGAGGAAGGACGAGGGCACCCTGAAAAGCAAACGCATTCTCGCCACTATTGTACTGCGAGTACAGAGGACCCAGCCAGCCCCACCACACGACAGCCGTCATGACACCTGTCACACAAGCGGCAATGGATCCCGCGAGACTCTTGCCTTTGCGTACCTTGGGGGTGAGATGGCCCCATAGACGACCAAACGTGGAGGCTGCTGTGTCGCACCAGCTGAGCAAGAGAATGCTCATGACGGCGAGATCTTTGGGGCAGAAGCGCATGACGATCCAGGCTCCCAGGAGATAAGAAATGACGCCGTTGTAACCATCCACCTCAGACTCACGCATCAGCGCGCCTAGACAGCGGATGTAGAGACGATTGACCTGCCAGTAGCGATGTCGGATGACATCTGTGAGAGCGATGGGAATGAGTAGTGTAAGCAGGACATTGTGGATTTGGGAAGTCTGTGTGCCATTGCAGTAGAGCCAGATGGTGAGGAAGCCGATCGAAACGTGGAGGATTTTGCGTGGGATTTCATGCCGGTGAATCTGTCACACGTCAGCGCGCAATTCCTTCACCAACAGCGAATACACTCACGAACGACCGCCACTTTTGATGGATAGGAATCAGTCCCAGTGGACTTGGGCTCCTGCTCATTTCTCTCCAGTAGTTCTTGTTAGCTGCAGCTGGTGATAGGCGTCCATTTGTGGCTCCGTTGATAGGCACCATCAGCTCCTTCTTTGCGCTCGCATTCACTTGTCGCCGACTTGTCAAGCCGCTCATCCTTCTATTCCCTACGCTGCCTTCCAGCATAGCATCTCGACTTCTAGTTCGCGCTCTCTTCTCTAGATCTGAGCTCGACGAATCCTCGTCTATGGCCGGTGGTGACGTGACCCGCACTTGTTGTTTGCGCGAAGTTGAGCGCGTCGTTGGCCCAAAGTAGCCATCTTTATTGCTACCAGCTTCCGAGGGAGTCGGCGAAGGCGATATAACGCGTGGCGTATTGGGAATCTGGTATTGGCGAGAAGTCTCCATTGCGTCGTGCCAGCAGGTGGGAAAGTAGGGAAGCGGAGGTGCGCGGATGACGCCGGAAAGCGTAGAGCGAGCCTTGGTAATGTATCTAGCGATGTTTACCAGGAGCGATTCCTCATCTGAAGTATGCGACTTGCACGAGTAGACGGAGAGGCGAGGCTGAGAAAGCGCATCGGGTGAGAAGACGGCGTCCGAGGTGGCTTCGACATTGATCTCAGCCGCTGTAGCTAAACACAGGTCTGAAGCCGTGATTTCGTCCGTACACCACACATCGTCTGGAGGGGGAAAAGCTGCCACGGTGCATGCAGGCGACCAAGGCCAGATTACAGGTCACGGAAAGATGCGTAGGTATGGGTGACGTATTTGCGCTTCTGATGCCTGAACTGCAAATTTGGCCGCAGAAGGCTGAAAAATCGCCTGGTGATGCCGATCGTCCGTGTGGCTGCCACAGTTGCAGTGATGTCTTGGCTACCGGTATGAGGAGATCGGGTTGACTTCTCTTTGCATGTGAAAGTTCACCTGGTCATGCAGCTTCATGTTTATTAGGAGATATCACGTATACGTACCAAGTGCAAGATGTTTAAACATGAGTGGCTATTGCGTGTCCCCCGCCGGTGGTACTGCGGATGATGACGGAGGCAGGAGGGACATGTGTGGCGCTCATCAAGCAGTTGTGGCGGTGCGCATCCACTTTTTTTTTCTGAGGAGAGCAAAAGTCCACCCAACTCTTCGTCGGGTACGAATCCCAACATCGCGATCGAAAGACGCATCGAAACAATTCAAAATGGCACCCCAAACGAAACAAGACCGATCTTTTAGTGCCTTGACACCTGCGCTTTCGGAGTGGATCATCGAGGCTGTGGATGCAATGGGCTTTGTGAAGACGACGCCAGTTCAACATGCAGCCATCCCCATGTTCATGAAGAATTCTGATGTGGTCGTCGAGGCTGTCACAGGAAGTGGGAAGACTTTGTCGTGAGTATCAGCAGCCATTCTTGTCCTGGCTGCATACTAAACGCATTCAGATTTCTCATACCCATTGTAGAGCGCTTGTTAAGATCCGATGCGCCCATCAAAAAGCATCACGTGGGCGCCATCATCATCTCACCAACGAGAGAGTTAGCAACACAAATTCACACTGTTCTCTGCTCATTACTCAAATTCCATGCACCATCTGCAGCCATGCTTGAACCCGAGGATGAGGACACAGACATGGAGGATGCAGATGCACCACCCAAGCCATTATTTCCTCCAGGGACGGTCAAGGTTGTACCACAGCTTCTACTCGGCGGATCGGTCACGCCTGCACAAGATCTCAGCAGATTTCTCAAATCGCAAACGAATGTACTCATTGGCACGCCTGGGCGTTTATTGGAGCTATTATCATCACCACACGTGCACTGCTCACAGACTTCCTTTGATGCTTTGGTGCTGGATGAGGCAGATCGATTACTAGATCTCGGCTTCAAGGATGACTTACAGAGGATATTATCTCGGCTACCAAAGCAGCGACGCACTGGACTATTCAGTGCCAGTGTCAGTGAGGCTGTCGACCAGCTGATCCGTGTAGGTCTCCGAAATCCAGTTCGTATTGCCGTCAAGGTCAAAGCACGGTCGACTGGTCAGGACGGCGCTATAGAAGACAAGAGGACTCCGGCCAGTCTGCAGATGTCTTACTGCATACTGCCACCATCACACAAGCTACCGGCGATCAAGCAGATCCTCTCTTCATTACAACCGCAACCTCAAAAATCGATCTTGTATTTGGCCACATGCTATTCGGTCGACTATTTTCAACACGTTCTACCGGAGATATTCAAGGGTTACACTATCGTACCACTACATGGAAAGCACCCTGACAAAGTACGCCGCAGAAATTTTATCAAGTTTGTCGAAAGCGTAACACCTTCCATTCTCCTTACCACCGATGTCGCTGCAAGAGGACTTGATATTCCGGCAGTTGACTTAGTTCTCCAATTCGACCCTCCAAGCGATCCAAAAACTTTCATTCACCGATGCGGTCGTGCTGGTCGAGCCGGACGCAAAGGATTAGCCATAACTTTTCTAGCCCCCGGTCGAGAAGAAGATTATATCGAGTTCCTCCGCGTCCGTCAAACCCCTGTCTCGCCCCTTACCTCCCCTCACCTCGACATCGCACCAGAAGACGCCGAAGCAGTAAGCAAGAAGATCCGCAAAGTAGTCAAAACCGACAGAGCACTCTTCGACAAAGCACAACGAGGTTTCGTATCCTGGCTTCGCGCATATAGCAAGCACACTGCAAGCTCCATCTTTCGCGTCCCGGATCTTGACTGGACAGAATTGGGAAATGCATGGGGTCTGCTCAAACTACCCAGTATGCCTGAGCTCAAAAAATGGGACGGAGATCGTAGTCTCGGCGTTGAGGTGGATTTCGCCACGTACGCGTATAAAGACAAAGCGCGTGAGCAGCAGCGACTCGTTGAACAGAAGGAGTACGAAGCAAACAAGGCAGAAGGCAAGAAGCGTTATGTTACAGAAAACAAGAAGGAGTCGGCGTGGACACAGCAGAAAGACGCGCGAGCCACGAAGGAATTGAGGAGGGAGAAGAAGGCTGCGAAACGGGAACACGATCGTGTGGCCAAGTTGACGGATGCAGAGCGTAAGGAGGAAGAGAGGTTGAAGGCCATGGTTGATGAAGTCAGGCAGAAGGTTAAGGAGCAGGAGGCCAAAGAGGCAGCGGATGAGTTTGAGGGTTTTAGCGATTGATATTCAGTGTAGGTCGTGCTCAATTATTCTCCCTTTTTGGAATGCTATAAGACAGTCACGCATTAATGTACTCTCGATCTCACACACATTGACGACGAATACTAGGTGAGCTGTTCTAGATGGCAAACAGGCGCGCATCGCATCAAGATACAACCATTAGGCATCCACGTGATCACGCGATACTCCAGTTCGCGGGTGCGGCCTCGGCACTTTTCCAACACACAGGGCAGAGGCTCAAAAATCCATTGGAGTAGAGTTGATTACTTCGCAAACGCCTTCATTAAGGTTGAAACAGGACGACTGACAGACATGCTGATGTTTACTTCCATTGTATTGCAAATCCCTTCGTCACAACCATGCATATCATTCCCCGCTCTACGTCATGAACCGAGGTCGCCAACTACTTAAAGCAGAAAACACTAATTCACCACCTTTGGTCTTGGACTTTTTCAGTTCATTCTATTACTCTGCATTCGCTATTGATCGAGGCCCCTCTTACGACACACCAACAGGTTGAACATGCCAAGCCAGCAGACTGTCCAGACCAAAGGCATCTACCACGGTCTCCCCGTGTACCCTTCTTCAGCCAAAGGCCTCACAGCAATTATTACAGGCGCAAATGGCATCTCAGGCAATTATATGTTGCGCGTACTGGCGCAGAGTCCAGAGAGATGGACAAAGATATACTGCTTGTCGAGGCGCCCACCAGCTATCCCCAATGGTCTTCCTAAGAATGCCGAACACATTGCTTTAGACTTCTTAGACCACCCTGAAGACATTGCCAAAGCTCTCAAGGAGAAGGAAGTCACTGCAGATTACGTCTTCTTCTACAGCTATGTGCAAGTAAAGCCCAAGGAAGGTGGTGGCTTGTGGAGTGATGCGGAGGAAATGTGTAGGGTTAATGGTAAGTCTTGAAGTTGTAGGCCCAATGATTCCGCGAGGTTATATTGATGTTAAATAGTGGCATTGCTGCAGAATTTCCTCTTAGCACTCTCATTTGCATCTATCTATCCCAAGCGTATTATGCTTCAGACTGGAGCGAAAAACTACGGCGTACATCTTGGGCCCGCTGCCACGCCCCAGGAAGAAACAGCACCCCGCGTGACTCTCGAGCCCAATTTCTATTACCCACAGGAAGACCTCCTCTGGTCTTTCTGCAAAACCCACAGTATCGACTGGAACATTTGCATGCCTGCAAGCATCCTCGGTGCCGTCCCAGACGCCGCCATGAACCTCGTATTCCCGCTCGGCATCTACGCCAGCGTTCAAAAGCATCTGGGCAAGAAACTGGAGTTCCCCTGTGATTTGCAAGCTTGGGAGCTGAACTGCTGCATGAGCAGTAGCAGAATGAATGCTTACCTGGAGGAGTGGGCAGTCTTGAACGATTCCGCCAAGAATGAAAAGTTTAATACCATGGATGGCACAACATTTACATGGGGCAACTTTTGGCCCAAATACGCGACCTGGTATGGCATGCCATACGGACGGCCCAGCCTGAACGAGCACGAGTATACCAAGATAACGAGCAAGTATGACCCACCGCCGCGCGGATGGGGACCGCCGGCAACCTACCGTGTGCGATTTCGGCTCGCGGACTGGGCAAAGCAAGGTGAAGTGCAGAAGGCGTGGGAAGAGCTTACAGAAAAGCACAGCCTTACGGGAGGTAAGCTGCAGGATATGGATATAGAACGCATCTTCGGGTTCACCGATGGGAGTCTGATAGGTTTGAATTTGGACCTGACCATGAACAAGGCTAGAAAAATGGGATGGCATGGATTCGTGGACTCGAATGATGCAATTAGGGAAGTGCTCGAGGAGTTTGCTGATCTCAAACTTATTCCCCCTGTGAGCCACAGAGACACCTCGCGGGCTGGTCTCTGAGTGGTAAGTATATAGTTCAACCAACGCATGAGTTCGCCGTCCTGTTCAGCCGTGAGCTGCTTGACAAGATTACAAGAGCGTTTATAGCTTGCGTGTGCCAGATTCTAGATTCTCTCCATCCTCAAGGCTAGCAGAAAAAGCAAAATCGAACCTAACTGAAGACTACCCGTATACGTAAACATGTGCTTACACCCAAGCCTTCTTACACTTCCGCCCGCAGCCAATCGCAAGCGAACACCTAGCGACACACACAAAGCGCCCCTTCCCTCAATAAACCCACCCCCCACAAAAAAAAAAGATAATGGGCCTGACCGGGAATTGACTGCATGGAAATTAGTATACCATTGCAGGGTCAGAATTAAATCCTCAGGGTGAAAAGCTTACACCCGGGACCTCCTGCAGAGTAGTTTTGCAGCTGATTCCAACAAGGGAAAACAAACTGACACCCAAAGCAGGAATCATGCGACTAGACCATCAGGCCTCCTGATGATTGATAAAAAAATTTAATTTGCAGGAAATAAATAGTTGGTCAAACGGTGGGGGATTGGGGATCGAGGGAAGGGATGCTGCAGAGTGACGTCTGCGGGGATTAGCAGGAAGGATGGTAGACGCTAAGGCGGATGCGGGGGTGGTGACGCGATTATGGCTGTGCTGACATGTATCTATGTGCATGACTGTGCGGGCATTGTCTGCATAGGGACGACTCTGAATGGGGTGCGAAAGTGGAGTGGTAAGCTGAAATATTAAGTGAACTGTAAAGGAAATGATATGGTAGCTGTAAGTGTAGGAATTATCACCTTGTAACACTGACTGAGGCATTCATGATCGATCTATCTTGATAGCAAGATAAAAGACCTCGCTGCACGCGCCTATCCCTCTAGAATGTATCAATAGAGTTTTTGAATTCATTTGCCAGAATTTGCGTCTTGGAACAGGCCGGCTAGAAAACTAATTGCCCTCTTCGCAGCCAACTCCTTAGTCAGACCCTGGCCTCTCATATTTTCATTAATTTCATTCGAGTCGGGATAAACTGTCAAAGATGAGATTTATCCAGGGTGCTTCAGTGTGACCCTAAGATGAGTACAGTATGTACACCAAGGGCTTCGAACGACCTCGAGATTGCGAAGAGGTGAAAGAAAAACCACGTTGAGTTAGTAAGAGTATCAGACTTGCAAAAGTGTTTCGTGCACAAAACAGGCTGAAATAAGTATCCAAACATTACATTTATTCCCTCGAACCCCTGCCTCTTCCAGGATAACTGCCTCAGAGCCATTAACATTGGCAAATGACATGAAAGATTACGTAGTCGCATGACAAGCCGCCTCCCTAGATTACCAAAAAAGAATTTTCTTTGCACATCTACGACATCGTCGAGAAGACATAGGAAGCTTCCAAGCTAAACGACGGGCCGCCGGGTCCAAAAATCTGCTTCTTCTCACGCTGCCATTCGGGCTGGTTGATTGCATCGATCCAGTCCTGGACTTCCATGACGACGCAGCCGTTCTTTGGTACGACGGCGGAGCGGCCCTCGAGGCCTTGGGTGGACTTGAGCGGGATGGTTCCTAAGGTATGTATTAGCCACTTTGAAAACACTTCAAAAAAGGAAGGGGTTCTGACCATCTTGACCGGGACACGAGTACATCTGGAAAGCCTGCTGATCGGTCCAGATGTCCAATTTGATACCTGACCACTCGCTGGAAAGGGAAGCAACGGGTCCAGAAGTGCGCCAGTCATAGGGACCATTTTGATCGCGGTTGACAATGTAGCAGTTATCGTAGCCAGTGCAGTTGGTACCGCAGTTGCCGTATAGCTCGGGTGCAGTCATGTTGGCGCCGATTTTCTTGGGTGCGGACCAGAAATCGTTGACTGAATACTTTTCGTTTGGCAGGATGGTACCATCTGGGATCAGGATTCCATCGACACCGACACGCTGGCCAGAGTAAGGCAGGTAAAAAGTATGATTTAGGGCCGTAGCATCCTCAGGATTGGCGAAGCCATCCAAATTCCAGTAGGCCTATTCGATTAGCGCTTCAGCTCTGATATTAGATTATACGACGTACTCACATGGTTTGTCAACATGATTGGGGTCTTCTTTGTGGTTGCAAGCGCCGAGATTTTGATGTTCCAGGTGTTTGGTGCCATTGAGTAAGTAACATAGCTCACAACTTCACCAGGGAAGCCTTCCTTGCCATCAGGATCGACAATAGAGAAGGTTATTGAATCCTCGGTATGCGCGACAACGGTGAAGTTGCGGTAGTCCCATCCATCTGGACCGCCATGTAGCGTGTTGTTGTTGTTGTTCTCATTGGGCAAGACCTGGTATTCGGTGCCATCGATGACGAAGCTGCTGTTCTTGATGCGATTCGCGTAACGTCCGGGCACACCTCCAAAGTGGGGATGCACTTCACCCTCATAGTCTGCGGCCGTGTCGAAGCCAAGGACAATGTCTCGCTCCTTTCCATCTCTGCCCTTGACGAATAGGTTGGAGATGGATGCGCCGTACGGAATGAAGAGTCCACGAATGCCCTCGGCCGAGATTTCATATTTGCCGTTCTCATCGGGTCCCAGCGAACTTGAGTGGTTGGCTGGCGGCGCGCTGTACTGTGCCGACACGGTCGCGGCCAGCAGGAAGAGAGAGGATGAGAACCACATGATGCACTCGTCAATCACGGTACCATTGAACAACGGATCTTGGGATAATGCAAAGTGGATGACGGCGCATGTGAGGTGGTGGTAAGAAGCTTTATACGGTTGAGCACGGGAGCGGTGATTGCACGCATGTACCACACGGAGAGACTCGTGATCACGACTTTTCTCGCTCGTTTGCCCGTGTCGGTCTGTTATCTACAGGGCAGCCCGGTTTCCGGGACACGCTATGGAGCATGAGCTAGCGGAGTACCTTGCGAATTGACATAGTCCTGTATGTACATGGCAAAGGCTTGTGCAAATACCGTCGAAAACACCGCAGTCGGTGTACCAGCGATATTCGCGGAAATTTCGCCGTGCCGCCAACAGACAGCGAGAAGGCAGTGGCGAGGTCTGGGGTAATGGCTAAATGTCAGTGGAGTGGTCACAGTCAGCCCTTGTGTGGAGAGCGGCTGGGGAACTACTGGGGCTAATCTTAAACGAGCTTGGCGTTAGCCATGGGCCGGAAGCTTGTCCACGCCCCGCGTGTACCCCGGAGAGCCACGGGGATAGTCTACTACATCTAGTCTTATTTCCGAACTAACGTTACTGCTCCATCCCTTGCAATGTCCGTCTTAAAGCTTGGTGCCCTGGTGCTACGAAAAGAGGCCCTCCATATGGTTCGACTCAACATCCTTGGCTTCAACAGCCTTTGATCCCCAAGCACAACAATCACGTCACGGTGCTGGACAGTAGGCAGAAAGGTCAACGGCATCCATTCATCGCCATTAAGATCCCTCAGACCCTCATGACAGGCAAGCCTATCTTTTTAAGTGTTGTACCTGCACGAGCCATCACAACAGACCTTGCTACATGAAAAGTCGCCTGTAACAAGGAGCTAATCGGCCTTCTCACACACATGCATCCTACAATCTGCCGAGCCCATAATTTACCTATACTATGTACATTTGACGGCTAGGAGCAAATGGCCAGTGCACACATATACTGTGCTGCGGTACCGCTTTTGATCCCCTAAGATGAGTCCGGCGGAAATGAGGCTCTTTGGCTACCACCAGTCACATCTCGTGGGGACGCGTTGAATGGAGACAATGAGGAGGGGTAACTCATGGCCATCGCATCGACATCAGCCTGCTCATCATCCAGCATTTGGTCTTGGTGGTACTCGTTGACGCCATTCAGCCAGAGAGAAGTATCATGGCCACGGCGCGGTGCAGGGGCGTCGTGCGCATCTAGACACGATCCTAGATGGCCGTGCTGGTAACCTTCCAGTGTTGGCATACCTATATTCGACGTGGCGGTGGCACCTGTAATACAAGTCCTGAAGTCAACTTGAGGGCGATTCTGGTTGAGCAAATAGCCGATATCCTCCGATATGGACTGAGTCGCCATGTTTGGAGTAACAGCTTCGGCAACGGTCTGCGGAAGGCCTTCAAGCGTAGGAAAGCCAGGGATACCATCATGAATGGCAGGTCCCGCAAGAACTGGAACAGTCGTGTGCTCCGATTCTTGCTTGTCTGCCATGGGCCCAGCTTTTCTGGGGTAATTTGACACTGCTGGCTGCGCTCTACAGCTAGGATGCGCATCCCAAGTTACGTTCGGCTTCTTATGTTTGACCCAGCAGCCGGTAGTTGTATGTATATCGCCATTCTTAGCGCCCCAGTGATGCTTCTTGACCCCATGTCTGCTTGAAAAGGCTTTCCCACAAAGGCTGTGTACGAATCGACATGACTCTTCTGCACGTTCTCTTGATACTTTGGTGTCAATCTTTTTCCTTGGTTGCTCTTTGGTTTCGCCGGGAGAGTTTCTAACTTCAGGTAGACTCGCTCTGCTATAGGACTGATATCCGTCTACACTCGTATTCATCATTGATGCTATATGACCGCAATTCTTTGACGGTAGTGGCATGGGTACGACTTCTGGGTAGGTAGACATCGCATCTGAGGTCTCGAGGAGGGTGGGACTACCAGGCGCGAACTTTGGAGCGAGAGCGCGCAATGGCCTGCTTTCATGAACAGGCTGTATCAACTGACAAAATTGACTAACAGAAGCTGTATCGTCCATCATTTCGAATTTATAGCCGAATTCAATATGCGGATCGTGAAACTCTGTAGTGGACTCTTTTGATGTGTTAGCAGGACTTCGCTCAAAGAAAAGAAAACTTGGCATGAGATCGACAAAAAGCGAAGGATAAGATGGAATTTTGGGTCATTGAATGACAGCGTTTCAATTGGTTGTACTTACCGTTATCAGGTGTAGAGTATGAACCGTTGTGATGCGGCATGTCGGTTGGTCCAGTGGCGGTACTGACGTTATGCCGAGAAACCTGATCGATAGGTTCAGCGAATAGACGCTCGTGAGGTCTAGGCCTGCTCACAAGATCTGGAGCGGGTAGCGACAGGTGATTGGAGAATGGAGAATAGATGGAATCCTGTGACATTGGTGACGAAGGAGACTGAGAGTATGGTGGCCATGGATGCTTGACATACTGTGTATGATGGGAATCGAGACGATGTTGTTGTCCAAACCTGTGTGGTGCGCAGTAATCGTTCAATGTTGCCGGATTGACAGTCTGTGTGGACAGATAATCCATGCTCCATGAAGGGCTGATTGGAGGTAAACGCAATTGAGGCTGATGTATGGGCTGAAGGAACTGTGGAATGGCTTGGCTTGGGGTCTGTCCAAAATCGAAGTCCCCGACACCCCATCGTGCATCTTTGTGATACAACACATCCATCAAATCCCGTCTCAGATCATCTTGTTCCCCCAATGCCAGGATGATGACTGATATTGCGTCTTTCTTGGATAATTTCAGGCTCCAGAAGTCACTAAGGGCTGTGTTGATTGTGTTCACCTGGCTGGACGACTCGCCAAAGCGGAGCTATGATCAGTTAGCCATCGTGATGGAATATCAGTTTGAGAACTTGAGCAGTCTGATTCAGGTGTAACCCACTTTTGTATTCTCAAGGAATTCGCGCACGACTTGGTCGATGCTGCCAGCTGCGTAGGCTCTCTCACCTGCCATGGTTGGTGGAGCTTGGCACTGGGTGATTCTCGGATGTGTCGCGCTGAATAGGCCGTGTAATAGTCTATAATGTCATCGTTTGATTCAGAAACCTAGCGCGGAGGAAGAAGCTCACTGTGGTTCGGCTTGGTCCATGATGTATCACACCTGTCGCAGTCTGTGTAGCGTTGTCGAAGTGCAGTGTGGTGAAGCTTGCAGATTCTCGAGATCCTCGGCGCCAGTTGTGAGGTGAGTACAAGTCTCGGTCTACCAATATATATCCACTAGCTGGTCTAGCTTGCGGTGAGGTGAGGTGAGGTGAGGTGAAGTGATGGCACGTGTTGTTGTGTAGCCTAGCACACGCGGCGGTCAGTCTGCGGAATCGAGATGCGGCTCCCATTATGATGCCGGACGGAATGGCACATATAAGGTGGCCCTGGCTGTTTGTTTGTCCTGCCTATCACGAGCATGCAGGTGGTGGGCACGGGCGGGGTGGTTGATGCACGTAAACGGCAACAGCGGTGATGGCTCCTAGTTGGGTGGGAAATCGCGAACATATTGGATCCCAACTCATACCATTGCGTTGGACCGTACATCGCTATTGAATGGGCCGGTTGACACTACAAAATTTCTACCTTGAATCGTGTGCAGTGACTCGGCCTCGATAAATCGTTTGACGGCTTTGGCCAGCATCGTACACCACCTCTGAGACGCTTTTCCTGCATCTCCAGCCAACATCCATTCTATCGAACAGCACAAAATCAGCCGGTTCTCCGACCTCGAGACTTAGCGACGTCCCCTCCACGCCAATGGCAGCTTTAGCACGGGAGGAGACGGTTTCCTGCACAATGAAGATTAGCCATGAACTGCAAGAGTGATATCTGATACATACGTAGAGTAGCTCAGTGTCCTTCTTTGTGCCCGCATGATATAGCACAACCCCAAGCTGTGCAATGCTCAATGGGTCACAGCTCGCAGTAGGCGTGAATGCATTCCCGACGTTGTTGAGCGCAATAGTAGCGTTCAACTCGAACTCGTTGATGAGGGCAGTGACGGGCAAAGTTGCACGCGCATCGTCGGGCGTCTTCATGATGAACAAGTCCGAGGTAGGCAGGCCTACAAATGTGACGGGAAGCTCGCCAATCGTTAACCGTAACTTCTTCCAGTCGTCCTCTTGGAATCTGGACAGACGAGTACAATGTCCGAAGGATATCGTCTTGCCTGTACGCTCCAGCCAATGCTGCTCTCTTATGAGTGTTAGGGCATCCCACACCAGAGGCTGTTTACCTTCTTCGATAAAGTAGTCAAGATGGAGATCTAAATGCTTGTTGTGGCTCAGTGCCAGCTGGGTGACCCACTGGACATTGTCTTTGGAAAGACTATGATTGTCCTCCACGTAGGGAGTGCTGCCTAATGCCTCGACTGCGCTATACGATGCTGCTCTGCTCATCAGCTTACGAACGGCTGCACCACGATCATCGCCAGAGAACAGTGGCAGTTGGGCAAATGCGCATAACTGCACTTGGCATTGATCTTTGAACTCTTTCTTCAGCTTCAGCCCTGCATGCAGACATTTTTCCCCGACTATTCCATCTACCTCAACAAACGCTCGCATGGCTGTAACGCCGTGTTGAATACTCTCTTGGATGAGCTGCCGACCTCTTCGAAGCAGATCTTGTTCTTCAAAATGGGACTTGGCTTCCCCAGTCAGTTCCATGGCTTCTTTGAAATCGCCGCTTTCGATCTGGAGATGACTAAACTTTGCGTCTTGCAGAAGAAAGCACTTGTCAAGATGGATGTGGGAGTGGCAGAGCGAGGGGGCAATGAGGCGATTCGCTCCGTCCAACGTGCGGGCACTAGAGGCGATATTGGTGCCTTTGGAAGCGTGGGCATCAATCGAAGCTATCCGTCCGTCCTGGATGGCAATGTCCCATAGCGAGGATGATGGTTTGTTGGGTATGCGCACGCCTGCAATGGTGTCTAGCGTGTCTCCAAGTCGGCCGTGCTCATGTTGTCCTTTGGGCATGGTTCTTGTACGCCATAGAGATTGTGATTGATTATCGAAGAGTGACCGGCTTAGAGAGAGAAGATGGTGACAGCCACAGTACCAGATAGAGTACATGTCAACCCATACTAGATGGAGGGGGCTCTTGGCATAATGACGTTGTCAGGCGCGTGCTGGTAGGTAGTACTTGTAGTACCGGTCCTTGGACGTATGTCGATGAGACGGAAGCGCGTCGTACCGTACTCTAGAGGGATTGGCGTGCCAACAGTGAATGACGCGCAGCTCGCTTGCCTGTGATCAGCAAGAAACGCGTCCGCATCACTCTTCCTTGCGCATGCGAGCTGCGAGCGAGGATGGATGCACCGTGAAGAAAGTGTGCCTGGTACCTACTTTGTAAATACAGACGACTTACCATATTGTCCACAGTTGGCTTGTTGCATTGGCTGGGCTGGGCGAACCCTCCACTTCCCAGATGGTGGCGGCCTGCGGTTGGCGGGGAGTTCCACCCCCCATGCCAGCCCATGAGGTGGTAGGACGGTGGTGGACCTAGGTACCTTACTACTTACTACCTCGACGCGTCGTCGCAAAAAGAGGCCCCGTCCAACTCCCCGGCCACCTTTCACTCTTCTCCCCACGCCCAACACCTCCATTGCCATCACATCCCACCCCTCACACTCCATCCCATCCCATCCCCTCCGAAACCATCGCTACCCATCTCGTTCCATCTGCGCCCACACCCACGCCCCCTCAACCGCGAACGTCGTCCTCCGCCCCGCCGCTGCCCGCCCGTGCCGTCGCGCTGCTGCCCCAAAACAAAATGCAGCCGAACTATCGGGGATACATTAATCCTCCGCCGCACAATGTCGCTGCCACACCCGCCCGGCGAGGTCCTGGTACGTACTTTCCTCCCCATTGCGCCGCCTGCCGTTGGCCGCAGCTGGCTGGAATTGCTCTCTGCGTGCGCGCAGCTTCCACGGCAGCATGATCAGCAGAACTGACCTGGACCACTTTTTCCGCAAACCAGGCCCCATTGTCCACGCCCAGCACCCAGCTGCCCAGCAGTACGCCAGCAGCGCCAGCATGCAGGCCCAACAGCGCGCCGAGGCCGACCGTCGCGAGAAGATGCGCCGCATTGCGAAGAACCCGACGGACAAGAACATGCCCGAGGGCGTCGAGGACGTGTGCATTGGCGACGGCGTGGCCCGCTACAAGCAGCTGCGTGACGTGGAGCGCACGCTGGATGCCACGATGATGCGCAAGAAGCTCGATATCATGGACTCGAAGCATCACTCGCGTGCCTCGCGCTACGGCACCATGCGCATCTGGATCTCCAACACGGCCGAGGACCAGCCCTGGCAGAGCCGCGGTATCGATGCGGATGCTTTTGATTTCGAGAGCGAGACCAATGCTACGTATCGCGTCAAGATTCAGGGTCGCCTGCTTGACGAGCAGCACGACAAGGGGCTTGAGGAGGAAGATGACGAGGATGAAGACGAAGGCAGAGAGAACAAGGATGCAGATGCCATGTACGTTCACTCCAGCTCCCCTGTCTATCCACCGAGCTGCTACTAACATGGCTCTCCAGGGACGAAGACGGACCCGCGAAACCGAAACCCGCAGCAAAGCCCAAAATGTTCTCGCAGTACTTCACCTCCATCACCATCGACTTCGACCGTGCCAAAAGCCTGCAGCCAGATAATTTTACACAAATCGAATGGAAACGCCCTGAGAATCCTACCGCCAAGGAAAGCAACTTCAGCGAGCTGGAATTCGAGCGCAAGGGCGACGAGAACATTAACATCACGATCAATCTGCAGCGATACCAGAATCCCGAAGTGTTCCGGCTGAGCAAGCCCCTCGCTGAGCTGCTCGATACAGATGAGGAAGATCGCGCTGGTGTCCTCATGGGCATTTGGGAATACGCACGGTCCCAAAATCTGCAGCAAGACGATGACGAGCGCAAGTTCGCCTGCGATACCAAGCTCAAGGCCTTGTTTGGCGGGCAAGACTCCTTCTACTTCCCCAACTTGCCAACACTTATCAAGCCACACCTTGCCACTCTCCCGCCCATTCAGTTGCAATACACCATACGCGTCAACAAGGACTACATTGCACCCCCTCCCGAGTCTGGCAAGCAACCCTCGGAACCTACCATTTACGATGTCCAGGTGGCTCTCGAGGACCCGATGCAGCCATTGTTCCAAGACATATTGCGTCGTCCAGACAGCATACAGACACTCCAAGAAATCCAGAAGATTGACGAGCAACTGGTCTTGCTCATGGGAGCCGTTGGGCAATCAAAAGCGAAACATGCCTTCTTTACCAGCATGTCCAAGGATCCAGTGACTTTCTTCAAGCGCTGGTTGTCGAGTCAGAAGCGGGACCTGGAGGTTCTGCTCGGCGAGGCTACCCGTGGTGGTGGTGAAGATGCATCTGGTGAGGAGTGGCGCCGTGGAGGAGCTGACAGTGTGTGGGGTAGCGAAGTAGCCAAGGAAAGCGTGGCGCTGTGGTTGGCCAGAGCAAACATCAAATCCCATTAGGAGCTGGATGATTAACGTTTTCTTATGGTTGAACTGGTAGTAGACAGCTCGTTTTGGGAGTTTGCATTCGGTCCAGGCGAAAGGGAGGCGTTTCGAGCAAGTAACAGAAATACCCAATTCATCACACATCCCATCAACCGAGGGGGATCGAGGGCACAATCCGAGGTCCTCCCAGGTCTATTTCTCTCCCAACTGACGTATGGTTTGACCCGGGTGGCTCATCAACAAATCCAAATACTATCATAGACACTGACGTCAATAGCATCCTGGTCTCCTGCATGCTAACAACCACGAAGCACCTGAGCCACGGTTCCTGCATGTTTGTAAAAAGGATGGGAGGAAGTTGACCGGTCGAACATGTGTTGCCCCGCTCCCGTCCAGAGCTCACCAACCATTTTATGCTTATCTCACTTTCAAACCTCAGCTGAGCCTACTGCAAACGGTTTCAAGTCCGCTGGGTCGGCCTATGTATTGGAGAGGTGAAACGCCCATTTGGCGGATAAATGCCCGTCGCCAATCACCGCAGGCTCAAGATCCAGAGGCTGCCATCCCCCTTCAGCCTTTTGGCCCCAGGGTGCACAAGCGCAGAGCCTCATCGACTTTGGTGGTCAGACCAACCGTTCTTCGATGCACTGCCCCCAAAATAGATTTTGGTCCATCATGAGCATGTACGACTGCACGCTCGACTAGCACGCCTCGAGCTATTCTGGGCCTCACTATAAGCATGTCTTAGGCAACACATGTTTACGCCTGGACAAGAATACAGAATCCTCTCATCTCATTTCCTTATGGCTGTCTTACCCAACCCAATGCGGTCGTCGTCTTCGACGAGGCTATCGTCACGTGCAACGAGTCATGACATCAGTGTTGGAACTGTTATTGCCATTGTGGTTGGCAGTATTGTGGTGCTGATACTACTGTCTCTATGCATATGCTTGTTTCGATGTGGAAAGGCCATTTCCAGGGCCAAGCATCGTCTTTCAGCCCGATGGAGGAAGCCTCGAGGTGTAACGGGCACACCTTACTTCTGCGAGAACGATCAGTGGCCACAGACCTCCAACATCTACGACGGTTCGATATTTTCAGATGCCAGTGTAAAAAGCCAGAATGGCTCCACCATCTCTCTACTGTCTTCAACGCACCACCCAAATGTCGGATTTCCAGATCTAAGCTATCAACCCGCATCGGTTACAACAGCCAACTCCAGTCATACATTGACGCCAGTACCGTCGATACCCAAGTCTCAAAGATCGTCATCGCCATCTGGTTGTCCAGTATGCCCATCCTCCGCACAGGAACTTACTCAAGCAACATCTTCGAAAGTCGCGCTCCAGTATGAGCCTCCCGCAGCTGATACTGGGCAATTTCCGGCGGACGTGAAACGCATCTTAGGACTCGATGATGCTTCATACTTGAGAGAATTGCCCTATTATGAAGGTAGGCAGTCCCTGGCTCTCCAAAACGGCTTTGCTGACTGAGCACAGGTGCGTCATCCAACCTCATTGCCGCACCGACATATGTTGGTCTGGAATCTGGGCGCTCAACATCTCGCAATGGAGACCGTCAAGGGCATGCTACTTCGAAGCCTGAGTTGGGAGTTAGTATTGCTTCTGCTTCAGTAGCGACCCATACGCTATCTGGTAACCATAATCTCTTCTTCACTCACCATGGGTACGACTCCGACGCAGGTACCCTGTACTGCAAGATGGGAGCATCTGCAAACCTACACTCGACACCAGCCATGGATCCCATCGTCTTGACCCGCGATTATGTCCATAATGACACGACTGAGCGGCCACCTATTCCAAGGGAAATACATGGCGAAAAGTTGGCGAATTGGGATGGAGGCAGTGTTCCGCGCATGTTTGCCAATACATGGGACGTCGACTACGATTTTGACCCCGAACATTTCACCCATCCCCCAAGATTGAGAGAAACATCCCTTGATCTCAACGCCCTGGATTCATATGTCAATTCTTCAGAACAGCAAAAGATACACGAACCATTACTTGACTCTGGGATCGATTGGTACAACAACATCACGTACGCCCCAGGAATGGATACAGGGATGCTCGATATGGGTGCTGCAGACATTCTGGAACTGACCCAGTCGACGTCGATCAAGAGGGACAGACATGATACTACACCACTGCTAGTGGACCCAGCACAAAGCGGGAAGAAGTGTAGCACGTGCCTCTCAGTACCATCGATGCCACTGTCCTTTGCGGATACTTCAATGACTGTCACGACGGAGATGAAAGAACGAAACATGACACCACTGCAGGTGAACTGGCATGACAACACATTGATGCCGCCGCCACCACCACCACCGACGTCTCGCCCACGCTTTGACTCAGCATTCGTGTCCAAGGATTCTGTTTCCATCGCCTCGGATTCGACGTTTGACAACGGCTCCACTAGCCAATACGACACCATGTCAGGGTATATTACTCCAGCTACGACAGGATCACAGACTTCCTTGATACCCGAGTACAAACATTCCTTTAGTCACTCTAACGATCTTTTCGGGGCTGCAATATTTATGCCTTTCGATTCTTTGTCAGGGCCAACACCCGAAATCACTGATCCATCTACTCCCGTTTCACGATCCACACCAATCGACCTGTCAGCTTCTGCAAGCGAGCAAGGTAGGGCTGATGGGTTCAGTCAGGCTCGAACATCTTTGTCCACATCCTTCACGTCTGTAACACCATCGTTATTGAATGAAGCGGACACTTTGGCATTGCCCTTTCGATGCACCCACGCGCATTGTAACAAAACCTACCGCACTCAGGGTCTTTTAAGGTGAGCCAATCAAATCCACAACGGCGCCAAGTAAATAGAAAGAACACTAGTAACATGTAAAACAATGCATAGGTCCCACATCAACCGTACGCACAAACGGCGGTACCCATGCCCCCAATGCGAGATGAAGAGATTCGGCCTAATGGCGGACCTAAAGCGACACCAACGATCCGCCCACGCCGTATCAGCGAAAAAGTGGCCTTGTCTTAACGTGGGCTGCAAGGCAGAATTTGGCCGCAAAGACAATCTTCAGAGACACTTGAGGAAATGCAATCAACAGGGACCTTGATGTGGTGTGAGATTTCCCACGCCGAAAAACGAAGACAACGCAGATCATGACGCACATGTGGGTAAAAAGCCCGGATATAGAAAAAACGGTGTCCAGCAAATAAAGTTGGCAAATGCTGAGTATCGGCGCATGCCGCCATCGCCACGTGCACCACCTTCACCCTCGACCCGTGCATGCAAGCAAATCTGTACACGTTACCTATCCCCCGCCCAGCCCCCCCACGGACGTCCGAGAAAAGCCTATGTAGATGCCTCGGAGGAAAAGCGTCGCCGGAGACACGACACCGACGCGACGCGTCTCGTAAGCACCGAAGAAGAATCTACTCGCGCAGGGCACGCTACCTGTGTATACGAAGGCATGTGCACGATTGATCTACAGATCAGCCCTATGAGATGTACAGGGGCTGCCGATGAGAGCACGCCCATCAGGGGTGGGATGCAGGGTGAAAGTGCAGTTCTGGATGATACCCCAGTCTTTGACTCTGCAACGGTGATTAATATGAGTGTTATATCTTGATTGCGATGGTGAGATGTGGGGTTGAAGGGATAAAGCTGCATTTACACTTGAATAAAAGATTTCAGACGCCGTGTGCTGGATGTTGTGTGGACTTATTCGTGGTTACTGTTGTTGTTGTGCTCGATTGATGGGGTGCTGCATGTGTGTACATGTAGTAGTTGTACTTGCACGTTTTGTCATGGCTAAACTTTGTACACGCCGGTTATCCCATCTCCCCTCTTCCTCCCTCTATTTCTCATCCTCAACCCCATTTCCCCATTCCCCCATTCCCTCCTTCCAACTCCTCTCCAAAACACCCCTTCTCTCTCGTCTCTTCTACCCCCTCCTTTCCCTTACCCCACCCCCTCCAAACGGCCCGTTGTTCCCGCAGTCCGGCCCGAGCGAGACGAGGTAAGCACAGCACGGACGCGGAGTCTGGGGGGACGGGGAGGGGAGGAGGGGTGAAAGTGGTGGGTGTATGGGGATAGGGAGGGAAGGAAATGGGTAGGATAAAGAGGATGGAGATGGTGAGGTATAGATGGATATAGATATGGATGGATAGTTGGATAGATAGAGGAAACTGTACACTGCGTTGTTCATCGATATTTCATGTCCATAGGAATACCCATAGCCCTCCTCACACCGCACAACACTGGCGAGAAAAAAGCAGAATATATGATTAGGTATCTAGTAGCGATTCATGCCTTTAGCTTCATGCCTCAAGCCTCAAGCCATATTCACTTCTATCCTCAATCTGATCCTTATACTCCTCATTATAATGCAATCTCAACTTTCAACCATCAACTTTCCAACTTGACCCAGACGTTCTGTGACACAAGCACATGGTAAAAGCACACCACACACCACCACCAAACCAAACAACAACAAAACCCTCAAACCCCCCAAAACGAACCAGACAGTTGGACATCACAAGCAAGCCAGGATTTAAGGATCCAGAAGGCACAAATACATGAATAATGCTAACAACCTCCTCCCTTTCCATCCCTCCCCATTCCCCTGCCAAATCTACAGCATCCCCATCCCCATCCCCATCCCCATCCGCACACCACACACCCCCTCCCAAACAAACAAGACTCCATCCCACCGATCCCATGCCAAAGATTCTAAGATCCGTTCATCTCTAGCCCGAAAAGTGAAAAGGAAAAACTGCAAAAAAAAAACATCTTCGTTCCATATGCAGATGTGAGAATGCGGGGGGCATGGTGGAGGAGAGGGTGACGTCCACTTCCATCTCCCTGTCTTTCCCTCTCCCTTTCCCTCTCCCTCTTCCTCTCACAAACAAGCACACCACCCCAACAAACCCACGCACACGCACCACGCCACCCTCCACTCAAAAAACCAAGACAAATAAAAAAAGTCTCAGAGCAAAGGAGGTATATGCAAATGTATATGCCAAAGAAACCCCAAAAAACAGCCCCCCCACAAGTGTGCAAGCCGCTCGTAGGAACAAAGCGACTTGCGTGAAAAAGAAAACAGGTATGAAGAAGACAAATACGTCTCAAAAAAAAAGAAACCACACACCCCAAGAACGCCGCGCAGAAAATTAATCTCAAGCCCGCAAAGTGCAGTATATATGTTCCAAGGCCCGCAGACAAGAAAGAGATTGCGCGGGGGAGGCGGGAGGAGGAGAGAAAGCAGGGAAACGTTCGAGGCCAGGTGAGGAAAAAAAGGGGATTCGTCTAGACCGTAGGGCATGCAAACATGTCTCTTTCTCTCTCCAAGGAAAAAACACACACTCAGGAGCGGCAAAGGGAAAGTTCAATCGCGAAGCCCCGTCTCTCAGGTATTGCTGATGATAACCCGGGCGCCCTCTTTGCCGAGCACGCCCCTCTCTTTGGCCTTTGGACTCCGGTCTCGACCCTTTTTGCGGCTGAGGAAGCCGAGCATGCCAGACGGCTTTTCACCTGGCGGATTCTGGACCAGGGCCGAGCTCTGATTCGCCATTTCAGTCCACGATCCTGTCTCGTTAAGGACGACCTGGACGCCTCCGCCCATGCTGGTGCTGCGCTGTGAGCCTTGGCGGCGATTGTTCATCGGGCGCGAAAACGAGGGTGTGGGTATTTCGGGGCCGTTGGTCGGGGAGTAGTCGGCACGCTCGCCTCGTTGCGAGACAGAGGAGCCCGTGTGACCGGCTTGGTTGAGAATGGCG